CCTGTGATTCATTTGCCTTAATGTTTCCTGTTGCAAAGTCTCACTTGTGATATTCTCTACACCAATCCATTCTTTTTCAACGGAGTTACATTTTGGTTCACAAAACTTAACGAGAAATTAATGAGTTTTAAATCTGTCCAATATTCTACCAGGTAAAATATATCTGCATCTTGGTATTCTGGATTTGAATGTGGGAAAATATCTCATTCCTTTGTCACATAGAGACAGACTGAAAGCTCTTGATTTGATTAAAAATAAGTTTGTCAACGTTTTGTTTGACCCTCCTGACGATGTTAACTGCCAGTTTGAAGCAGTTGTTTACCAGTTATCCATGACTGGCATTTACACCACAGCTTTTATCATTGGAAAAAAAAGGCTGTGAATCATTTAAAGAAAAACGAAGAATTTTATAAATCTTACGTTTGCCATAGCTTTTCAGAATATATTAAAAATATGTCAAACGATGGGGAGTATGGAGATAACATAACTTTGCAAGCATTGGCTCGAGAGCTCAATTTACAGTTCCTAATTGTTTCATCAGACGGCCTGAGTCATTGTAGAATAATATCCAATGACGGAAAATATGATTCAAACCTAACATTGCTCTGTCTGGGATATTTCCCCGAGGGACGGGGGGAGCATAACGTAAACATTAGGGTACATCATGACAAAGTCTCTTATATTTTGCAAAATATTGAATCTTTTGATGAGGCATCTCGAGACTTTTTACCTGTCAACAACTTGGAGGAAGATTCGCCTCCCAGCCGTAACAGTCCTGTTTATGAGTTGCAAGAAGACACACCATTACACTGTAGAATTCCTGTGGACGTGTTGGAAGAAGACACGGTTTTAACTGTAGCATATCTATCGACGACTTCGACGAGGATATGTCTCCAACCTGTAGTATTCAATTCGACAATTTGGACGAAGACAAACCTACCAACTGTAGCAGTCGTGTGGATGAGTTGCAAGAAGACAAGCATCCCAACTGTAACATTCCTGTCGACGTGTTAGCAGAAGACTTACCTCTAAACAGCGGCGGTCTAGTCGACAATCTTGGCGATAAAACACCTCCCACCTGTACTAATCCTGATGACAAGCTAAACGAGGACACGCTTAACAAGTGTAGCAGTCCTGTCAAGAAGTTGCAAAAAAAAAAAAAAAACACGCCTCCTTATTGCAAAAGTCCTGAAAGAGATAAGTCATTGTGCCTACCTCGGGAAATTTGGAGTAAAATATTCCAATTCGTTTTGGAAATGAATCCCAATTCTAGGTTTTGTATCAGGAACGTTAATGGATTAAATTGTTTCGTTCAATCATTGATGCTAAACCAGGCCCAAGAGTATATATTTCACCAAGTCTTTCAACAAATATACCATCAATCATAAGTGTCAGAAGACTCGTAAGACTTGCGGGTTCGTCTAGTGGACTGGTTTTAGAGATCAAAAGAATAATTGCTTCCTCGGATTGGCATCACGCATGGATATGTCTTCGGGCGACTGATAATAATTGGTCTGAACTAGAAGATATCTGGTTTAAAAACCGACCATTTTAACTCTGTTGATGTCATTGATTTATTACTAAAAGAAATATTTTCACCCAGCCTGCAAACACTGGCTATAAATCATGTAAATCTCTTAATAGTTGTAACCAAGACTTAAAGTAAAGCAAACTGAAATCTTTATAATCATCTTTATTATTTAGTAGTCCATTCTTAGATCCACCACTGATGATAATGATGAAACATTTATAAGTAACATGTAACAGTTAGCATAAGGATGGATTGGTATGACACACAATAAAAAATTAAAATGCGCACCACACACACGAAGTATGAAATGGACAAAGAATACATTTATTTTATAGGATTAGAATTATTAATTTCGCTTCGGGTCCATTATTTTCAGTCACAGAAAAAGTGGAATTTATACACTGTATTCTTCAATATTTACATTGTTTCGCAAATATTTCCTCTTGCACAACATTATCTCATTGTTACGTTTTAACCCTGTATACAAACAGGTTTCCCACATGACCACAAGTTCATTGTTAAATTATAAATGATCGACGTGATTCACAATGACGTCGTAAGTATTCAACAAGTTCAACAAATTCCAAAATAAACCACCGAGGTCTGACAATATAATCATTTCATGGGCTAAAAACTATACTTTGCAAATATTTGTTAAAAATCAGTCACAAGTATTCCTATAAGTACCGTTTGTACTCGACTATAAATCGTGGGAGGGGGGGGGGGTGATTTTAGTCCAAATCTCTATATCCGACCAGTAATAAGGCACATGTATTATTTTTAAACATCAAAAGGGATAAAAATACGATTGGTAAATGATCATATTTCAACAAGAAGCTCCTCGGCCCAGGCTTTATGAGATTTGATAACATGAAAAATCCATATTTATATTTTGATATAAATTCAAAAATGATAATAAAATAATCATGCAACAGTAATGTATTCAAGTAACTCTGATCACGAATAAAGGATAAATGAACCTTTTTCTCAAAACAATATATATTATTCAATGTATTACATTGTATTTTTTGTGTTATGTATCCTTAAACATAAGTTGTCAATATTGATGTCTCTCTTTTTCGAAATTTGGAGAAATGGAGCAGATTAGAAATACAATAGTGAAAATAATAAATTTATTTCTCGATATGTATATCTGAAACGTTAACAGTGACATGTGTTAAGCTGTATCAAATCTAAAATACAAAGTTTCGATAAAAAATATTCAAATATATTATACATATTTTAGGTTGACTATTCAAATCGTTGAATCAATTTAAAAGGAATTTGCTTGTTTCTGTATTTTCAGTAAAAAAAAATGGTTCTTTTAAAAGGATTTGAATATCATTTTATTGATCTGTTTGTCTGTATCTCTTTCTATCTGACTGTCTGTCTTTTAAACACCCGGAGCTTAAAGAAGTACCCTTGACTAGCTAGAAAACATAGTAAAACTCAAATAATTACCATTTATATAGCACAAGGGCATATATAAATGTTTTGACAAGTGATATCTCATTGTTCAGGAAAGGTGGATGTGTGTTTCTCTTAGATATTGCAAACCATTTCTAAATTTTATATCATTTAAGGTTGCAACTGCAACGCTAAATGATACACTAGTGTGTATCATTAGCCGTCGATTATGTCGATATTTGATTGTTTCATTAAGCGTCAGTGTTGCTCTGCATTTGTGACGCTTAATGATATAATTCTATCATTAAGCGGCGATTTAGCATTAGCGGTTGAGAATGTCAGCTATTAATGCAATAATTTATGGCATTAAGCGTTGCAATTGCAACGCTTAATGATATTTGTATCATTAAGCGGAGTTTTATCATTAGAGGTTGCTACAGGGCCCCTTTTTCTACGACGAATTATATGTTTTCCTCAACGGTTTTGATAGGTTTCAAACAAGAGTGAATAAATACAACGTTCTTTTAATAGTTTCAATACTTCCAACACATTATAATTATGAGGATTATTGCATTATCTATGATTTTGTAGACCCCTTGACAGCAAAATTTGGCCTGGTTTGTGACAATGTGTTCCATTATGAATAAGAATAGGCGTGTCTTAGTACAATAGAGGGATATGCAAGTCCGAGAAATATACCTTATATGGCTATTGTTATTATTTCGCCCATAGTCGCTTACAGAGAACAATTGTCCAATCCGATGACTGAACGACAAAACGTGCTGGTTTACTATTGTTTACATTTTATCAAAGACACGTGGTTTAGGTCAATTTACACATTATCTCTACTACTTTTAAAAACTTTTAATAGTCAGCAAAGGCTTTTTTAATGCATGATAATATACATGGGACAATAGCATATGAAACTAGTATTCACTGATACTCAGTAATATACATGTAGCCAATTGCCCACCAAACGCCTTACAAAACTATGACATTATACAAAGTAAGTTTAAAAATCAATTCTTTGTAATTATGAGCAGGGAAATTGCTGATTCGTGTCTAATCTGTGACTGAAATGCATAAAAAGTGTCAATCGGAAAGCAAGTAAAAATAAAATGCCTTTTTTCAAGCACAACATTGTGATACTCACTCGTAATGCAACTCATTTAGCTGATTGGTCAGTTGGAAAGTCGCGCCGGTGCCTCAATATTAGCATATGAATTTATTCTTACGTCAGAAAAAAATAGTTTCGTCGATTTGTTCATAATGGGAAAGGCCAGCTAGATTTTACAATTTTTTAAACACAACATGTGAGCGCAGTTAGGTACATTTTACTCCTTTCACATATAGGTAGATTTCAATAAAATACAGTGACCAGCCAAAGGAGAAAAATGTACCTTCTTGCGCTCGTATATTTTAAGGGCTTCAAAGAGTGGGGCGGGGCCAAAATTCAATGGGAATTGGATGTAAACATGGTACCCCTACTCAAAATAAAGACATATACCTTCCAAATAATGTTTCCATTTTCGGTAAAAGTTGTATTCCATGAGGGCACACATATCAGTGACTAAGTGCGTGTAAAATTAGAGTAAAATTTAGATATTTAATTTTTTGTCAATTTACCGGGGGCCGTATGGCACATCATCCTTTTATCTATATTTATTCAATCCATCATTACGATATACATGTATATAATTATGGATTTTCATGTTTTACATGTTATATGTACATTATACAATAAAGCTGCTACGTGTCGTTGCTTTGTCCAAATAGTGTGTTGTTGTTTATTGTACTTTCATTTGAAAGTAATGAATGGATTTAAAGTAGAAATATGATGAATTGGTGCAAGCAAGTCCGTGGTACTTCGTATCGGAAATTTAATGCATAATACATGTAGTATTTTAAACGAAAACTGTACTTCATTAAAATCTTTAAGGATATTCCTGTTTACTTTTTTTAGCGTTGCTGAACTTATATAAGAAAGAATTTATTTTTAAAAGCTATTATTTTGTCACCATAAATAAAGCAATGTTAAGAAATATTCTAAAAGTGATGGCATATCTTATCAGTTCTGTACAAGAAACACGTGGAAAACATGGCGCTGTCCACAAATTCTTTACGTCTAGTTTACTTACTCTGTTTCTATCAAGTGTCATTGCCAGAAAAACTTGGAGGGAGTCTTCCAAACTTTGAATTCGATTTCGATGCACTTCCTGGAACTCAGCATGAATTCAAAGTCGACGTAAAGGCAGGGAAAGAGGAATGTTTTGTACAGAAGGTGGCTCAAGGAGCCAATTTATACGTCCAATTTGAGGTAAAATCTCATTTTCAGAAAAAAGCGATTTTTGGTCAATGATATAGATCTACATGTATTATGAATTAAGAAATGTAATGTGTGTGTGAAATTTTACGTAAGAGCTTAAGTAAAAATCACTAGTAACAAGAAATCTTATATCTTAGATAAAGTTCTTTGGTTGTCAGGTGTATTTATCAACGTTACCTGAGTTTATGTAGCTAATTGTGGTATCTCTAATAGAATTGTAACACTATAATGATCTCTCAAAATTAACAAAATGGATAAATAAAACTTGAATTAGGTAAGAATCATGAACTAACAGAAGTATTAGCTTTACAAATAATATAAATGTATGAGAAATAACTTGGGTTACAAGAGGAAGTATAGTCTCCATCAAATTATCAGATTATCATTCAAAAGTTGTGTGACTTTCACATGTATGCCAGGGCAAGAGGTGATCATGATGGCTCAGGTACCTGGTTTTTTTTTACTACTTTCGTATATTTTAAATATTTTAACTTATCCATTTTAAACATTAATTAACATTAAAACTTTTAAAATATTTTTTGAATTTGTTTTTAATACCGTATTTAGTACATGATCCTGCTGTATTCATTATGAAAAAGTGTAAGAATTTTCAGGTTTAATGACGTTGGTCATCAACACCATTAAGGTTGGTTCCATATCTTTCCTATAAGACTTCTTAAAGATTTAAAGATTTGTACAATTTCGTGTATTTCAAAAATCTATGCAATTATTCATATTGCAGATACTTCTGTTAGGAAAAACGTGAAAAGACCTGACACCTCAATATCATTTTTTAAAAAAGCAAAGATTCTTAAACTTTTCAATTACAGAAGGGATAATGTGCCATTACCAAAGGAGGATCCAGCGCCAGCGCCCCCCCCCCCTCATTTAAATTATTTTTACATGTATGTAGAAGTTATATGTCCATTTTCCTAAAATCAAGGGAAAAACACCTCTTATTTGTAAGAATTCGTCAGTCCCCCACTAGGGCGTTGCAGCCCCCAGACTGCAGACTTTGCAGCCCCTCTTCCTTCTACTGCCCCACCCCCCGTTATGAAATTTCTGGATCCGCCACTGATTACATAAAAATAATTTGCAAATTGCAACTTTTCTGAAAAATATTTTCTGTTCTTTGTGAATTTTTGATGTTAGTGAAGCAATTTTTACCTGAAATATGAATAAAAATAATATTTATGATTTTTTTTAAAGACAGTACATTGTCTTTAAAACAAAGTTTACTTATAAGAAAATATTTCCGTATTATGTTTTACATTGAAATACAAATTACGTAATATCAATATCTAGAGGATGACTATCCCATGTGATGTTATATTTCAGGTTTTACGGGGAGGAGATAGGTCCATAAACGTGGTGTTGATCGATCCTCACTATCAAATCATTCAACATTTACCCTATCAAACAGACGGCAAAATAGACCATGTAGCGGTGATGTATGGTAAATCATCAAAATTGCAATAAGCTTTGAAAGCCTTTTATGTAGTATCGTCGGATACCCACGGGTGATCTCGGCTACTTATTACTTATGATAACTAAAAGACGAGATCACTCGTGGGTATCCGACGAAGTTTTAGTACTTGTTTCAAGTAACTGGATGTTTGATATTCTGCATTTTGTTTTTAAAACAGGGTACCGTCTTAAGTTTTCTCCATAGAGAGGGAATTAAAAGAAGGTACCTGAAATACTGTTTATTCGGAATTAATAAACTTTCATTTATCGAATGTATTTTATGTAACACAATCTTGAAATAATTCTGCATTTTTATGCCCCCGATCCGAATTCGAAATTTCGGGGACACGTAGTTTTTGCCCTGTCTGTTCATCTGTCTGCTTGTCTGTTTGTCCACAAAAACTTGAACCTTGCCCATAACATTTGATTGGCTGGAGCTATGGCTTTCATATTTCACCTGTGTATTCCTTGTGACAAGACCTTTCTTTGGGTACCAACGCGTTTGACCTTTTGAGCTTGACCTTTGAGTTTGTCCCAGTTTTGCATAATTTTACCCAACCTTAACCTTGGTTATAATTTTTGAATTTCTTGTGACAAGACCTTCCTTTGAATACCAAAAATTATAGCCCATTGACCTTGGCCTTGGAGTTTGACCTACTTTTGGAAAACTTTAACCCTGACCATTACTTTTGAACAGTTGGTGCTAAGGTTTTCATACTTCACATATGTAATCATTGTGACAAGACCTTACTTTGGATACCAACAAATTTGACCTTTACCTTGGAGTCTACTTTTGAAAAACTTTAAACTTGGCCATAACTTTTGAATGGTTGGCTAGGGCTTTCATATTTCACATGTGCATTTCTTGTGAGAAGCCTTTCCTTGGACACCATTAATTTTAACCATTTGACTTTGATGTTTGACTTACTTTTGAAAAACTTCAACCTTTCCATATCTTTTCAATAGTTGCTGCGAGGGCTTTCACATTTCACAAGTATATTCCTCGAGACAAGACCTTACTTTGGGTACCAACATATTTGATTTGCATATGAGAAAGTTTAACTTTCACTATAAGTTGCCATACGGGGGCATCAGTGTTTCACAAACATATCTTCTTTAAGGTGCATATCAACTTTGTTTCGACAATACCGCCAGTAGATTCGCTGGAAAGCTGGTATACATTTACATCGTGACGTACGTTACAGAGGAATGGACGAAATATCTAGAGGAGATTCAGAGTGTCAGTGCCTCTGTTAACAATTTTACGGTAAATACTTATACTTAAAATCTACCATGATCGCTAGGTTGAAAATTCTTTGCAAAAGCCCAATTAATTTTTCAAAGATCTTTCAATTTTTTTATGTATCCATAAATTTTCTTAAATGCATGTCACTTTGTGTATCTTTCAAAAAGCAAGAAATGTATCTTCAGGAATAAATATATCTTCTTTTGATCGAAAAAAAATCTTCAGGAAAGAGATTTTTAATACATTAAGAAATACTTTGTTCTGGCAATAAATATTTCAAAGAACTTACAGTGCCAATTTCTGGAATGAAAAGCATTATCAAAAGTTCGAAATGTTTAAAACATATAAACTAGAAACATTTCTGGTACATATTCATATTTATAAGAAGTCTTTATTCATCAAGGGTGCATTGGCTGGAGTCCAAACATCTATAGAGCAAATGAAACTCCATCAAACAGAGAGCCGGATGCACGTCATAAAGGATTGGTATCTCGTGACCGGAAATAACAAATACGTCATGTATTGGTCCATTTTCCAAATGTGTGTTGTTCTTTTCACAGGAGTATTCCAAGTATTTTGTTTAAGGAGATTATTCCGAGTGCAAAGTGTGACTCCAACGTCAAAGCCAAGAGCCTGATATATCGTCAGATTTCACCACCATTTGTTTGTAAAGCCGGTTAACTAAACATGTCATCCATTTATTTTTTAAATAAGTATAGATCATATATAATATGTATGCCCAAGTCGACATTGCCAATCTTATTCAAAATGTGAAATTCATGGCATTGTGTACATTTCTAGATTAGTTGTATCGAAATGCACTCCATCAATGGTTCATGTTAACCAGATTAAGACATTTTATTGATTGATATGTCTACCGGGTATTATGGGCATTTATTCCGAATAAAATTCGCTCAAATTTGTTGTTTTGAGTCAATATAGAGAACTTTGCTGTTAATGATATATAAAATATTTGATGGATGTATTGATTGATTTGTTTCATTATTGATTAATTTGATCGTATTTAAGTTCTTGTTTATATTCATATGTTTTTTATATTTCATCGAGTTCAACTTAACATGTCACGACAAGAAACACTGCCAATAAAATTGATATAAACTTGTTTTTGTGCATCTGACCTTTATTAATCTCTACAGTGATTATGATGTCGTATGATTGACACAAATATTGTACCAGCTAGACAGAAACCAGTGAGACAAATCCTGTGAAAAAAGGCAGGCCTTAATGCATTTTAAGCAAATACTAGTTCCTCGCCCACCTTTTATTCTCAGTGCATAGAAAAAACAATGCACAGCATCGACTCACCAGTTGATTGATTCTGGGTGTTTTTCAACTCAAGGTACCTGAATACTCAAGAAAAATGTGCTGATCAATATCACATCTCATCGGTGTTACCGATCATGGTGCAACAGATCATGCAGATATATGTAGTTACTAGTATCCCGGCGGAAAAAAAACTTTCAGGAAGTTCATAGTTATTAAACGCACAAACTGACAGCACTACCGCGACACATAGAAGTTATGTCAAACAGAGGGTAGGCCTTTGATTCCTACATAGAGAAAATACTAGTAGTTAGTGGTGATAAATGCAGCAAGTAGTTGTTTACCTTAGTTAAAGACCAGAAATGAGACAGCAGTGGCATCTCACCACTCAAGAAAAGTAGAATTCCAAGAGTTGATCCAAAGGATAAGGTGGACATTCTGAGTAAATTTTCTGTTTTTTTTTCTGTAGAGGGTAATTCAGTACTTCCTGATCTTGGTACCCATTCAAGACCTGCAGCCCATATCCGTCAGCTGCTATCAAGACTGACCCCGCTTAAAGCCAGCGGTCCGGATGAGGTGCTCACCCGCTTACTCAAGAAAATGACCAGGAAAATCACACCCGCACTCACATTTGTCTCAGGTCTCACTACACCTGTACAAAACCCGAACAGACTGGAAGAAAGCGACAATAGCATAGATTTTCAAGGAAGACAAGAGCAAACCATCCAACTATCGCCCAGTGTTTCGAACTTCGGTGTGTTGCAGTCTTAGAACAATTAAGTTATAGACAGCTCCATCATGCAGTTTTTCGACCAGCACAACATCTTGTCAGGCGTGCAGCATGTCTTCCGAAAATCACTATCCTTCGAATCCGAACTTATCCAAGATCTGAACTTATCCTTATCATTCAAGACAAAGCGAATGGACAGACGATTACTTCCATACTGAAGTTGTGCTCCTTCACTTCTTTAAGGCATAAAGTGTATCAGCACCAGGCTAAAAAAACTACATCACTATGGAATCAATGACCCTAAGTGCCTCACTTGTCTTGGGTTGACTCATACCTAAACAACAGAATTCAGCCAGTGGCCGTTGAAGGCGTGATGTCGGAATCAGCACCAGTATAATATCCGGAGTACAACAAAGGGCTCTGATGGACCCGTTGTATTCTTTGTTTATATAATTGAGGAACAGCAATGTGGAAGACATGACGGAATTTCAATTTCATACAACACGGCCTGAACAATCTTCAAGAATGGGAAGCTAACTGGTTAATGGCATTTAACCCCTATAATTTTGAAGTAATCTGTCTCGAGTCCGACCAAAAGGGCCAAATGCTACACTGTAGCACGTTGGAGTGACTGAGAATCTCATCTGTAACCACTGCATAGACCAGGTGTCTAAGAAGGTTAACTCCAACACAGACTTTCTCCGACGGAACCTTCCATCCTGTCTTCGAAAAACCGAGGAGATGTGTTGTATCTCAGTGGTCCGACCACCAATTGGACTATGCCTGTACTACAGTAATTGACACCCTGTACCCAGAGCAACATGAACGAAGTGTTTACAGCACAGGGCTGCATGATATGTGCTTACCGACTACCAGCAGTGTCACATTTATAATTCAACAACTGGGATGAGAATCCCTTCCACAACACAGACAGGCAGCAAAAGCAATGATGATGTATAGGATCTTACGCTCCCTATTATAATGTACTAATAATCATTACATCTTCATTCTGCAATCCTTTTGGTACTGCAACTAAAGTTTATCATCAACGACTGCAGAACCACCGGGACAGACATCATCAAAGGATCTTTTTTTTTCTATCTCGTGATCTTGGATCCGCCTGTGGAACACAACCATCCAGTGTCACAGGAGCCCAAACCCCCACTCGTTAAAGTCGGGGCTTGCAAAGATGAAGCAAATATCAGTACCAATAATTGGTTGGACTAAATTTAACTTAAAAATATAAAGGAAAAAAAAACAACTTTTAAAATCTTCTCAAGGACATCAAAGGCACGATGAGTCATATTATCATTTCGATATGGAAGCATCCCCAGGCACTGTAAAATTCAAGTTTATTCAAATCATGACCTACGGGGGTAGGGTAGGGCCTCAATAGGCGATCAAATTTTTATACAGGAATATATAGGGAAACAATCTGCTGATGAAGATCAACAGGACCATTGTGACTCAGGATGGGTCTTTTGTTCTTTGGCTTTGCAACTTCATTTTGTAAATGCATATCAAAGATAGGGTATGAAATCTTATCCGATTTTCCTTGGATCAAGTTTTACAGAAAGTACTAGGAAAATTCATGAAACTATAACGTGGAATGCAGAAAACCAGGATATTTTCTTGTGTTTTAGCTCTGCTAGTCAGAGACCAGAAGTACTTATGTATTAGCAAGGTGTCCGTCTGTTTGTTCGTCTGTAAAAAAAAATTAAACGCTATTTCTTTTACAGTACTGTTTTGATTTGATCTCAGTAAGACTTCGTAAAGAAGTAGACTAGATACCAAGATACATAATTCTCTTTGTCGATTTTGGATTTCAATAGAGAGTGTTACCATGGGAAATAAAAATATTTTTAAACTTATTTCAAAATGCTCCTTCTTACAGTGTTTTGGTATGATTTCAATAAGAATATACATACAGTGTAATACTGTATATATCGACATCCGATATCGTGAACAGTGTTGTTAGAGTTACTAAAAATAGACAAATATAAATTGATTTTTTTCAAAAACGATGTTCCTCCCAAAGATTTGGTAAGATTTTAACAATACTTAATGCCCAAGTAGATTATAGTAAGATACATAATTTTCTGGTGTTATCATGGCTACTGAACACAGAAAAATTGTGATTTTTTTTTCAAAATGCTTCTCCTCCTAGACTCTTGGTCCGATTTCAGTAAGATGTTATATGAAAACAGACTATATAAAGAAATATAATTCTGTATATCGGTTTCTTATTTATATGAAGGGTGTAGCCATAGTTACAAAAAAAAAAAAAAAATAGAAAAATCTTTCTCTGAAAATCTTTCAAAACGCTTCTAAGATACGTTATTCTATTTATTTATTTCTGATTTTTCAAGGTGTTACTATGGCTGCTAAAAAAGAATTTTTTTGTGATTTTCTTTAACTCCCTCCTACAGCCAATAAGACACGATGCACAAACAGACTGTACTAAGATACAATATTCTCTATCAGTTTGTTTTCTTTTTAGTTTTCACGAATGGTGTTGCCATGGTTACTAAAAATAGAATTACTTGTGAAAATGCTTCTACTCTTACAATCAAGTTCAATTTCATTAAAACTAAGACATTTTAGATAGTTTTGGTCTTATTTGAAGAGGACTGTGTACACAAGTAGTCTATACTTAGATCATACATGTATATCTTTTTATAAGGTTTTAATTTAGATATACATGTAAAATTTTACAATGTTTATTGATAGACCTCAGGAAAATGTTTTAATTATTTCAAAATGCCATCCCCCTTCTGTTTTTGGTCCAAGTTTAATAAAAACCTGGTACACAAGTAAACTAAACCGAGGATCATTTCTTATTTATTGGTAATGAAATGGTTACTAAGTTTCAAGTCAAGTTTTTTTATTCTTTTTTCTAAATTTGTCAGGCTTCTGATGCCTCCGAGACTTCTGGTTGTTTTTTTTTTAAATTCTTTTTTTAATATTTTTTTAATATCAGAGACCTAGACCTCTAGGTCTATGTTAATATATGACTTTGTCTCCATGTGTGTGTGTGTGTGTGTGTGTGTGTGTGTGTTTGGAGGGGGGGGGGGTTAGGTTTATTAAACTGTATGGGTTCAGTAATGGTCCTTTCTGGTAGGGCTATATTAAAAAGGAGTGTAAAGTGGAATAAGTACATAATTATTAACTATCAATAAATGTAATACATTTACATGTAATAAGTGATCCTAATAAATATGTAAAACATGTCCACTGTTTGATTTTACTGTAAAGTATATTCCACATTCCATTATTTGTTTAAAGCTGGTTTGAAATGATAACTAACATACAAATCATAGTATATTTATTGCATTAATAAAATTCATAGACCAAACTTAATCTAACAAAGGAAAAGATAGAATCACAATATATCATCAATCACTAACAAAAATATTGTCCACTACCTGAAAAGAACTAACAGGCAAGTATATTGGATGGTGAGCAAACAATCAGAAGAATTCTAAAGATAGCACTAGTAAAAATTAGTATCTATCACAAGGTCACTGGATTGTATACTAAGTTGCCAGAGAAGATATATATATTGCACAACAACCAAACTAAATTTCAATACACAGAGTGAAAACTCATTCAGCATTTGGTATATATAGCATATTTTCTCCACAATGTGGAAGATGAAGTGAAAGATTAAAAAAGAATTAAACTTATAACATATGATTCCTCATTTATTATGATAATTCTGAAAAATATACATGAAGACAAGATTTTTTATAATCAAAAAAAAAAAAAAGAAACCCACCACAAATTGATGTTAAGGTGTCCTAGAGTGCTGCAATTGCCAAAAGTAACATATTTTTTTTTTTACCATTTCAAATCTTTTCTAATTACTGGCAAATCAGAGGAAATAAAAAGAGACAAATGTTCCTTTCCTCAAATATTTTTTTAATGAACGCAATGAATATATAGATATATATATCTGCTATATAAACACAATCAATAATGCTCTCTTCAATGTTTGAGAAAGCCAGGGTTTATGTGTGTCCAATACATGTAAGTTAAAACAATAATTACTTTTAAAAATTAAGGGAGATAATAATTCAAACAGTAGTCATTAAAAAATATTCTCCCCCCAAAATTATAGAAATCTATGCAAATTTTAAGTGCCTTAAAGTTTCAATATTTCTAGAGAATTACAAAGCAATCTGAGAACAGAAGCACTGAATTACTGACTTGAACTTTTCCTATGTGACCTTTGACCTAATTAATTCTTTGAATTACTGCAAAATACATGAAATACTTTTAAAAGATACTTTTTCTGGATATTTTTAAATAATTTTTTGAATCACACATACATTACATCAATTCCTATTTCTTTTTTTACTACAGTGCATGTGAACAAGTCACATATAAAATGTTGTCTCATCCAATATAAATCATCTATCACTTGCCTCTTAAGTGCTATATCACATGACTTCTTAGCCATTTCCAGCATCAATGACAATTTTCTAAAAATTCTATCCAAAACAAATAAAAAATGATAAAATGTTGTGTCATCAAAAATTTCTGTTTTCCTAAATTTTTTTTAAATTTATTTTTTCTTGCCATATAATAAAAAAATCAGAACATTATTAACATGATATTCAATTTTTACTTTGCATCTCATAACACTCTTCAATATAAACTGGACATTAACCTTAAAACCTGGAGGGTGACTTCAGACTGACATAGGATACTACAGAAAAACAGCATGTGAGAGTCTTTATATTCAAATCTCCATTAAACTAACTCATATAGATATGTAAAAATATACAACTGATTTGGTATTTATCTTATAACTGTCCAAGCAATATATCCATCTAAAACAACTGTCAAGTCTATATTATAGTACATAAAATATGAATGATAATAAAATAGACTTGTATCTCGTAAAATAAAATTGAACTCAATTGAATTCGGTTACATTTTTAAGAGGAAACAATCATGAACAAAGCATGCTGATTTTAAAGAAAAAGCTTAGAATTTAAAGCATAACATAAAATCTGGGAATGTTATTATAACAAAGAAATATTAATAATTGCATTGTTCTACATGGCAGCCCTATTGTAGAGAGAACACATGATCATACTGAAAACATTATAAAGTACCAAAAAGCATCAATATTACAAAAAAGAATCTAGTGAGATTTTCACTTTTTATATCTATATATAAAAAAATGTCTTCATCAATCGTTTTTTTTTTTTACACTGAAAAAAAATCTTAACTTACCTATTTTTTACTGCAGAAAACAAAGAACATTACAAGATGCAGGGCTTAAAAATAATGTACCGATATGCCCATCAAGGTAGCCAATATACCATGAGTTAAAATAATATAACTGTGTTTTGGGACAAGACCTCAACACACTTGAATATGTCCAATATAGTGGCAATATAGCAATTAATTGAAGTGGATCTGTTAATTTAAACCGGGTCCATAGTACAATATCACTTAGCAATAGAATACTCCAACCAGTACACCACTGATTTACCCAGTCTGTCCTATTCATCTGATTTCTTGACAAATATTTTCTTTGTTGATGAAAAATCCATTTTGGTACTTATAAAACTCTTTTTAGGAGCTTAAGATTCATGATTTTAATGTTGAAATGTTTGTATTCCAGAAATTTCTTTTTCTTTTGAGTAAATATGATCAACAACAAAACAATGTAGAAGACAATTGTACAGTGATGTGATTTTGAAATGGATTTATTTCCAGGAATTGTGAAAGACAAGTAAGAATGGAACAAACACTTTAGGCTAAACAATACGCTAATGATTCATGCAGAACTACAGTGAAGGACAAAGATGGCTTCTCTTTTGTACAGAGACCCTAGTTTTTTTTTGGGGGGGGGGGTTTAATTTCATTTTTTTTCCATGTTGTGTGTATCAATATAAACAAACATTAAAGCAGTCAATGGATTTTATTTTTGAGGCCAAAACTTCCATTCAGAAGCAGTTAAGCTTCTTTTAGAAGCTATATTTTTTAGAAATCATTCGAATCCTTTTGAACTGAAACTATTATACCTTTGCTTAATTTGTTGAAATTCAGACTGACTCAATATTTGGTGAAATGATTAAAATTACATTCTGTCGGTAGAAAAGGACAGGTTATGTGGTTTCAAACCTTTAAAAGATGCAATATAAAGTTTGTGTTCTGACTAATTCAAAGTTGTAAAATTTAACATAAAATAATGCTATGATTAAAATATCCATATTTCCTACATAGACTGAGTATTTATTCAAACTGTATACTAGCATAAAAGCTACTCTAAAACTTTCCTATAGTAAAAAAAAATCTCTAAATATTCAGGAAAACTGGCCAAGGCAAAAACCAAGGATCTGAACTCTTGATCATCACATCTGCATATTGAAATTCATCTGTCTATACACATCATTACTGGAGTGCAGGAAGAGTGCAAGAAGGTCATACAGATTACGCAGTAATCAGTGCAGTGGCAACTCAGGTTAAAACAGCTGATCATGTGTCAGAAACTCCATTGGAGACCTGTTCCAGGGCCTGAAATACATACAGTCCAAGAATTGCAGTGAGTTCTGGCTATCTCAGAAGACTGATACTGTGAGAGACAAGATTGCTATTCTTGTTGTGCATTTATGTGTTGAATAGATGATAATCATACAGTGTGAATTTATGTTGGCCTTAGATCCAATAATAAAAAATGGTGAACATATTCATAAAGCCTTCTAAGCAAACAATGATCCAATGTGCTACATAAAGCTGATGACAATGCAACATATTATTAATGTTTTAATCATTTTTACTTCAATATTCTATTATTTCAATGAGATTTTTCACTCACTTTACATCAAATGTCACTATCAATGGTCACAGTTCTCCAGATGTAATGAATGAAGCAAAACTCCATGGTACATGGCTTTGCTTTTTTTAATGTGTAATTATCTACCACAAGTATGAGATATATAACAAAATACACTTGTTTTTGTTTTTTTTTACCTATCCTCAATTTTATCCCTGTTTTTCATTCTCCATGAACTGATTGAACTCTGAAGTACACACATTAATTTACAAACAGGACATAACTATATTTTCAAAATTCTCACCTCCTTAGCAAATTGTGGAATCACGAACGATGCCTTATGAATTTCTGAGTTGTAATACTTCATTTTCATCTTCTTGATCTCACTCTCATTGTAAATTCTTCTTGGTTCATTAAATTTAACATCCTTAAATCAAAATAATCCATGATTATGAATTGATCGATCAAGCTGTATATACATTAAAAAAAACACAATGCTCCAGATAGTGATAAAAAAAATTGACCTTGCAACATCACCTTAAATAAGGATATGATGCTGAACTTTATCAAATATGAAGCTTTTTCCTTGAAACTAAAATACTACATTTTAAATATGAAACCTGCCTTCAAAGTACAGTAATTATGACCAAAGGTAAGGTTATAGATAGACATATACACCCAAGAAAAAATGCTTCTCTTTTTGATATACCGTATATACTCGCCTATAAGTCGGTTTTTTGGGAGTTAAACTTTGGTCCAAAACTCTGTGTCCGACTTATAGGAGAGTCATAAAATGATTGGTATTTAAGAGGGTCAATCCCTCTAATATAAGCTTAAAAAATGCAACCGACTTATAGGCGGACCGACTTATAGGTGAGTATATACGGTACATGTATGTATATATAGAGAGAATCTATTGACTTTATGTTCACTTGATGGCATGATCTCTACCGTATATACTCGCCTATAAGTCGGTCCGTCTATAAGTCGGTTGTATTTTTTGAGGTCATTTTGGAGGGATTTGCTATTGACCGCTCATAAGTCGGTACAACTTTTTGCCAGAATCAGTTAACAATTTCAAATCAATGCTCTGATCTTTGAACCTGGTTTCCATTAATATTTTTAGAAAAGACGCCGATATTTAATTTTAAATCATTAAGAAAAATACACTTAAAAATACACTTAAGATAAAAAAGTTATCAAAATGTGTAAATACTTGTAATTAATGTATATTTTTAGAATACATGAATGATATAATATATCCAGACCTTGTTCAACAATAATCGTGGAAAATGTTTTATTAAATTCTACATTTCGACGTCCTGAAAAATACTTATTTTTATATGACTTGCCTACAAGTCGGACATAGAGATTTGGACCAGAATTCAACTCCCAAAAAACCGACTTATAGGCAAGTATATACGGTAATTCAAAGTGTGACAAATATTTCTCTTACCGGACTGGTGCTGGAAAGAACAAATCCAATATGGCCACCAGTGTATGTGGGAATCAGAGTGTAGGCATATCCCACAGCTTGGAAAGTCTGTCTACAAATTCCCATCAGCTTCTTAATCAATGGTAGATCAAGGTACAGATTCTCCCCTGTGAAAGAATTTAAATTTCAAAGCAATTTACCAAAATATGATTATTTATAGCTCTGAGTAATATTTATCAGAAGTATCAGACACTATGCCATACTTCAAAGGAAGGACTTGAAATTGTTTGAGAAGAAAATGTGCATTTTTTCTCAGCTTTTATGTATTTAGGATAAACCAGGAAAAAAAATAGCAAGTTGAAATAATATTGGAAGTTGTAGATTATATAGTACTGTGGAATCATTTTCATTTGTGGGGGTCAATGTTCATGGACAACCAAAATTTTATTGATAATTTCGTGGGTAACTAATATATTCACCCTCCTTCCACATATAGTACATGTATATATTGGAATTCTTAGTTGCACATAAGGTGTATCTTTGAATGTTTTTTGGAATCATGGATTAGATGCAAAATTTTATCTACATATTTTACCTTGTAACTCTTGTTAAGGGCAGTATAAAACCTATTTAAATTCAGATAGTGCCAGACAAATGAAACCAAAGCTTTTCACAGAAGCTTTTACCAATGCATAATTTATATGCTGCATCTGACCTTCCTGTTTTACTTTTAAGTATTATTCCTAAGTGCACATTTTGCAATTTTGACAACTTTCATAAAAAACTACAGACTTGAGACTGGGTCTAACCTTGACAGCAGATGATTCCATTGGTACGTAGAGCTGCCTTCATACTAGCATAATACGACTCCTCATAGAGCCCGGCTGCTGCACCTAAAAGGCATTTAAATATATCTCTTATAGTGGATGAATCCAAAGGATGCAATTAACATTCAAAAATCATCATAAATCATGTAGGTTCTACACATGAAGATTTTCCTTTTTCCTGAGTGGAACAAAAATTGTTGCTTACAGGAAAAAAAACTAGCTGCCATAACAATGTACATGATAACAAATACATGTACTAAGTATACATCTAACACCTATTCTCACATAATCCGTCCACATGCAGCCTAACTTTCATTGAAAAAATAAAGTCATTATTTGGGGGAGAAGTCGATGTTTTTTAGCAAACAAATCATGGGAGAATTATTTTTCAAAATATCAGAACTCAACCATGCATGATGACAAAAATATTCAATATGCAATATAGGTAGTGTATTTACCTTCGTAATTTACGTTATTATCTTACGTCGAAATGAACCCGTCAAAAATCGTTTTATTGCCGAAATGAATATTCAGTTTCACTTGGATTTTTTTAGCACTATGTCTGTACTAATAAAAATACTTCGAAAATTTTGTTTTTTGCCAGTGTTTTTCTCTTAATTTGTAATTAACAAATTTTATTTGCTTTAATCTTATTTTTCAACTGAAATAATTCTGTTCCTTCTTACTAGAAATGTTTAAGCTGAATTCCTGTGCGACTTACTTTTATGTTTATGAATCATAAGAGAAGAGGATTTTAAAATTTAATTTGGGAAGAGACTGTGAAAATTCTAAATTGGTTTTTCTTAAAGAAATATATTGATAACGTAAATTACAATTTTACTGGTATTCAAACCAAAAATTAATATTTTCTTGAACTTATTTTCATCCATCTAATGACATGCATTATTTTCAATTGCCCACAAAATGCCACAAACACTGATTATTTTTCATCCTTTTGAGAGATTCACAGTTAAATATAATGACAATGTAAGATCTGCTGTTGGTATGTATTTTTTCCTATCTTTCTCTAGTTATGCCTCTCCCTATTTTTTCCTCTTTTATTCCCCATTTGCTTTTTTAATTTCTGCTTTTGACTTTACAATCTCTGTTAAATGAAATCTATGAAATATAATTACGGAGAAAGGCAATTAAATTATATTTAATTTATGTTATTTTTACTGTAATTTACGTTATGAATGTTTTGCTTCATCAAGTAATCAATGAAGAGAGATTTATGCGTAAAATATTGCTACAAATAAATAGAAGTACACCTTGTTTGTAAAATCAACTGAAATTCACGCCAAAAATACATCTTTGAGGAATTATTTGAAAGTTGTTAAAGGTAACACGTAATTTACATTATCTGATGGCGCTTCCTGCATCAGATCTACATCGGAAGTTCGGTGATGTTAAGATGCTTTCGAGAAGAAACCAATAACGTTTCCTGCATGGTTCCGTATTGTCCCGACGTCTTATTTGCAAGATAGGTACCATATATGTATTATACTGATAACGTAAATTACATAACGTAAATTACTTTCTATCAGATTAATTAGTGTAAAATGTGTAGTCGCACAGATCAATGTTCGTTTTAATATTTTACGTGTTTGGTAGGTCAGGAGGAAGAAATAAATTAATATGCAAAGACAATTTTACTTGTATTCTTTAAGTATCGTTGATAACGTAAAATACATCCTTAAAACGAACCACTCACCTCTGGTTAAAAGACCAATGTGTTTCTGTAAGTATTCTGTCATATAACTTTTCTTTGTTTCTGATTGCATTTTATGGACTTTGTTGGATATTCTAGTAGATATTTTATGTTTTTAGATACCCTTTTATGCTGTTTACACAAATACTAAGATTTTGATAACGTAAATTACAGAAATTTAGCGACAAAGTTATTTCATATTTTTTAAAAATTTCACTGTAGACAAATATCTAAAAGTGTGAAAAATCAATATATTCATGCATTGTTATATGTAAAAGTCGTGCTTTTTAGCATAAAATGTAATTGTTTTGTTTTATTCATTGGTCCAAACTTTGCCTTTTGCCTAAGCGACAGATCGAGAAGCCATTTATTAGACTATATACTTGGATCCCAGGGAGGTTTTAACCTGTGTATTAACACTTAACAATGTTGGTTTGGTAACTAGACGTATCACAAACGAAAACACTACAAAATTTACCAATTATTTTAATAATAATGTAATTTAAATTGCTTGCGACATCCAAATAGCGCATATGGACGGATTATGTGAGAATAGGTGCTAAATATTTTAGGCAGAGTATAAAATTCTAGTCAGTGCTGCATGTCCAACATCAGTAAAATTTCATCAGGACTGACACTTGTAAGGAATTTTTAGCATGAAAAAAAAAAAATAAGTTCAATGGGTTTTTTTTTTTTTGATATATAATAAATAAGGATTTGTAACATTTAAGAGTTTCCTACACTATAGGAATTTTACATGTAATTTACTAATTATTTAAATACCAATAGGATCTGGTGCATCAGTGATGATGACATCAAACTGTCCCTTGTGTTCCTTCATATACTTAATTCCATCTCCCACAAACACGGTCACTCTGGGATCACTGAGACAGGAAGCCATGGAGGGAAGATGCTTCTTACATACTTCAATAACCCGCTGTCTCCAAAGAAAACAAAGTCAAGTGAACAGATTTCATATAAGATCACTTCATTATTAAAGGTTTTAGCACTCTTTTTTTTCTTTAAATCTATGGTTATTACATTTGAAACAAACTATTCAACTAGTTCTACTTTATACAAATCACTGGTTTCATTCTTCCCCCTTAAATCCTGTGATATATCGTACCAAGACTGCATCATTCTATGTGTATAAAATTTGCAGCTTATTCCATTGTACTGAATTAATGTAAAGGGCAATTATAGAATCACATGTACTTTAATCTAATGAAGTCAAAGAAGGACAACTAAAAACTGCTGTAGATCCACAACTACTACTACATGTATTTGTTGAATGTTATCTCAGGCCATCATTATAGTGAAATTTGGTTATAAAGAACTTGCTTATAAGGAAATTTCACTTCAAAGTACTTTAAAATGGGTGATATTGTAAAGCTTTATCATGTTTGTATGAAATGTATGTCCATACAGTTCACCATAGATTTTAGAAGACAAAACAAAAACTGCAAGTTGTTTAAGGGAAATATTAAAAATGTTCATCCCTTGAAAACCATATTAATTAAATAAATATTGTAAACAATTAATTACATCTAGCATTACTGATAATGCCCTAATTTATTCTTCCAGATAAAGTGTATGTTTGCCTGTCCAATACTTGAATCATGGATATAACTTTGTAAGTGTGAAATGAAGACTTTATTTATTCAGGTCTTTGAAAGCAACCTCCATAAATAATGCCAAGGCAATCAATGTCAAATGTATACATGTATTTGATCTATATATACATGATATAGGGATCAAAGTTTAAAATAGAATCTGATATCACCATAGTCATTGTGTTTGAACAACACATTTTCCTAATAATAATTAATATAATAAAACCTTATTTGAGGTGACCTTATAAGAATTAACATTACCTCATCTATTTCACACAAAATGACCTTCTGGACACTTGTATTTTTCAGAACCTCCCGGACTACACCTCCATCTCCACCTCCCACAACAAGCACCTGCAGGAGGTATACAGTAAAACATATACAATGTACTTGGAGCAAACATAATACATGTATACTTAAAGCAAGTCTGGTCCTAAGAACATAAAGTGAAAACAGATTTATCAATATAGTCAAAATTTAGATTTTGAATGTCTATGTATGTTTAAAAAGTTGAAAGTTTGTATAATACTCAAATACAAATATATGATGAAAATTTAAAGTTTTGGTGTAAGGAAGGTCTAAACACTAATTAAAAAAAAAATGGGACTTTGAAAAAATTATATCATATTAAGATTACATACTGAATTTATCTCGTTCATTTTCAACACAGTGTGTCTTCCATATTTCTCCAGGAAAAATGTTCAAAGATAATAAAGTAATAAAGTACAGAATTTACTGTTGTTAACTTACAATGGAAAAATATAAATGCAAAATAATGTTTCAGTTACTCACACAACTTTTAAAATATCTTTTTCAAATTCTGTCATTTATAGGGCTGGGACGATATATGGATAATATCAATTTTGTGTGAGGAAGATACGCATATCAATACATATTGTGTAAAAATATCGAAATATTGCCAAAAATTTTCGACTTATTTTTTTTTCTTTGTCTGATTAATATTTTGGGTTAAATATATAAAACAAATATGCTAAATATAAATATGAAATACATAATAATTAATACCACTTTTGAGAAATAATTTTGTTTGACAACAGATAAACATCTATGAATAAATTATTCTTTTTTGCAAAGAAACGTTTCGTTCTTTCTTAATAGAAAAAGATTTTATAACTAATTCAAAATATTGCGATACATATCACACTGTGGCTCTTATATCGTGATATGTATCGATATAAAAAAAAGTTGTATCGCCCCAGCTCTTGTCATTTTTTTTATAGATTTCTGGGTTTTTTTTCCATTTTACGTTGAAGATAAGATCATTCTTACTGCATAAAACTACCAGGGAATCAGAACTCCTCAGTGAGCAGTGTTTAGAGCTTCCTTATGTCTTTTCTTAGTTCATGGTTTTGAGACCTGTTTACAAAGTCACACTTTGTCAGCAGAAAGTTCAGACTATAGTGAAATATCTACTGGATATGTTGAATATCTACTGGATAAGATGAATATCTACTGGATAAGGTGAATATCTACTGGATCTGATGAATAAAGATAACAAAGTGACACCAGCTTCTCTAAAAGTTCTGTAAATTCCTGATCTACTGTTTTCATTATGACTGATGTACCAAAAATTTAATATGCATACATTTCAGGGATTAATCTAGGTTTTGGGGAAAACTACCCTTTTTGGAGAAATTGGGAAAATCAGCCGGGGGTGTAGGGACCTTCCAGGCCCCTAGCAGGTGCAGGGCAAGCCCTGCTGGGGAGCCCAGTTAAATTTCAGCATGTTTATGACCATTTAGATTGCATGAACCATATTTCAGAGATATCTGATGAAAATTTTACTTTAAATTTCAAGTTTTTAAGAATGAAAAAAAAATTATTTTACTTTTCATTTTTGTAAGGGAAATTTTTTACTCATCAAAAGGAGAAAATGGGATAATCAATGGAAATTTTCTCTTGTGGAAAAATACTGAATATCGGTAGTAAATATGCCCTTATTAATCCCTGCATTTTATTTCTAAGTAAAATGATATTTTGTGTCTATTCAGTATTTGTAGCATCCACAAGTCAAGTCACGTCAGTACATAACACTATGGACACACTGCCTTATATACTGTTGTATACCTGCTGAGGGTTTTCATGGCAGGACAGGGGCAGGTGGGCTATCATCTCCTGGTAGGCATGCTCATCTCTCTCCGTACACTGAATAATACCGTCAAGGACCAGCACATTCCCAAATGATTTGCTTCAAAACAATTCAACTGGCATTATTTCACAATTTTATTATACAGTGCTACCTCGGTATATTGCCCTCCGTTATATTGCAACCCTTACTAAATTGCCAGGAATTCTCGAAGAGTGGATTTCCCCGTGTTAATACACTGTTATATTGCCACCCCCGCTTATTGCCATTCTGATTCAGAAATTCTTGAGACAGTGAAATAATCTACTTTCGATTCAGATGCAATTAATGATAATTCTCAAATTTTTATACCAAGAGGCTATAACGGCCACTGACATCTTTGTCATTGGGTTATTAAATTCTTAGAGCATGATGAAAGGAAACTGATGTGTTCAATATTCTGATATTTTTATATTTATTTTCCATCAAAATATTGTAAACAAAAAAAATAATAATAATAATAATAATGACTTTTTTTTCAAATAGAAATGAGAGATACCCTTATACACATGTGACATCAGAAGCTTATGTAATCTGAAATAGATTGTAACTGAAATAAATTACATAATCTATTTATTTTGTTTTGATTACCCACTGAATTGTAATTTATGACAGAATTCATTTTATTGCCACCCTCGCTTTAATGCCAAAATCTGTCTTGGACAAAAGTTGGCAATATACCGAGGTAGCACTGTATCTTTTAAGAATTCTAAAGGACTAAGTAATGCAAGAATTATGGATAAAGGTAAAGTTTTGCATTATCATTGTGGGTCACACCTTTATCAAGAAATAAATCAAATAAATAATAATGTTTTATTTACTTTTGGTCTTTAAAAAGTACATAAACATGATAATGTTAATCTTCTATTAAAGTTTGCACACATTGCAAGTTGCAACACATATTTAATAGTCAAATATAACCTAAGTGTTTTCTCAAGTATTTGTCATGTGATCATATGATTATTACATAATATATATCATATTACCAGGTACTTGTAATATTTGCACAACTGATTTACAAGTATGATTTATCTTCACAAATGAGCCATTTTTATGTCACACACAAGTATCTCATACTGCTCTAAGATAAATTTATGGTCAAGTAAAAAAAATCATAAATTTCTTTTGGTCAACAATAAACTTCTAAGTTTCTGCGGTACTCTGTCATTTAAAAAGGGATTTCAAGAGATCCATTGTTGCAAACCATGGGTTGTATTGCAATTTTAACTCCTATAAAACCTGTCACTGCAAAAAGCTCTTGAAAATTTTAATTTGGTCTGGCAGACTTTGACCAGGACTGGTAACTTTTAAGAGAGATATTTTCCAACCCTGTCCTTGGGAAGCTTCCATGAAAGTTTCACCTTTTCTGGCCCAGTGGTTCTTGAGAAGATTTTTAAATATTTTTCCTATATATTTCAATTTAAAAATTTTATCCATTATTGTGGCCCCACTCTAACCCAGGGGATCATGATTTGAACAATTTAGAATCTACACTTCCTCAGGAAGCTTCCACATAAGTTTCATTTTTTCTGGCCCAGTGGTTCCTGAGAAGACTTTTAATGACCCCACCCTATATTTTATCTTTTCTTGATTATCTCCCTTTGGAATAGGACTTGGCCTTTCATTTGAGCAATTTAGAATTCCTTTCATTTAGGATGCTTTGTCTCAACTTTGGTTAAAATTGGCCCAGTGGTTCTTGAGAATAACTTGAAAATATGGAAAGATTACCACTGTTTACAGATGGACACACAGACAGCTAGACAGACAGATGGATCCGCGCAGGACAATGGGTGATCAGAAAAACTCACTTGAGCTTTCACCTCAAGTGAGCTAAAAACAGTTTGCCTGCTATATTTTGGGGGTTTGAAGATTCTAAATATATATCCATGATAAATGCATTTTCTCCCCATTTTCTATATTTGATCACTTAGCCTTGGGGCCAAAACCTTTTCTCAAGAAATGTGAATTTCAAGGATCTATTTCTTGTCATGTCCTTAATTAAATGTACACGTAATGAAGAAGTTTTAGAAGCTCATACATGGCACAGAATGTAAGTTATGGTTAAACAATTTGCAATGAATCTGAGCCAAGGTTATTCGAACAAAGTCAAATCTGTCCCATTGAACTGGGACACATTCAGAGGCATTCATGTTCTAATAAACACATCTTGATTTCATAATTTTTTGTACAATTCATTTTCAAATTGACTACATTGGAAAACAAATCCAATTTTTCTTTGGCTCATTTTTTTCTTTCTTTCTTTTTTTTTTCTTTAAAAATGGAGGAATTAAATTACTAACTGGCTATCCTGCTTCATCTTTTGTAGAACATTCAATGCTAAAACTTTGACCTACTTCATTTTGTTCTTTCAAACTTAAAAAAAAAACAAAAAAAAAAACCTAAAGAACTTTGCTTGACATTTTAAAAACTAAAATGTCTAAGATAGTATTGGTTCCTTCTTCATGCATAAATGCTTTACAATAAGACTCGGATTTATTTTACATACATATACTTTTAAAACCTGTACATTAGCTATGGAGGTCAAGATTACAGATTTTTAAAATAGCTGAGATTCACTAGACTGGCAACCAAACTGCATTAAAGGTTTGGGCCTTTAGGAAAATTGGGACATATTTAAATAATTACATTGAAAATTATTATAAAATATTGCACAGAATGCTGTCTCCGGTGGGTACTGTTGGATCCAGATGGTATTTCTATAGCTGTTGCCTTTAAGTTTATTCCACCATCTATGTATTGCATACAATTGTTATTTACATATTTATTATGTACATGTAATTAATGGTCACGTCACAAAAAGCATGTCAATCATAATGTAATTATTGTTTTTATTTGATTGAAATTATGTCTCACAGGGTTAAATTATGTTGTAAATTAGGTATCTTCTAAGTTTCAAGTTGAAATGGTCACTTAATAACCAATGTACTGTTTCTGAAACTAACATGTTTTGATTTTGCATTTTCCCCCTTGTTTGGTGAATCCCTTTAAATATACTATTGCCCATAAAACACACCCCTTTAAATACAATCTGACAATTGCCCATAAAACAATGACATTATGGATATTAACGGGAAAAAATCATTTCAATGCTACAGTCATTTTACCAGTAACAAATATTTGCCAGTATCAAATATTTTTTAATTTAATTATTCTTGACAAGCATAGTGACGGGTTTAAAATTTTCTTACTATGTAAATACAGTAAATGGATGAATATTCTATCCCTGTGTTGTGTCTTTGTAACACCTGCATGGTTATTTTTCGCACTATTTACAATTTGAAACAATGACCCAGATTTGAACACACGCAAGTGCAAGTCATAGAAAACGAAAGTGTGTGAACAAATGCCTCTAAATCAAACTTTTCAGTGTGCTGTTGATCCAGATTGAGTATGTTATCAATATTTAGGATAACTGTAACAATTTTAAATATTAAAATAAATAATAATTGACTTTTAATTGAAATTATAACATCCAAACTAACCACTGGCTGTTTTCCTAGTTTCGAATCATGAATTTTCGAAGTTTGAAAAATGTCGTTTTACAGGATGCAAGAACATGAAAAGCTCACAGAAGTGAAAATACTACCAAAATAAATTACAAGCAAAGATATTTCTTGAAAATTATGTCTTTGAGATCGTTGATTTAATTTTGATAAAGCATATCACGACAAGTTTATCATAAAATGCAAAGTTTATATTGATATACTTGTTTTGTAGAATTTTTCCTGAAGGCATATTTCAACAATAATTTCGACCCGCCGATTTTATTTATTGGGTCAGCAGTAGTAGAGGGTGCTCGATTCGATACTGAAAAATCAATTCGAAACTAGGAAAATAGGGGGTGTTGTAATTGACATCTCTGTCCCTGTACCATTCATATTTTGGGAATTTTGGTACCACTTATTTGAAAAGCATAGAAATACAATTTAAATAACAACCAAGAACATTTGGAACTTTGTAGGTTGTGTGCAAGACGTAAACAATAAACCGATTCGTTACCGGTAAAACGACTGTATAATATGTGGGAATATTTTCTGTTTGTTAAATCATGTATAAACATGATAAACAAGAAAAAGATTTTTTTTCCCTTCCAACCCCCATGATTTTTTTTTTCATTAAGCAGTTAACAAATTTTAATTTTATTCACTAAATTCATCATGGAAAAATTAACAATCTCTTATCACCTTCATCAAGTCATCGTGATAAATGTAACGTGCGCTTACCTTTTAAACACGAGGATCTCTTGAAATTTAGATTTTTCTTGGTGCAAAATTTGTTCTATTTGCAAAGACACACAATATCCAGACCACATCTCGTTCATTTCACGAAACCATTTCCCCTCAATGCACGACATTTTTTGCTTGCAATTTGTCTCTGTGCTAACAGCATCCAAGTATTTCTTAAACAAATACTTCGTCGTCTACTTCTTTACCATGTATTTTTGTTTAACACAATTTAGAGAATAACAAGCCCGATGTGACAATCAAATTGCTCATACAGTGCATGCAGTTAAAACATGAATTATGTAAGACTTACATTTGCTTCAGTAATTGATATTAATAAACAAAATAGAGGGACCAGATCAAGAGAACTTTAACAAATGTCACGTAGGTAATTTTAGGACAAAAAAAGGCAAACAACTCACTGTCCAAACACTTTCCTTTGTCAATTTACTTCAGATTCAGGACTCTTCTTACCATATTAAGGAGGGTCCATGTTTTTCGGGGGAGGGGGGGAGTCATATTTTTCGTTACTTTCACATGTAGAATTTTAATTACTCTCAAAATCCCACGGGGGTCTGGACCCCTCCCCCCCCCCCCCCTGAGCCGATCAGATTAAATTTTACCTATTAAAATGTAGGTTACACGTAGCTATGTATGCAGCCAGCGTCCGTAACACGATTCAAAATGCAAAACCTATGCAAATACAAGTTAGCCGTTAATAACACTTCTGTTGGAAATATTTTTCATATCATGCTTAGGCGCGGATCCAGAATTTTTTTTCCAGGGGAGGGTTCCACACCAGTCAAAAACATTTCGGACCCAAAAAGCGTATTAGACGCTGAAAATTTCTTGACAAGCGAAAAAAAAAATCCGCGCATGATGCTGCAAACATCTTTACTATCTGGATTGAATTCAAGAATCTTTTTTATTTATTTTTTTCCTTCAAAAATCGAGCTATATATGTTTTTAATCTCTATATCTAATTCCAGATAATGTATATACATAGCATCTTAATGAAAGCATCCATATCTATAATGATATTGTTATGCAACGATCATAAAAGATGGTTATTGTCACGGTAGAACTTCAGTAATTAACGTGATCTCTCGTATACTAGACATGCAGCATCCGAGTCGTATTTAAATGGTATCCTTTTATATTGGAATTTCCCATGTAACTTACAACAATAAAACCAAAACAATGTCCCGATCAGTCTCACTCTGCAGAAAATAAATGTTACATGCAAAATCCGAACTATTAATTGTAATTGCGATATGCAACCTTGTTGTCATTATGCAGTTTTATCTCAACATATAGCCACTGGCGGATTTAAGGGGGGGGGGCGTGGGGGGCGCACGCCACCCCTAAAATTTTCAAAGTATGATATGACTAATATCAATAATGCCATACTTTGGTATATAACAAACCAATACCTCTATTTTTGTGCCTGGTTTTACTCTTAAAATACACGAAAACCCAGGAGCTTCCGGGGGCTTCGCCCCCTGGGCCCCCTCTATTCAAAGTATGATATGACTAGTATTAATAATGCCAAACTTTGGTACATATAAACTAACCAATACCCCTATTATTGTGCCTGGTTTTACTCTTAAAATACACGCAAACCCAGGAGCTTCCGGGGGCTTCGCCCCCTGGGCCCACACCAGGGCTTTGCCCTGGGCCCCCAGACCCCCTGCCTGAACAAAGTTATCCACGCCCCCCCCCCCCCCCAATCACAAATCCTGTATCCGCCCATGATAGCTACTTGGAATAATAAACCCACTTTAAAAATACAACCCATCACTAATCCGAAAAAAATCAGTTTACAAGTAATATCGGCATCCTAAATACAGTCAAACCTCGTTACATCAAACACAATGGCACCGAGAAGAAATTTCGAGATATCCGAGGATTCGAAATATAAAATTCAATGTTAAAATATATGAAGAGAAATTGATTGGTACTTCCAAATCACTTCGATATATCCAAGGTATTCGAGATATCAGTGTTCGAGATACCGAAGTTCAACTGTAGTTTTTTTAACCTTTCTCTCTCGTTTTGCGTTTAAGATTTTCTACAAACGCCTTATCAGACTGTACAGAGACCTTTTCTTTATTTGCTGTAAAAATCGGAAACCCATCCCGCATCAGTCCCCACAAGAGTATAAAATCGAAACGTAGGCTTCTGATCTGTTCCTCACATTTAATTAATTTTTCATAAAAAATATTCACACATCAGCAATTTGTATTGCTATACTACTGATAAATAAAGGGAAAATTTCTTCTCATAAATTTGTATACGCACTGAAACCAACCAGTTCTCCCTTGGATCAAGACAAGGCTGCGTCTTTCCACAATTTTTGGGAGGGGAACATGGATGTCAATTTATTGTTATTAATTTATCTCAAGTACAAAAGCCTATTGAAAATTATAGAAAAATTATTTAAGAAAACTTTAATCTCCTATTGTGGCCCTGTCCTAACCCAGCAGGCAATGATCTGAACAAACTTGAAGCTACACTATACCAGGAAGTTTTTACACATATGTTTCATCTTTCCGACCCAGGGTTCTTGAGAAGAAGTTTTCTTTTGTATAATACCACCCTATATTTGCCTTTTCTTGATTAATTCCCCTTGATAAGAGGAGTTGCCCTTCATTTGAAGAAACCTGCATTCCCTTCATCCAAGGATACTTTATACATGTCAAGTTTGGTTGAAATAGGACCATTGATTCCGGAAGAGATGAAAATGTGAAAGGTTAACAACGACCCCGACAGACAACGGACAAATTTTGATCAGGAAAATTCATTTGAGCCTTCGACTCAGGTGGTCGCCCGCGTGGCGCAGTGGTTAGAGCGTCTGTTCTAGAGTCGCAGAGTAAAGAGATGATCCTTACGTCGCGGATTCGAATCCCACTGCGGGACGTGGAGACCGGTCCTTTCGGAGGAGACCGTATAAACCGAGGTCCCGTGTCGCAGTAGGCGCTGGCACGAAAAAGATCCCTCACTGCTCAATGGCCCTAAGTGCCGAGTATAGGTCAAAATTTGTAGCCCTCCATCGGCAAGTGGTGGCGTCTCCATATGAGTGAAAAATTCTCAAGAGGGACGTTAAACAACATACAATCAATCAATCAATCGACTCAGGTGAGCTAAAAATTCTTATTCGTGAAATTAATTGTATAACCACCAACCATAAAAACCTGAATACCCTCTATTTACAAAAGTCATACTAATCACTGTGTTATTTTGTGTTTTCTTTGTCTCTCTCTTATTATTCATACTAATATTTTATTGAATAATGACAATTTAACAGCCAAACATTCTTAAATTTCTATGCAGTAGAAATTAATTGACAGGTCTATGCAATAAATATTTGTTGTATACTTGAAGAACAATGGTATTTTTAAGTGTTTTTCTACCCCTATAGCTGCTGATGCTGTTCTGATTTCAATGCCTTCTCTGAATCACAGGTCAAACCTCCGCATATTAGTCCCTTACCGAAGGTGCACGTGACTATAAGTTTCGATCCTCTCGTCTGTCTGTCAACCTGTCCCACTAGCTGCAGAACTGTAGCGTTATTGTTTTATATTTCAGTCTTTGACCATAACTAAGATATAAAATCATAAGGCTACAGTTCTGCAGCTACCTGTCCCACCTGATTTTCCACTTTTTTTCTACACGCTTGCACATATTAACCAAATATTGGATATATGAGTCTACCTTCATGAGTTATACAGGGTGATCTTATCCTGTTAGATTTTATGTTGCCCTCGTAGTGTACAACATATTTAAGAATCCAAAATTGATTTTCCATACAAGTTATTGAAAAGAAATTTGACAGTACATTGAGTGGGAAATAGCTTCATATTTTCAACTAAAATATATTCTGTAGGTAAAAGTAATATTTTTACTATTTGGGAGTGGAAGGGAGGGGGGGGGTTAAAACAAATTCCACTTTTCCACTAAAGTTTTTGAGTCTGCTACTTTGTCAAATACATTGGGATGTGAAATTTTGAGAGGATAAAAACACCTGCAATTTGTAAGAATGGGTTCAACTTGTTAGTTAATTTAAAAAAAAACTGACAATAGTGGAATCTTTTATTGGAAGAAATTCTGTAGATTTTCGCAGTAAAGAACTACGCACGCTAACTCTCGATTCCCGCCTACATTTTACATCTATTTGATTCAATACTAATGGCAATTTGGCCGTAAAATCTTTGTTTAATGCAAAGAACAGTTCAATTGTAATTGACTGATAATTTTAATACCAGTGTTAAATAGTTAATTACCCCTAATTCCAGCTCTTTAAATAAGGGGGGTAGACGATATTTTTCATTGAAATCGGGCTTTAAAGCATCAACACATTTTAAAATATTCTTGGATATGAATAAATGTTCCTTAAATCTTTTCTTATGTTTTACTCATATAAAATAAAACATATATTATTAATAAAATACAATGTTTTAGTTATAAACCCCTTTGAAATTGGTGAAAAAATAAGCATTTTTGTAGTTTTTTGTCTGTAAACATATGTTCCCCCCCCCCCCCCCCGTGAAACACAAAAAGCGTTGGTATGAATTTGTGAAATGACAGTCCATATTACCTGTGAAAAGGAATTTTTGTTTCACGGGGGGGGGGGGGGGGGGGAGAGAGAGGTTTTAAAAATATTTTCCGTTTTCCTTTGATTTCTTTAGTGAAAAACAGAAGTTTTACCAAAATTATAGAGTTATCTCTCTTTGTTTTTCCAAAGAAGTAATGTTTTATGAAAATTCATATAAATATCTAATATATAGATATGAAAAATCATTCAAATGTGTTAACTTTTGAAAATTGACTTGGAGGTAGGCGGAGAACAATACTATCGTTCGCAGTTCTTTAGGCTGAACTTCTCGGGGGGGGGGGGGGGGGGTCAAAATAGAATATACAAATATATAATAGGAAATTACGAAAGCCTATTAGGATCAAACTACGGTAAAAAAAAAAAAAATTGAAAGGCGTAATAACGCCTTTTGAAAAGGCGTTATTACGCCTTTTAATTTTTTTTTTTTACCATAGTTTAATCCTAATAGGCTTTCCCGTTTAAAATATATTTATTCATTACAAATGAAATGGATTGAACAGCAGGCATAATGCCTATAATCGTTCTCTCCATAGGTCAAGGTACATATAACAATTATTGGTACATTTAACATTGAAAACAGTATGTAAAATAGATCATTAATTGGTACATATATAAGGTGAATCCAGAGAAAGAGAGAGTAAAATAAAGAGAAAAAAAAAACATAATAAAGTACATTTAACATTGAAAAGCAGTATATAAAATAAACCATTAATTGGTACATGTATAAAGTGAATCCGCAGAGGGTGAAAGAGAGAGAGAGAGAGTAAATAGAGACAGAGAAAGACCATAAAAAGAAAAAAAAAGAAAACATAATAAAGTTGACTCAGAGTGAAAAAACTTCCTTAACATACCTAAAATGAGATATTATTCTTCCTAGCATATCATGATAAACTAAGATTTCAGTGAAAACTTCTTTGAGTTTCTTATAAAGGTATGTATATGATCAAAAAATGAAAAGTTGTCTTCTAAACATAAGGATTCAGCACCATATAGTATATTATCTATATTAATTGGTATGTCTTTCTCATTCATATATTTAATCAGCATCTGTCTTTGAAGAACGTATTGTGGGCAATACATGAAAAAATGTAATGAATCTTCAATTTGGTATCCACAATTTGTACATTTTGGTGAATCATTGAGGTGGTCTTTAAAAAGATCAGCATTAAGGTTACTACATTTATTTCTCAACTGGCAATGTAGTATATTTTCAATTCTATTCCCATAATTGTACAACTTAACTTTATTTTTCTGGAAGGGATTGGTGTAGGTTAATCTTTTTTTGAAATTTTGCAATGTAGGGGAAGTTCTACAATCATCAGGTAAATTATTCCATAAGGATATTGTGGATGGTACAAAACTATTATAGTAAGACACTGTTCGAGTGATTGGGATACGATATGAGTTTTGGTTGCGTAAATTATAATTATGCTGAATTGGCATACATCCTTTGAGCATATTATACATGTAATCAGGGGTAAGGTTATTAAGAATTTTATACATCAGTGTGAGCTTATGCTTTTCCCTTCTTGAACTTGAGGTTTCCCATCCCAACTCATAATATAGGTTAGTTTTTGATGTATTGCACCTAATACCTGTAATTATTCTTGCAGCTTCCACCTGAACACTTTTCAGTAATTTGGATTGTTCTTCAGTGCAATTATCCCATACCACATCCCCATATTCTACAACTGGTCGAACAAATGAAAGATATATTTTGATTAACAAGTCCCTTTTTAATTTATATTTAAGTGTACGCAATATATTTAGTCGTAAGCAAGCTTTCTCATAAATTGTTGTAATATGTTCGGACCACCCCCCATTAGACTGTAATGTCAACCCTAGATGACAGTGACTTTGATTCTGAGAAATAATATTCATTGTGTTCCCAAATGAGATATTTGGGTGTACTCGTTGAGATCTGGTAAAATTAACATTTACTGTCTTCATAGGGTTAAATTCAACTAGCCATTGATGAGACCATTGTCTTATTTTTTCAAGATCATCAGTAAGAGATACTGCTGGGCTGACTTTGTCAGCATCTACAATGACAAACAAGGATGTGTCATCTGCAAACAGTCTTATTTGGTTTTGTATGTTTTCAGTTATGTCATTGATATAGATAAGAAAAAGAAATGGACCTAAAACTGACCCTTGCGGGCTTTCGTAGAAAATAAACGAACAAATAAAAAAAATAAGGTAAATGAAAAAAGAAATTTAATGTTCGAAACTGCGATCTAGAGACAAAGTTATATTAAAGATTTCTAATTTTTGACCATGCACGCAAGAAGATAGAAGTTTTTTTTTTCTTTAAAATTTCTGCCTTTGGGATGTAAATAAGGCTGGAATGGGTTGATTTTAGTGCATAAATGAAATGTAGAAAGTATGGAAAATAATTTGTATAATTTATAATAATGGAAAAAAATTATTTTTAAATGTAGTAGGAGGGGTGTAAAGAGGCCATGTTTAATATTACCTTGTGAAATATGCATTCAGGGAAGGGGTTACTTGTTTTTTTCGAGGGGGGGGGGCAATGATTATTCTGAGAATAGTTTTTTGCTGTAATTTTCATATGTGAATTTTCATTTAAACCTGTCCCTCTTTCTTTGTTGCTGTAAGGTCGAATTCGGGAAAATTCCAGCATATGAAAAACAAAATATACCGAAAAGTTAGAGAGATTTCAATCCACCGACCTCCCCCTCCAATTTTCAAGTTTTGAGAGTATACGTGTGTTTTGTTTTTCCTGCTTGTTAATATGGGGTGCTGGTTGCCCCAACCCATTTTGAAAATTGTTGCTACGGAACCTGCTTTTAATGACTTCACCCCAAAACTAGATCGAAAGAATTTTTTGTCATAATAAAATTACTTGATAAACTTGTGTAAATATAGGTTTTGTAATTTATTAAGACACAATCTAATTAAAATCAGATCCTTTGATACGCTCAGATTTTTGTTTGACCCAATAACAGATTGTTGTTCAAAGCAGGTTAATTGGGGGGCAACAGATCCTTTCGAGGGTCAAAAGAACTTGATGGATATATTTTGTCAGCACAGAACGAGTCTCGTTAAATATCGGGATCGGCATTTCGGTTTGTTTACCCAAAGGGTAACAGGTGATTTTTCGATTTTTTTCTTATTAACCAAAAAAAAAAAAAAAGAAATCTAATGTTGACCCTTGCACAAAGATATGCTTTAAAACAAGATGTCATCGTAAGAAATAGAGATATATTGCTGAGAAAGGTTTGAGAAACAAGATATCATTATAAATATATCATCATAATGTTGTTCCATTCCCTACCATAGGGCAGGCATATATTATTATATATGACTCTGGTTTTATACGTTTCTGCATATTATAGAGGAAAGTGTTGATAGATAAAATGTTTTCATTAAACTTACAAATACTATTGAACTGAAATGCCATTCCGGGATACAGTCAGGCTATTTTGATTTGCTCTATGTGATGAAATAAGGCCTAACAGTAAGGTGTATCAAAAGGGTGTTGCTAAAACGCGGAACGGAACGGAAAACGGAAAATATGATACCAGTTTAAAGCCCTTGAAAAATACAAATTATACCAAAAACAATATAAATTATATGTGTTGTTCATATTTAACCTTGATTATTAAGAATGAGTTGATCTCTTCATGTAAACCGGTATTCTCATATGAAGTTTCCAGTACAAAAGCAAAGCATAGGGTACGGAAAACATAAAATATATACATGTGGTATATATAAAACGTTGTGGTGAGAAATGAGTGATTTAGCTTTATAAAAGACCACTCTGATCAACATGAATAGCCAGTATTCGATATTTATATGTGCGAACACAACATAATTTTCGATGCACAGGCACCTAGAGCGCGAATGATCATGATATCGTACAACTCTGCATCCCCACCCACCCCCATCCCCCGTATTTGGCCAAATTGTGAAACTGGAAAACAACACTGACCGATTGCACAGAATATGTTTAAAATTGCTATGATGGAGAAATCACACATTTTTCAGAAAATGCACTCTGGTAATTTATATATTATTTGGTAGAGATGGGGGGTGATGCATAGATGTAGCCTACGTTGTCCTTTCTTCAAGTGCCTAATGGTGGATAGCGCGGATTCAGGATATTTTTAGGAGTGGATGGGTTATATTGTGTACTTTTCCCATCAACTTCACAGGGGTCCGTGATTTTTTTTGGGGGGGGGGGGGGGGGTCATTTTTCTTAATAAATATTTACTTTACAACGTACACGTAATAACTCCGCAAATTTCAGGGGGCCCGAACCTCATCCCACACCCACTCTAGATCCACACATGCCCTTAGTTTTAATAAGCATGTCCTCTATGCTTCCTTAATGTCAGTGATCATTGTCTGGAACACAAATGTGTACATAATTATTCTCTTTCTCTGCCACCCAACCCCCCCACCCCTCCCCTGTTTTAAAACACCATTGTCTGTTACATAATAAATGATAAAAAAGAGAGTTTTGTCTTTGGTGAATAAGCTTTAAAAATTAGATTTGGACAAGTGATGAATGAGTATCAGATAGATACTTGGCTTGGGCTGTGTGTCTAATTAGTATGTATTTCATTGACCACCGCATGTAGTTCTGAGGGGGGGGGGGGGGGGATGGAAGGGTCATGAATAAATTGAATTGTTATGTTATTTTTTTTAATGAGACATAAACTGTATGATAAAGAATACTGGTTCCTGTCTGATTTATATATGCTTGAAGTAAATAACTTGATATAAGATTTTCCGTTTTCCGTTCCCTTCCACTTTCCGTTCCGCGTTTTAGCAACACCCGTATCAAAAGGATGAGCATGGAATAGGTCCAGCACAGTCTTCTGATTTAGCTATACAGCTTGAAATAGCTATATAGCTGAATGAAGCTATTCAAAGAAGGCAGATAGAACTATTTAATTACTGTTTTTCGTAAGTTTTTTCTTTCCTCAAGAATTTTTATACACAAAAAGTCGCAATTATGTGACTACTTAGTTGTACTAAGGTCTATTGAAAAAACAATTCGAATCAAATGGTAGTTTAAACACTGCTTTTGAACACTTTTGAACAAAAGATGTATTTCATTTGTTTGGATAACTGTATCAGGTTGGGTACACTCGTAACCTTTTTATGGAAGGCAGTTTTCAATATTGACAATGTTTTCATCAGTCCCATTCTCCAATCAATTGAATGAATTGCAAAGCATATGATGTGTTTATGATTCAACAGCAACATGTGGTTTTTGTCAGTTTACTGCATAAAATTTATTTGGTCACTGGAAAAACTGTACAGCTTCTTTTTTCACTTTATAAGGCTGAAATTGAAAGACTACATTCCAAAGACAATGTTCCATGCTCACATTTAATATTGTTTTAGATGATTAATATTTGCTTCAAATTCCATACAAATGCTTTGATGTTTGCATGTACATTAAATACATGTTGATGATAATGAGTTGAACAATAATTACGTACTGTACTTGGTACTGTAGGGCATATTTCTTTATTAGATGTTATAAATTTTATGAATCAGTCGTGTATTTTGAAACATTTTGTATGAATTTGAAAAATCTTGTTGCTATTCTATATTTATCAGTGATCTTTTTAAGAGATTTGTGTATAATACAATTTTTTCTAATTTTCTAGAATTATTGTAAACAATTTGTTTATTTTGTTTTTATAAAACAGTTTTTTTGAGCAGTAATGCAGATTATGATGTCAGAGTTTAAGATATGGCCTACATCTTTTTCTGAAGATCCAGTTTCAGATGACGAATCTACTGGTATGTATAATAATAAAAGAAAATCCTTTGTAAAGTAATTCCTCAAGTAATTAATGAATTCCAACTACATCAACATTTTTTTTGACCTTGACCTTTCCTTTGACCTCACTTTTCTTAAATTAGTGTTTAACTTAGTTTTAAAGAAACCATTCAAGATATTCATTATCAAACTTCATATGCTGATACATTCCCAAGTAACTATAAGCCCTACCTGGTCCAAACTTGCATCAATGATGTATCTATGGATGTACACCAACCAACCTGCTTCGGATGCTGGATCTGACCTAGATTTTCCACATGAGTGAATTTTAGCCATATTTTTAACCAAATTAGCATGGATGATGTATGTAGGGATGGACACTTTCAGACTTGCTTTTTATTCTGAATCTGACCTACATTTTCCAGATGAGTGACCAGGATAATGTTTTTTGAGTAGCTATTATTATACTTTCATGTTAAATACTAAAATCTGATTGGTTTAGACGCATTTAACAATATATAAATATTGCATGTAGTTGAGTGTAACATTGAAAATTTTCACCCCAAGAAAACCATTGTCAACCGAGGCGCAGCCGAGGTTGACAATGGTTTTCGAGGGGTGAAAATTTTCAATGTTACACTCAACTACATGCAATATTTATTATATTATACTGAATGTTTTATATAAATACATATAACAGTGAACCTTGCGCGCATAAATTCTGCGCAGTCGCTATTTTTTGGAATAACACCCGTCGTCAAGCAATGTTAACTGTTGCTACGCTGGTGGGCGTGGCTTCATTATTCAGCGGGTAATAGTGTTTTTTAACAAATGTTTCTCGACGAATCAGATTCAACTAATTTACATGAAAGTATAATATTCCGTAATGTTACCCTCAGCGTTAGCAACACACCTGACAACGGGTAACATTACGAAAATATCACATGCGTTCAAATCATGCGCGTACGGTTCACCGTAGAATTCTCAAAACGTCGGTTGTGCGTTTGAAAGAAGCCGAATAAACGACGTCAATATAAGCTTGCGTCCGATGTAGCTTACTTGAAAACAACAAACGACAGACGAAACATCCTTGCGAGTCCAAACTTTAGATGATAAAGGACTTTTTGAGTAGCAAACAAACAATAAAGAGGTTGGTAAATCTTTTCCGAAGCTTTCTTATTGAGAAAAATAGAAGCGGGGAGTTTGAAAGCTTTCTAAGCGTGACCTTAACGACGATCTCCGAATTTTTTTATGACATCCGAAATCAAAAAGACATTCAGTATAATAAAATAAATAGTGCACGTTTTTGAGGGTAACAGTTGAAATTGACACCCCTCGGAAAACCATTGTCAACCTCCGCTGACGCGTCGGTTGACAATGGTTTTCCGAGGGGTGTCAATTTCAACTGTTACCCTCAAAAACGTGCACTATTTATATATTATAAATAATATTATTGCCTGTTATGATTAAACTTGCATAGATGGTGCATCTAAGGATGAAAACTTCCAGACTTGCTTTGGATGTTAGGACTGACCAAAATTTTCTTGATTAGTAAACAGGTTAAAAGTTTTTTGAGCAAGTCTATTTCCAAGTAACAATAAGTCCTACTTAAACCAATCTTGCATGGATATTGATCTTGGGATGTACACTAACTAGAAAAGAAAATGATGCGAGATTTGCCTTACTTATGGACAACATTGGTTGAAGTGAGCTTTGTAATCTTTGATTACCTTTTTTTTAACATGTGCCCTCTGAGCATGTAGATCTAATTTTACCAAGCCCACAACAATATCAACATCCACTAGTCAAAATTTCTGCATTTTTGTGAAACAAAAAAAAACTTTTCAGATGTTTCATATTTATTACAATTAAGTACTACAGTCAGACTTTGTTATCTAGAACTCAGTGGAACCAAGAAAAAATACCACGATATCTGAAGGTCTGAGATGTTGAGGTTAAAAATTGGCTGGGACTTCCAACTCCCTGACATATCCATGTCATGTGTGAAATACACGTGTACCAAAGTTCAGTTGTCTTTGACTTCCCTAATATATTTCATTGTCTGTAACTCTTTACTCTGCATTACCAAACTCTTCCCCTCCACTTACACCCTAGGGATGTAGTAACCGTTTTAATCATTAATTTTTCTTTTTCTAAAACATATTAGAAATGCATTCCATGCAAAAAAAAAAAGTTTATAAACTCGAGAAATTATCAAAATATTTTTAATAATCTTAAGGGTCATATTTATTATGAAGGTAAGTTACTTATGTTTGATTATATTCTTATGCAGACCTCTCTATGATATCTGGCCTAAAATTTTCTGTTTGCTTCTTTTCACCAAAATTTGTCAAAACATTGTCTTGGGGGACTCTTGCTGTGATATTGAATTGTAAAGGCAACACTCTTCAAGTTCCCCCATCCAAGTAAAGATTAGTGGCCTTGGTCCAAATGATTTACTGCATTCTTGTATTAAAAAGAACTTGTAGCCTCCATAAAGATAAGTTCTCTTTATTGTAGAAAAGGAGAAAACATATGATAACTGTGACCCCACAAATGAAAAAGAAGAAACTCCAGAGCAGAAAATGTTGAAGGTAAATAAATTTTTAGAACCTTGTTTCAAGGTTCTGTGGTAATCAGTGTGCCCGTCTGTCTGTCCATCAGGCATCTGTCAAATGCACAAATTTATAAACCATCACAAAAGCTCAGTAGGTAGAACCCTTGTTCTGTAGTTGGAAGGTCTTGGGTTGGCACCCTGGCCATGACAAACCTATGTTGATTAAAAATAGGTAGCAACTGTTCCTTTACCTAGCACTTGGCACTTTGAGGTGGTAGTTGTGGATCTTTTGGATGAAGTTCTAGAAAATGAGGCCCTGTGTCATGGTAGGCATTGGTACTGTAAAGAAACCTCACTGCTCAATGGCCCTGAGTGCTAAGTAAATTTTGAACTCTTCACCAGCATCTGATGACATGATTGACATCCCTAATGAGTGATGGAGTTGTTTATGGAAATTCCATATTTATCCCAGATTTTTGTTTCAAAATACAGATTATGGAATTGCATCCAGAAATTAAGCTTCTAGATTTGCTCATTTTGATGTCACGATGAGGCTACAGAGATGTTAATAAAAATACATGTATAACAATACAGGGCAGTGAGAAATTCAAACATTAAGTGTATTTTTGCTGCTTCTAAACATTTAAAATGTAAATATAAGGAAGGTGTGTCACATATTAAATGAAAAGGAAAGTATTTTGCATACTTCTGGTTCATTTAAATAATGATTGACTCACCTACTTACATGTAATATCACCTAAACATTTCCTTGATATAGTATTAAAAGAAATGATTTTTTGGTCAATTTTTACAGGGGGATCAAATGGCTTATTTGAGCCTTTTACATAGTCAAAGTGGTGCTGAAAAGTTAAAAAACTTTACTGTTGATGACAACCAAACAGAGATTTTGGAAAGACACATCAGTACTCATTCAAGTAAAAAGTCTAATGAATGTAACATCTGTGGAAAAATACTAAGTCGCTCAAGTCATTTACAAAGACACATGAGGACACATACGGGTGATAAACCTTTTAAATGTGATTTGTGTCAGAAAGCATTTTGTGAAAAATCTAACTTAAAGAAACATGTGAGGATACATACCAATGAAAAACCATATGATTGTGATGTGTGTGGAAAGACATTTCATTACAAAGAAAGCTTAAAACATCATATGTGGATACACAAATGTGAAAAGCCATATCATTGTAAGATGTGTGTGATGGCCTTCCGTGAAAAAACATCCTTGCAAAATCACACGAGGATGCATAAAATTTATAAACTTCATAAATGTGATGTGTGTGGGAAGGAATTCAAACGATCAGGTGAATTACAGAATCACGTGCGAATACATACAGGTGATAAACCTTATAAATGTGATGTTTGTGGAAAGGATTTTCACCAGTCGGGACACTTACAGTTACACATGAGGACACATACAGGCGACACACCCTATGAATGTAGCGTATGTGGGAAAGCATTCAAGCAGTCAGCGCACTTACAGTATCACCTCAGAAAGCATACAGGGGAAAAACCTTATGAATGTTATGTGTGTAGAAAAGCATTCTCTGATTCAAGTAGCTTACAGATACACTTGAGGATACATACAGGTGAGAAACCTTATAAATGTGATGTGTGTGGGAAGGCATTCTGTGATTCAACCAACTTACAGAAACACTCAAGGATACATACAGGTGATAAACGGTATCAGTGTGATTTATGTGGGAAGACATTCCATCGATCAGATCACCTACAGATGCACATGATGAGGTCACATACTGAAGACAAATCTTATCAATGTGATGTGTGTGGGAAGACATTTAATGTTGTACAATCCCTTTATTACCATATGAGGATACATACAGGGGAAGATCTTAATGATTGTACTCTGTGTGGGAAAGCCTTCAGTCAAAAGAAATCCTTGCAGAGACACATGAGGACACATACAAGTGAAAAGAAGGAAACATTTGATATAAGTGTATATGGGAAGTTGGTTCGTTGCTTAGATGAAGATGCACACACATGAAAAACATTGGAAATGTAATCTGTATAGAAGGCCTTTCATATAAAAAAAGTTAAGCATTTACACATGAGGACATTACTGATTTGAAACCTTAAAAATATTACATATATCAGAAGGCATTCAATGAACATAAAGGGACATCTGAGGATTCATACTGTTAGTAAACCTTTTCAATGTACATGTATTGTATGCAGGGCAGCATTCAACTAATCAGACACATATGGACAGATAGCCATACAAGTGATAAGATATATGAAAGCAGACACATGGTTGATCATTTTACTTACAAAGACATATGATGGCGCATGCTACAGTGTAGTTAAACACCTTATGAAGATGAAGCCTGTAAGTGGAAAAGAGGTCCATCGGACAAGAAAAAGAGAAATAAGAAAACATATCTGTATTGGAGAAAAACCTTTTCTCACCTGAGCTGAAAGCTAGAAACACATGAAGATACATACAGATGAAAAAAATGAAAATATGATTTGTGCAGAAAAGCATATATTTAAAATTGAAAATATGATTTGTGTAGAAAAGCATTTATTTAAAATGGACACTTTGAAAAGATGTGCAAACACTCATATTGATGAAATGATTTGTTTCAAAAAACATTCAGTGAAAAGCAGACAGACTAAAAGGGTTACTTGAATACAGAACACAATAAAACTTATAAATTCAGAGAATTGTGGTCTCTCTCTCTTCAGGTGCAAAAGCAATTGCCAAGGTTCAAAAAGTATGTCAAACTTCATGGTCATGAGGTAGAAAATGATAGTAATTGAAGGATGTTGTCACAGGGAAAGTACACGTGAAATATGAAAATCTTATCTTCTCTAATTCAAAAAGTTATTACCAATGATAATTAAAAATTTTGAAAATAAGGTCAAACTTTAAAAGGCAAAAATTATACAATGTAGTACTATTGGAAAGGTCTTGTCACAGGTAATTCACATGTGAAATACTTATCTCATTTTAAAAGTTATGACTAAGGTCAAATTTTTTGTGACAGACAGCCAGCCAGACAAATTAGATTTAATGTCCTTGCACTTTTGCAAAAGCGGGGGACAAGAAGTATTTAATGTGATGTATGGGTAAAGTTGCTAAGTAATTCATGGGGATGAAAATACAGTAAAACTTGGTTATAGTAAAGTCCTGTGGACCACTATATCCGTAATTCGTTATATACATATAGAATTTGTTAAAGCATATACATGTTTATGGTGAATCACTATATACATGTGTCCTTTCAAGTATTACTACCTTATATGTTCAGAGAAGTATTTATATACAAAACTAAATTAATTTGAATTAAACTAATTTGCATTAAATTCTTTATGTGAATGAGGTAAAAATGTAATTTGCAGTAACTTTTGTTCAGTTCAAATTAAGCTGTCCATGTGAACAGAGAATTAAGTCCAACAAATGTTAAGATTACCAGAACCTATTTATTTGATATGATTGCACATGTATGTTGAGCAACCTACAAGTAAAAATTGTTCTATAGGCTCTATGATTCAGAAGATCATACTGTACAGTTTTGCTTTTAGAAATAAGTCTAGATATCATTTCATCTTTAATCCATATATTTAATTGCAGGTCATTAAAAATAAGACTCTGTTTTCATGGTTACTAAGCAGTATAAGTGAAAAAAATTCAACATTTTTCAATGTCTTGCAATTATTTTTTAATTAAGTGTGCTTTTCTGATCACCTATCATCCTTCCATCCATCTGTCTGTCCATCCATCCATCAATCTATAAACTTCTCACATTTTTGACTTAATTCCTCTCAAGAACCACTGAGCCAATTTTTGCAAAAAAATGATTAAGTACAATAGCTGGTATTTTTTCACAAATTATCAAAAATCAATTCCATTCAGTATGCCCATCTCTGATATATGTATAACTGATCTGCAAAATAAGAACTTCCTATCTTGAAGACTGTAGGAGGAGTTATCCTGACAAATGGGGTACCCTATAAGCAATCTTTTGCACACAAAAAAAGTTCAGCAGCTAATATTTTTCTCATAAATTATCAAAAATCAAAACCAAAGCAGTATGCACATCTCCAATATATGTACAATTATTCTACAAAATTAAAAAAGTCCCTCTCTTGAAAACTGTAGGAGACAAATGATGAACTCTTTTTGCAGCCACCTGCTTGCCATTTTCATTTTTCACCATTTCAGTAACTAAATTTTTCCTGCGAAAAACCTGGTTTAAAAAATTGACATAATGTTTAAATTTAGCCCTTAAGTTGCAAAAGTAGGTTAGGGTGACCTACTTTTTGGTTGATACACTTCGAGAACTCAAGAAGCATCATCTTAAAAATTTTGATAATTCCAAGTCAATTAGTATCTGAAATATTTAAATTAAGCCATGAAATTGCAAAACTAGGTCAGGGTGACCTACTTTTTGGTTGATAAGATGCATCAACTGACAAAGTTTGATGATTCTAAGCCCATTAGTAATTGAAAAATCCACATTCCAAAAGGTCACGGTGACCTACTTTTTGGTTGACACACTTTGCGGACCCAAGATGAATCAACTGACAAGGTTTGATGATTCTAAGCCAATTTGTAACTGAAAAGCCATCAAATTCCAAAAGTAGGTCACAGTGACCTACTTTGTGGGTGACACACTTTGAGGACCCAAAATGCATCAACTGACATCAAATTTCACTCCTCACATGCAAATTTCAAGACTAGGTCACAGTGACCTACTTTTTGGTTGATACACTCCAAGGACCCAAAATGCATCGACTGACAAAGTCAATTAGTGTCTGAATTAGCTTCAAATTCCAAAAGTAGGTCATAGTGACCTACTTTTTGGTTGACACACTTTGAGAACCCAAGATGCATCAACTGACAATGTTTGATGATTCTTAGCCAATTAGTATGTGAATTAGCCATGAAATTGCAAAAGATGGTTGTGTATTGTATGTCAATAACTGTGTATCAGGGCTTGGTTGTGTATTGTATGTCACTTACTGTGTCTTGTATATTGTAGGTCATTATGAATGAAAATGTACACTTTAAGCACAAAATAAACAAACTATAAAAAGAATTACAGTAACAGAAAGTAGGTCATGGTGCCCTACTTTTTGGTTGACATACTTTGAGGACCAAAGATGCATCAACCAAAAAGTAGGTCACCAAAGATGCACCAACTGACAAAGTTTGATGATTCCAATCCAATTATAGTATCTGAAACATTTAAATTAAGCCATGAAATTGCAAAAGTAGGTCAAGGTACCTACTTCTTGGTTGATACACTCCAAGGACTCAACATGCATAAAAAAAATCAAAATGTAGGTAATTGTGACCTACTTTTTGATAAATATGTTTTAAGGCCCCAATGTGCATCAACTTACAAGGTTTGATGATTCTAAACCTCTTAGTACCTGAAATAATGACCTTTCGTGTTTAGAAAATGATTAGCCATAAAATTCAGAAAGTAGGTCATGGTGACCTACATTTTGGTTGACACACTTCAAGGTTTCATGATGCATAAACTGACAAGTTTTGTTGATCATAGGCATCAAAGTATCCAAGTTATGCATCAAAATTAAACTGAAAATGAATACCTGCAAAATTCAAAAAGTAGGTCACTGTGACCTACTTTTGAGTCAACATGATATGAGGTCCGAAGATGCATCAACTGACAAGATTTGATGATCCTAGGCCATACAGTGGGCAAAATATCAAAGTTTTAACAAAACATAATTTTTGGTTAACTTTGAAGTGACCTTGAGACCACACCCTTTGCCCCAGGGTGATGCGTTGAACAATTTTTAATCTACAATATATCCTCATCCTTTAATTTAAGTATGGTGATAATTTACACAGTGGTTCGTGAGAGGTAGATTTTTTTAGCAACCACTACCTTTGCTTTTATTTCCCTAATTATCTCCCCTTATTTAAGGGACACATCCCTAGTTTTAGTACAAATGAAAGCCCTTGGGCCAAGGATACTCTGTGACAAATTTGAAAAAAAAAATGACCAAGTGGTTCTTGAGATATGGCACATTTTCCAAAAAAGTTTACGCACACCTCACAAATGGCCATTGCATTAGCTTTTTGAGCCTAGCTAAAAATGGTCTAAAGTTTAAGATGTTTTTTCAATATTTCAACCTCTGATCCCAAATTTGCAATTATACTGTTTCTGAAGATTATAAAGCACATTTTATTACTCTGCTGGTCAGAGACCAAAAGAGCTTATGTGATAGTAAGGTGTCCGTCCATCTGTCTGTAAACAATTTTTAAACCGCTACTCCTCCTACAGTTTTGGTCTGATTTCAATATAACTTGGCACACAAGTAGACTACACTAAGATACATAATTCTGTATATCGGCTTTTGATTTCAATGAACGGTGTTGCCATGGTTACTAAAAATAGAGATTTCAGGGAATTACTTTCAAAACGCTACTCCTCCTACAGTTTTGGTCCGATTTCAGTATAACCTCCTATACTTTTGGTCTGATTTTAGTATATCTTGGCACACAAGTAGACTACACTAAGATACATATTTCACTTTAGCAGTTTTGGGTTTCGATGAACAGTGTTGCCATGGTAACTAAAAATAGAAATATCTTGAAATATTTTCAAAACGCTACTCCTCCTACACTTTTTGTCTGATTTCAGTGTAACTTGGCATACAAGTAGACTACACTGAGATACATAATTGTCCTTATTGTTTTTTTGAATTTGTTGAATGATGTTGCCATGGTTACTTAAATCAAAATTTCTGTTAAATTATTTTAAAAGGCTTCTCCTCCTACAGTTTTAGTCTGATTGCAATAAATCCACAAAAAGAGACTAAACCAAGGATCATTATTCTATTTATTGCTGTTGCAAAGTTTCAAGTCTAAGTGTTACTTTTATCTTCCTTTATAAGTACGACCAGTAGAGCTACAGTCTCATCAGAGACTTCTGTTTTGTTTTTTGTTTCTTTAGATCACATCATTTGCTCATATTTTAATTTTTTGCAAAATTTCACAAAACCTGTTTCAACTGAGTCCTTTCTGTTTACATAACTGTATACTTATGAAAGCTTCAATTTGATTGGTGCTTAATGAGAGAAGCAAGCCCGAAAAAAAAAAACGAATGATCTTTGTCAGGGGTTTAAAGGCAACAATGATCTTTGTCGGGGTTCAACAGCAACATGTTGACTCAGGACCCCTGATGTTGTGAGGATGAGTTAGACACAGTGACTTTGCTATATTTTTTTCTATGTACAACTGTTAATTACTGAATCAAAGAAATAAAAATTATATTAATTTACTGAACTCTCTTTAGCACTACAATATACAAAAATATGAACTTTGATCAATACATCAGAGCTAACATAGCAGGATATCCAATTTTATCATGGAGTGTAAGTTGTAACAAATCTCACTACTTTACTGCGGCATATAGGACATAACTTTGGTTCTGGTAGTGCAAATGCACAGTCCCCACATAGACAAACATGTCCACAATCTAAGAGTACAACCTCTCTTTCATTGTTAAGACAGATAACACATTTATTGCTATCTGAATTGGACATTTCACTGGGGGATAAACTGTCTGGATTTGATCTATGTGCAGCTCTAGCCCGCCTTTGTTCCTCTATCTCTCTTTTCTTCTGAAGATTTCTCCTTAGTTTTTCTTCCTCCTCTTGATTTCTAAGTTTTCTGTAAAATCTATGGACAAAGTAACAAATGAGAGCAACTCCTGCTACTCCAAATATTCCTAAAAAGACTTTTAACCATGTGGCCTTGTTTCTGAGTAGTCTAGCTAACTCGTCTTTGGTTTTCCGGGAGATGATGTACCTATATTCAGAAGAGGGTGGCTTCATCTTTATATCACTTCCCTCTTTAACAAGTTTACCAATAGCCAAAAGGTGTGTTCCAACAAGTAACATTTTTTCTGATTCCTGGTAACCCTTGTTCACCTCTCCGCTGATAAGTTCCATTCCTTTCTTAAATACATTAGACTCGGACTGAGCAAAGTTTTCATGGATGATGGTCAACTCTTCATCAATATGGTATGCAGAGTTTGGCTCAGTAACCATGACTTTTGTAGGATACCATGAGTTTCCATGTGGAACGAGATAAAATGGAATCACCTCTAGTGTGTCTCTAATGACATTTTTCACATCAGACCTTTAAAAGAAAACATACAGTCTTTTTAAAAACAAATGTAAAGATTAAGTTTTAATTTTAACAATTTACTAAGAGACTCAGGTGACCTAACAATTGATAAGATGAAAACTTCGATTGTACCAAATGCCTTGGACCCTCCTTGATTTATGTTCAATTAGCGAGTGGTGTTGCATGACTCCCTCAGTTTTCTCCTTGAAGTGACTCTTCAGTGTCGTTCCCACCGGGCTGACAACTCCTTCTATACACCCATATGGTATGGTTCTGTAGGGCATATATTCAAGCTTTTTATGCAGGTCTTGATTGATCTGATACTGTTCAACATTCTAAAGATAGAAATAATAACAGGCATTTCAAAGTGAGGTAAAATACAGATCAAATTATATGTATAAAATTATGGGTCAGAAATAAACTCCACATTTATTTTTCAAAAAGGTGCTATCTTTGTAGATAATCCATCCACAAGAGCTTCCTCTAATGGTTGAAGTCTGCACTGTCAACATAATCAGTATTGTAGTCAACAGTATTTGTGAAATGAAGTTTGTTTACAATGTTTTCTGTCCTTTTTTGGTTGGTGGATCTAACATTTTTTAAAGAGAGGTAACTTAGTATTTCTAGAAACACTCTAAATTTTTATGACTGTTTTCATCATTTTCTTAAAAATTACAAGTTTTATTCATAATAAAAATTTTATTTAATGACTAGTAGTCATCATTTTCAGTCTCACCCCCATCCTCACAAGCCAGAGGTCCCAAGTCAACACGTTGTTGTTGGACCCCTGGCACATTTCATTCAATATTTGTGGGCTTGCTTCTCTCATTGAGAAGCACCAATAAGGATTCAGTTGACACCTCAAACGCATGTGTTACAAGTTGTTTAACATAGAATGGCTTAATGTGATTGGTTGAGAGATAAGAAAAACAATCAAGATTTGTAATTTTTCCAGAAGACGTCACTACAGTCAGCCCACAAAAATTGAATGAAATATGTCAGGGATCCAACGGCAACGTGTTGACTCAGGACCCTTGGCTTGCGAGGATGTCTCACCCCTGATTGTATATGGGACATTTTCTAACTGTTGAGGGCTTAATGTTCTGCGAGTCCAGTGCGAGATACAGATTATTCTACTAACTTGCCCATAACAGTTTCACTGAATGGCAATTAGCTTTCATTGTTACTGAAACCTCCCATTGTGAAAGATAAAATAATTATTGCTTGCATCTATTGTTTCAGTATAATCATGTTCAATCTAAGTTAACACACAAAAGGCTTATCGCCTTATGTAGCTTACTCATCAACTGATTCGAATCCAATTGATTGCAAAACATCTTTTAATTGATAGGGGCGTAAGAATTTGGCATGTTATTTGAAGGGATATCCCATTTTCTAACTGAATGGATTGTATCGAGCATGGGAAAGAAGTACATTTGTATCCTACTTTCTCTTTCAATCGACAACGCTTACCTCTATGTTTACAGCATTGCGCAATGCTCGTTTGTACAAACGATATAACCCATATGAACAAAGGATGTCAACCCCAATCCCTAAAAGAATGCCAACATCTACACCATCTATTACACCCATTATTTTGGTGAGGATGCGGCGAGATATGTCTCTTATCTGTCACCTCTCCTCTGACATTTTCACTATACAATATTTTAAAGTATTCCGATCCCAATCAAAATAGACTGATTTTGTGTATCAGAAGGGGTCTCATCACACCCCGATTTATCCAAGAATAGTCTTTAGCTGATAATTTAGTAAGGAAATAAATATCCCGCCCCGGTCATTGTGCTTATATTTATATAACACCACTAAATTATAGAATTATTACCATATATTTACATTTACAATGTATTTGTCCGAGATAAAATTACAAATTGTAAAAATACTTTATTTCTACATAAATCTACTGGTTCGTCGATAGGCGCGGTTAAAAAAAATCACGTGCGGGGCGGGACAAATAGAGACAGAAGCGGGGCTATTAGCACGGGAATTTCCAGAATCAGGAGCATGTAAATATAAGGAATAACTGTCAGATTTTTTGGATTCATGACGATGATCAATCGATTGGCTTGCGTGATAATTTTATGCATAAACGCCTTCGGCGTTTATGCAAATTATCACGCAAGCCACTCGATTGATCACATCATGAATCCAAAAAATTAGACAGTTATTCCTTAAATCCGTGTACAACAGCTAGAAACATGTAGGAAAAAAATTACGTTAATATAATGTATTTATGTGTTATATAATGTCGCGCTAACATATCCCCAACGTGCAGTGCATTAAGCATGTTAAAGCAATATGAGCTGCATTTTAGAGAATTTTATTTTGCTGTCAAAATGTGCTGTTATGGTAAATCTGTATGTAACTTAAACCTTTATGATCAATTAGACTTAAATAAAGTATTTAATTGTTTCAGAAGAAAGATTTCTATACAATGAGATCAATGTTGTACAGGACGACAATAATGTATTTTTTGCTCAATCAAAGCTTATATATAGTTCTTCCATCGCAAATATCAGCAATAAAAGTTTACAAACGTTCTTTTTATTGTCATTGAAATAGTTTTTTTTACAATGTTGCAACAAAAATTTTCCAATGCCCAAGTTGCAGCTCATATTGCTGGGGGTATCGCCAAAAATTTTGTATTGTAATATATTACGGTATTTTCCTCCCAAATACTGTATCACAATAATATCATGATATTTTTACACATAATTTTTTTTTAATAATTTTAAATGAATATCCATATTTTTCTTGTAAATATGCTCGAAAAATGTAACTTCACTTTTTTTTTCATTTTTATTTACCTAATATAAAGCATGTTTTGATGCTAGGATGCCGTTCTTTTACAGTTTTCAACATTTTTTACACTTCCTGTAATTGAATTGTAATTCAAAAGTATGAACAAATAATTATAAATAATTTCTGGAATTTATGGTTATGTATATATTTTAGTCTCCGTATAACGATACATACATGTATCACGCAATTAAATCACGATATACCGGTCTTGTAGAGTAGGCTTTCCTCTCTTAACCAACCAACCCCCCCCCCCCCGGAAAACTGGCTCTAGAGTTGGATTTCCCCCCTGGAAAATAGGCTCTACAGTACAATTTTCCCCACGGAAAAATGACTCTAGAGTAGGATTTCCCCTACGTAAATCCCACACCAGATTCAATTTTCCGGGGGGAAATCCTACTCTGTGTAATAGTTATAGAGTGCGATTTCCCCCAGAGCCAGTCCCCCCCCCCCCATCAAATGGCTGTACTTGTGTATGAAGGGGAAGGAGGCGACATATTGAACTACACGTGTCCCTTCTTCCAAATGGCGACTAGTTCCATTGAAATATACGATGTGTGGAAAATGAAAATTTTAAATCTCATTTATCTCAGTAACCGTCCAACCAATTTTTGAAGCATTAAAATCTTATTCTTTTCATCTGGGCAAACCTCGTTTCTAAAAAAAAAATGTTACAATATTATCGGTTGGATAAATATTAACTGTATTCATAGAAATAAAAGGAATTTTATAATTAAATGATTTTTTTCCCTCTCCAGTTGTAATTCAATCTACATGCACATAACATTGATGTGCAAGTGTCTTCTCAAAATTCTGGTGTTTAATTATTGCCATGGATCTAAAAATTGGTCATTTATTTCTATTTCAATTCGAGAGTATTTGCTCTCACTGGGATCTAGGTGACATACGAGGGTTGTCCCAGAAATACGCGAACATTTTCAATATCTTTTGTTTCACTAATACTATAAAGTTAAAAATTGGCATACACCATAATCAACATTTTTTGAATAATGCATAGAAACTTCAATGAAATATCTCCATAAATAACATTTTATCTCAGGTAAACGAATCTTACAAATCAGTTGTCGGCGCAACACTGACGACGTCAAAATGTAGCTCATGGCGTTTGTGAATTTGGTCTGGAAATGTGCTTCTGATAAAATTCGTTTAAGCATAAATTCAGCACTGTATTTAATTTTCCTTTATTTACCAATTTATACATCTCAAATACTAGTGTTACCAAAAGATGCGGAATTAATTCTTTTAATATACAATTCTCAATTCCGATAATAAACCTAACAGTTCACATTGTTTAACAGCGGCCTTCACTTAGACCTATAACGTCCAGCTCCAGACTTTCAGTTTGTCTTCATTTTTGTTGTTTTACAAAACGCCTCTTCTATCGGATAACCAGTCAAACCATCCTCAAACCTCTTCAACTAGGGATAAGCCTGTGCCCGAGATTTATGTTTCTGTTTTTCGTTTGGATAGGATTTATATCCCGCTCAACACAGTTCTGCTTAATAATTTGGTGCTCCACATTATCGCCAAACGTCACCATTTTGACAATATCTAATTAAAAGTGTTTTGGCATATAACGCCATTTATTTGCCATTAATGATGTCAAATTAATGAACTTTTATACACGAGTACACCAGATCAAAGAGTATATTTTACTGTTAGTATATAGGTCCCTGGTACCGCTGCGCCGAGAGAGCTAGGGTGTTAATTGATACATCGAGTCTTACTATCTTTTACAATTTCCCAAATGTTAAATTTCTGGATTTAGACTCAATGATTTGAACTATATGTTTTAAGATTTCATACTAAATTCGACAATTCATGAGTCAAAAACACTCTTATATCCATAAAATAATCAGTTGACTTTCATAAATATTGTCGATATGATATAAGCATTAATAAAAGAGGGGAAATCCTAGTTAGAATAATCTAACTGTGTCTCGGGACAAGCCCTCATCACCGGGTCCGTAGGACATCATTTTAACGATAGAATGTTCTATCTAGGGAAATCCTACTCTGAGAAAGAAAAGGGGGGGGGGGGGAGTTGGCTATGGGGGAAATCCTACTCTACAACACCGGTTTGTCGATAAAGCTCATTCTTATGCATGTCTTAAAATGTACTTTATATATGTACATACATAATTATAAGACGCTGGCTAAAGGAAGAGACAATATCTGTAAATGTACACACTTAAGATATTTTGTAACGGCAATGAGTGTATATATAGCACCCAGGAAGAGTACCTGATTGTCCACCTCTCAAATTGAATTTAACACCCCCCTTCTACGAAAGCCTATTAGTATCAACAGGGACCTAGTAAGTATATACGTCCCTGGTTTCAAACAAAAATAAATGTAGTAGGTCTTTTTTAATTAAAAAAAAATCTTTTAAATCAAATGTGATTCATTGCATCAGAAATATCTGTTTACAAACGTTTTTTTCTCATGTCAAGGACAGTTTTCAATCAGCCAATCGGCTAGCGTCAAATGCACACACCCACTACTTACAGCGTGGTAAACAACTCATCAACTTCGAAGCGGCTCAGCGGCAAGTGGGAGGATTTTTGCGAAGGTAATATTCCTTAAAGTTAAAAAAAATGTATACGATACGTTATATTTTGTATAAGCAAACATGTAAAATTTTAATCATATAATTTTACCAAAAAGTTGAATTGTCTGCAGCCTCATGTACAGTGTAAGTTAGTGACAGATATTTCATGTTGTTTGTACCGCTATGGACACGCTGGCTTTTGACCCTATGGTCAGGATATAAACCTACTTTCAAAATTTAGTTAATGATTATCGTTCCCTGCATATGAATTTTAGATTAACCATGTTAACCATGTTCTTGGGCATAATTAATGAGATACTACGCATTATCTAATGAAAACGTACTACGCATCACCAATGCTCTGACTTGGGAACCAGTATCAATCACGTATACCAGGGACCTATATACAAGTATAAAGGTCCCTGTGTATACTTAGTATCGTTTTTGAAAGTGGGCAGCTGGAAATTTTTTTTTACAACTTACCTGAAAAACTTTGATAGCAAATAAAAAAAAAATAGATTTCCCAAAGTCCTCCGATTTATTTATTCCTGTTTGGTGATGGTGGGGAGGTAGTTCAAACCATAGGCAATCCCCACCTTCATTGTTAAAAAAAAAAACATCTCTACTATACTATAAACAATGTTTAAGAAGAGATTTTTGTAAAAATTAACATGACCAGATTTCACTACACTACAAAAAAATTGGGGGGGGGGGGGGGGGTAACCACCCTTTCAATGAACATTTTCATAGTAAATTAAAATATATAGTAGAATAGAGTTTGCCTAAACCATTTTCAGTTTAAAAATTACCGGTAATGATTGAAGTACACATCAAATTAGATCATAACCCAGGAGGAAATGATTCACAAATCATTATGTATCAGCAGCACTTTAATTGATAGTACATTTACTTTGTGTACTTGTATTATCATATCCATGTTTATAATAGTAATCCCAACATCCTCTCACCAAAGCATAAGATACTCTGAACATACAATACTCAAAGGAAGAATTAAAGTATGTGCATGTAAAAGGGGATGAAGAGATTTTGGGGGGGGGGGGGGCTATGAATGACAATAAGGGGGAGGGAGAAATAAAATGAGGAGGAAAGAATTTCAATTCACATTAGAATGATATATTCAAAGAATAAGGTAGACAGAGGACTTGGGTATTTCCTGCAAACCTAAAAAGTAACAATAAGTTTATTATAAGTTTTGGAAACGATTGAAAAAGCTAGTGCATGCATGAAGAATAGGGGAGGGGAATTTAACCCCATTTCCCAATTTTAGTGAATGGAAGAAAAGTGCATGAAGAATAAGGGTCAGCTAGGGGAATTTACCCTGCATACTTCCCAATTTTAGTGAATTAATGAAAGAAAAGTGCATGAAGAATAAAGGGAAGAGAATTTAACCCCTACTTCCCAAGTTTATTGAATAAAAGAAAAGTGCATGAAGAATATGGGTCAGAGGAACCTAACCTGCATACTTTTTAGTGACTTAATGAAAGAAAAGTGCATGAAGAATAAAGGAAAAGAATTTAACCTCCTACTTCCCAATATTTCCAAACAATTCAAATAATTTCAGGTAATGTAATTACAAATAGACAATCAGACATATAATGTGTTATTAAAATCCCTTTTTCACAGTCTGGTTTTGGCCATTCATGATGCTCAAAGAGTACTGCAGTATATGCCTATTGTCAAAGGATATGCTGGGCAGAACAACCAGGCCTATAGTATTGTTTCATTTAATTAGCATATATCATACATGTATATCTTCCTAACTATGCTCGGTTAACACTTTGACAACCATAATTTGAATCTGTATTGACCCATTTTATCAGTTTTCATGAGTCATGATCCATCACCAAGGCTGTTACATGATCAATGTCATCTTTATTGACAGAATAAGTTTGTCATTAAAGGGTATATTGAACATCAAGCTAACAATCAAAAATGATTTGTTTAATATACTCCGACCGACCCATCAAAATCACACCAAGCCGATCTTTTTTTTATTGAGTACTTTACATTTTAAATTTTTTTTATTCCAGGGAAATACGGAGTGTCCTTATCATTTTCAAAATTAAGGTTTATCATTTCTCAAAGACGCTTCTGAGATTTAAAGTTTTTACAGCAATACTGGTAAATATCAAGTCTGTCTAGCTGTCCAGTGTATATATATTGCAATGAAAATAATGGTTATCAATGTGTTCTGAGATAATTCAATTTAAAAAAAAAACCTACCTACCTACCTTGAAAAATATGGGTCAGATTACTTCAAACAGAAACATTCTAAGACTAACGATGCATGGCCTCAATTAATTTGTTGGCAAAAAGACAGTATGTTACATATCAGAATTAAATAGGGGAAAAAATGTGCTCACTGCCTCTTCTATGCTTTATGGTTTGTGACTTAAGGTTGATGACTTGCATGTTCAACATTTATGTTCAGTAATGATCACAAATTTTGAGGGATTTTGTAATGTGATACTTGTATCAATTTCACTTGGGCATGTATATATAATCTTGTCAATTTAATCTACTGATATATTCATAATACATACTGGGACAGTAATCCAAAAAGTAGACAGTCTTTGTTCTGTTATCAGCTTGTTTGCAGATCTCAATCATGACCTATATTCTTAGGATCTTCCCTTGAACTTAAATTATTTATCTCACACCAGCTGATTTCTACCTGCAAACAGGACAGACTGCATTTTTTAACACATGTTTGTGGGCAGTATTTAGTTATACAGTGAATTCTCTATACCTGTATCTGATCAACTACCAATATGATGTTTCCAATTTTGTTTTTTACACTGTTTCAGATCTGGACTTTTTACTGTGACATTCAAGCATGCCTTCATTTCCACAATACCTGACTGTTGATCAAGAGAATGAACTCCGAAAGATTGCCAATGCCATTGTGGCACCAGGGAAGGGGATATTGGCAGCTGATGAATCTACTGGTAAGAAACAAAGTCTGGTATATTCATTAACTGTTACATTGAAAAGGCATAAATAAATGCTTTGTTACTTATAACTAAAAGTTTGTAATATTGTTGATGAAATGTCAAAAAATCTGAGACTACCCTTGTTAATGTAAGCAGTCACTGTATTTTAGATTATTCTGTTATATTAAAGTGTTATATTTACTAATAGAGACAGATGAAGAAAGGAAAACAATTTTCCTTTATCATTTGTTCATGTTCAAAACTTTGGGCAGGCAAGAGACTCCAATCGCACAAACATACTGATAATACCCTTTAGCTGGGCAAGAAACTTCAATCATACATGAAATGCAGCATTGATGAAGTTATAATTATCTTGTAGGTACAATGGGCAAGAGGTTTGCCTCCATTGGTGTAGAGAACACAGAGGAGAATAGACGACGATACAGGGAACTGTTGTTCACAGCAGACCCCGCAGTTGCTCAGAACATCAGCGGTGTCATTCTGTTCCATGAGACATTCTACCAGAAAGCAAAGGACGGCACTCCATTTGTGAAAATTCTGAAGGACAAAGGCATGATCCCTGGCATCAAGGTCGACAAAGGAGTTGTTCCCCTTGCTGGTACAGATGGAGAAAGTACAACACAAGGTAGACTTAATTCCCTCAAAAAAAAAGACTTGTTAGAAATAAATTTATACGAAATAAAGACTACATGAATTGTTACCAAATAAAAATTCAATGATTGAAAGTGTTTTCCATAAGGGTGTTGTCTTAAAAATTCCGAAAGCTGAAAAATTACCTTCCCTTTCATAGTTTTAAAGAAAGTACCATACAAATTTGTACACTTACCTTATAGTCAGATGAATCAATGAATTTATTCCAGGTTTGGATAGTTTATCTGAACGATGTGCACAGTATAAGAAGGATGGAGCAGAATTTGCTAAATGGAGATGTGTCCTCAAGATCGGTTCTCACACACCTTCTTACCAGGCTATGTTTGAGAATGCCAATGTTCTGGCTCGTTATGCCAGCATCTGTCAACAGGTTTGTTGTGAATAATGTAGTACATATACTTACAGTGTATGAATGAAAAAAGACATCCTGTTTATCTATTCTCGGAAACTTGGAAAAAATCTTACTAAATGAATATACATTTTTAGACTACCTGAATTTTGTTCATCAGTAAGACATATATAAAGTAAATGACTTCTTTTTTCCCAGAATGGCCTTGTTCCAATAGTTGAACCAGAGGTTCTTTGTGATGGAGATCATGATTTAGAAACAGCACAAAAAGTAACTGAACAGGTATAAACACACATTTCATATAATTTCTGACAATGGAAATCACAAATTACACTTGTTTAATGGCATTTAAATATCATTGCAATTTCATTGTCATTTTCCAGGTCCTGGCCTTCACCTACAAAGCCCTGGCTGACCACCACATCTTTCTGGAAGGAACTTTACTGAAACCAAACATGGTCACTGCTGGTCAGTCCTGTACCAAGAAATACACTCCTGAGCAGAACGGTAGAGCTACAGTCATAGCCCTCAGTCGTGGGGTTCCAGCAGCTGTCCCTGGTTTGTACTTTCTCAGTTTTTATGCATGTTTTTTGTAAACAGAATCTATTAATTTTCAAATATTTCTTAACAAGAATATAATTTTTTTCCCAAATTTATGCAATAGATTTTACCTTGGTAACTATTTCTTATCTATCTAACTTTGGGTTTCTAATTTCTATTTTCCAGGGATCACCTTTTTGTCAGGGGGACAATCTGAGGAAGATTCTACCATCAATCTGAACGCCATAAATCTCTGTCAAGGCCCTAAGCCCTGGGCACTTTCTTTCTCATTTGGGCGAGCTTTACAGGCCTCAGTACTGAAAGCCTGGCAGGGCAAGGATGAGAATGTGAAAGCTGCACAGCAGCAGCTTCTGACCAGAGCTAAGGTATGAAGCCTTCAACATTCTTCTTTACTCCTGAATATCAATCAGGGCAACTGTTTGCCTAATTATTTAACCCTTTACCAAAATTGCAAAATCCATGACCTTAGTTGCCAGGATGATTTTAAGATGGATACATCTTTACTCCTGGACATATAATAGGCAAACTTTTTGCATGTAGCCTTTTACCAAAAAATTTTAAGTTCATATATACTTAAAATGTATTTTAATAAATAACATTTTCATGATTTACTTTGTGTAGGCCAATGGACTTGCTGCCATGGGAAAATACCAAGGAGGTGAATCAGGCAAAGCTTCAGGAGAATCCCTGTTTGTAGCCAATCATGCATACTGAAGGCCATAATAAACAATAAAATAGGATCCTACAGCAATATAAACATTTAGAACAATACCTGGGAGACAATAGAACCTCAACATGTATTAGCAGCGAATACACAATGCAACATCAGTTTCATATCTCATAATATATCTTGTACATTTCCATGTTGATGTACTATTTAGCTTTTTTTTCCAACTGATCTCGCATCTTTTAACACACTACACCAACTTCAGAGTTGATGCATTGCCATAATTGCAATTGGTCATTTTTTTATATAGATTTTTTAAAATATTAATAACCACATACTTGAGCTGACTTGTTAACTGTGATTGACACTGGTACTGTGTACCTAATTATTTAATATATTTTGAGGCCAAATTTAATATTTTGTTGTAGTTTGAACTAAATGTTTATTAAAATGTAATGCTACTGCCCAAGACATTATGAAATCTTTTCATTATGTAATATTCGGTGCAACCTATTAAAGTATACATGTACATGTATTCTCTAGCTTTTGTTTCATTTCAGCCTTATACTTGTATATTTACAATGAATGATTTTTGCCATAAATGAGGGAACAATAAAGAAGAGTATATGTAATCTTGCTTTGTTACTTATTTTAAAAAAGCATCAAAATTTAATGGGAAATTTAGAAAAATAGGGCTTGAAGCTTCACTTTGAGCCTGCTCCAAGGACAATAACCTGATCACTCATCTGGAAAATGTAGGTCAAATCCAGCATCTGAAGCAGCTCTGATAGCGTGCATCCTTTGATGCTCATCCTTTTAAGTTTGGTTCAGGTAGGCCTTGGTAGTTTTAGCTCACCTGAGCCAAAGGTTCAAGTGAGCTTTTCTGATCAAATTAGTTTCATCTTCTCTAGAACCTCTGGGCCAACTTCAACTAACTTGGCATAGAGTATCCTTTGGTAAATGGGATTCAAGTTTGTTCAAATGAAGGTCCACACCATCTTCCAAGGGGAGATAAATAAGAATTCAAGAGTAAAAATTGGGTGGGGTCATTTAAAAACCTAAAGAATCACTGGGCCAGAAAAGATGAAACTTGTATGAAAGCTTCCAGACATGTGTAAATTCAAGTTTGTTTGAATTATGATCCCCTGGGGTTTGGTGGGACCATTATGGGTAAACAAAGTTTTGCAAGGGTATATATAAGAAAAAAATCTTCTCAAGACCAGCAAAGCAATGATCAATCTTATTTATACAGGAACATCCTCAGGTACTGTAGATTCAAGTTTGTTCAAATAACGCCCCCCCCCCCCCCCCCCCCCCCCCGGGGAAGGGTGGGGTCAAAATGGGCAATTAAAGTATTACATAGGAAAACAAAGGAAAAATCTTTTTCAGAGGATCAGCAAAGTCAAGATTAGTCATATTTAAATGGAAGCATCCTTAGGTAGTGTGATTCAAGTTTGTTCATATCATGACCCTCAGGGGTAGGGTGTAGAATGGGTCCACAATGGGCAATAGGGACACATACAAAAATCTTTTCAAGACTAGGAAAGCCTTGATTAGTTATATTTATATGGAAGCATCCTCAGGTAGTGCAGATTCAAGTTTGTTCAAATTATGACCCCGAGGGATATGGTGGGGCTATAATTGGCAATCAGTTTTACATAGGAATGTATGGGTAGAAGAGTGCTGATGAAGCACACAGAGCCATATTTACTCAGGTGAGCATTATGGCCCATGAGCCTCTTGTTTTTGGTAATGGACCTGCTCCAAAAACTAAGTTGTCATTGGTCCGATCCAACATTTGAAGCAAGTCCAGAAGTGTGTATCAATAAATGTATCAATATATGACAAACTTGGTACCTGACCAAAGGGTTTGGTGGGATTTAGTGTGGCCCTGTTTTTTCTAATTCCCACATAAAACTGATCCTCAATTGTGGACCTATCCTACCCCCTGGGACCATGATTTGAACAAACATGAATCTGCATTATCTTAGGATCCTTGCATATTTTAAAATATGACTATTATGGCCCTGCTGTTCTTGAGAAAAAAGCTTTTAAGTATTTTTCCAATATATATTACTGCATAAAACTTTGATCCTTAATTGTAGCTTGATTCTGCATTATCTGAGGATACTTGCATATTAATATGGCTAATCATGGTTGTTCTTAAGATTTTTCCTATAGAGTCCCATGTAAAATTTTGACCCCTTATTGTGATCCCACCCCATCCCTGGGAGCCATGATTTGAAGAAATTTCAATCTGCATTACCTGAGGATGCTTTCATATTAATATGATTCATCATGGCACTGCCATTCTTGAGAAAAAAGATTTTAATAAAGAATTCTTCCAATATTTTTCAGTGTAAACTTTGATTTTCTTCTGTGGTTCCATCCTACTCTGGTGCTAAGATTTGAACAACTTGAATCTGCACTATGTCAGGAAAATTTCATACAAGTTTCATACATAGTTATTCTGGCCTAGTTGGTCTTGAGATTTTTAAATGACCCAACACTATTTTTGCCTTTTCTTGATTATCTCCCAATATTTATTTGAACAAGCTTGAATCCTCTTCACCAGGGATGCTTTGTGGCAAGTTTAAAATTGGTCCAGTGGTTCTTGAGAAGTTGGAAGACATAGAAATATTGACTCAAGTGACCTAAAAAATTCATATTCTGCAATAGGGCTGGGGCATTACTGCAATACACTTAATGTATCATGACACAGTAGTTACAATATATGATACTTATTTAAAACAATTTATTCAAGCTACATGTTTATATCAATGCATCACACTTTTATCTGGCAATTTTTTTTTTCAAAAGGGTGAAAAAATACATTTGTATTTCATCATATACTACACGTAGGAGTGAACAACTTATACATACTTGGAATTCATTAAGTGAATCTAAAATCTTTTTAAATCCTTTGTATTTAACAAATAGTTAATATAATAAAAAATCTAAAACGATGACATGAAATATTTGATACTGAACCTTCTTTATTAACGCACCTACTGAACCTGGTATCATATTAATGTATTAGAATATCATTTGAGCACTATAATGTCATCATGAAGCTTTTCCAAGTAAATATTTAGTTATGTACTAACATAACTCAAATTGCTTAACTTTGTTTGAAATAAAATTTGAACACATTTATCTCGTCTAGTCTGTTTTAATGTTAAAAAGGTAAAGATACATTTCAAGCACAGAGAAATCAGCTCATATGAATTCAGTTCAGCACAGAGAATACCAATTTAGTACGACTACAATTGATTCAAACAAATGCAATGTTTGCAAAAGCATATCATTAGGCAGAAACATTACTACTGCTCATATTCTAATGTATCTGAAAATAAGTACAAAATTTACACAGTTACCAGTATGTACATAGTGTACATACCTATATTTGTCTGCTAAATGTAAAGATACTGAATTCATTTTTGAACATTATGTTTTACACCGAGAACTCATTGACACTGGGTTACTCATTAGTGACCAATTTATGTTTTAAGGGAATAGTACATGTACTTATAATGCATAAATATATTCAGTTGGTGAAAAAAAAAACATGCTGTATTTGTAATAGTATCAAAAATGTAGATATAGCGTTCACAGTTAAAAAAAATCTTAATGCTACAATGTACATGTGTGTATACCACCTGTATACTGTAATGATAAGCATTAAATTTCCTCAACAGCAGATTCTGAACTATTTCTATAGATCTCATATCAAACACAAATCAACTTAAACAAATGTATTCACTGATACCTGTTCAAAAATAATTATTTCCAAAGAAATAAAAAGCAAAATCTTTGCCAGGTGATCCCAATGAAAGCATTGTTAAAAAGACTGCATATTATTTTACTTTATTACTTAATCCATTATAAAACACCATCATGCAATCTTAAGAGTTATCACCTTCCCCTGTACCATGTTTGAGATCAATATGAACAGATCAACCGGAATGTGTGAGAATTCTATCCCTCCATCTTGCTGTTTACCATGAGGGCAAACGCTTGTAAAGCTGTGTTCTCTGGGTAGATTTCCAAAGCTTGTAAAGCATTGGCCAGGCATTCTTCATAGTTTCTGGATTTGTACAACTCCCTATTAAAGAAAAGTTTAATACTGCTCTTAAAATTTTACCACAATGACACACATGTACATGTAAATACATCGATAACCATCTATAACCATCAAATATCTTGGTCAAACTTACAATATACAGTACATCCCATACATTTTTGATTTTCATTTATCTTAGAAACTAATTTTTGTTACATGATTAAATGAACAAAAACTTCTTACTTTGCTCTTTTCACTGTCATTAGATACTGTTCTTTTAAATTTTCTGCAAGATCTAGGAAATCTGGAAGTTTGAACATACACTGTACATATACCGGTAAATTATTTCATCCTCTTTAGGGTTCAGTCCAATACATGTATTTTAGTTTTATGGAAAATTGAATAACAAAATAATGATCGTAAAATTGAATTCAATACAAACATTTTCTTGAATTATCTTAATTATACTGTTAAATCTATTGCTTTTGACAATGAAATCATCATACAAACCTTCATCTTCACTATCCACATCTATATCTATAGAATCCTCATCTATATCTTCAGAATCCTCATTGTTCCCAGACTCCTCACTCCTCAAATCCTCCTGGTTCTCAGCTTGTTCATTGTCAGAGCTGGACAGCATGGCATATTTGGACTGGGATAGACTGTTAGACTCAGAAGACTTCCTTTTGTTTCTGTTTTCTTGTTCCATACTTCTCTGTGCCTCCTCCCCAGGGTTCACATCACTAGTGTCACTTTCAGAATCACTCACAATCACAGCCTTTTTCACAGATTTCTTCTTGACAGAAAATGTGGGCAAATCATCTTCTGAATCTATCTCTATTTTTGACTGGTTATTTGAAGGCTTACAGTTATCAGAGTCACTTGAGTGTTTTTCTTCATCACTCAGCATGCTGTTTTCAACAACACTCTCTGACTTGGATATAGACATGTATTTGGCAGGGGATGATTCTTCATCAGTTTCTTCTATGGCTATACTGTCCTGTCCAGAAATGTCCTTGGCAGACAAACTAACATCAGGCGTATTCTGTAAAGAATTTGGCACAAAACTTTTCTCGAGTCTAGAAGTAGCACCACTTTGATCCGGGGATTCCCCCAATAATGTTTCCTGCAGCTTAGAACCAGTCCTCTTCCTCTCCAAGAATGACTCTGATGTCACTTTCCTCCCAAGAGGTGAACTTCCTGGTTGAGGACTGTCAGAGAAAGCCGATAAAATCGTAGCATTTAAGTTACTTCTACTTTTGAGCAAATCAGAATTGTCCTTTGATTTCGTTCCCATCAGAGGTCGAAACCTATCTGGGGATATAAAAACTTCCTCTTCTCTCACAGTATTTTCCACTTTTTTCTCATGGGGTTGTGTCAGCCAGGGACTTTGAGACACACTTCTTCTTGGTTTCTTTTTAGCAGGAGAGTCAGTAATTGCTGGAGAAATGAGGATGGGGGCTAGGGGAGACCTTGCCTGACCATCTGTTGATCTGTTCAGTTTGAACGCATCAGACGATCTCTTGGCTGAAGCTATAATTTGTGAAAGAGGAACATTTTCTTTATTTTCGTCATCCTCTGAGTCGATTATAGATTCCTCCATTTTGTCATTCTCTGATTCATTTGATTGAATGTCACTACTTGTCTTCTCCACATCCTCAATTTCATCTTGGTATGTCTGAACTTCATCTTCATCTGTCTGCATTCCATCTTTGTCTTGGCTTTTTGGACCTATGCCTCCATTATTGGAAGTGTTATTTTCCCTATCATTTGAATCAGACTCTAACATGCACATACTGTCTTTATCTAAAGAGGTCCTTTTGGGACTAGCCTTTATAGAAAGATTTCCCAAATTTTCAATGGTCTGCACATCTTCATCTGATTCTGCTGCCTTTTCCACATGTTGACCTGGACTCAATACCTCAGTCATCATTTCATTTTGTTCATTTTCAATTTGGATGTCAGTCTACAATATAAATATGGGAAGTAGAATATGATTTTTTTTTTAATTTCTGGAAAAGTACTGCTTGAAAAAAGATTTACTTTTTGCAGATACATGTAAATTTCTTATAAATATACAATGTACAAGTACACATATAAGATCATATATATCACTTTCTATGGCATCAGTATCTCAATACCATGAATTTGTCGAAGTGTTTGAAATCCCAAATACTTTTTCTTTATGTATTTTAACCTTGTTATCTAGAATCCGCAGATACTGTAGATCAACAAATTTTTGTGACACCTTATCTTCGAGAGATAGGTACATGTATTTGGTATTTATAAGCCAGACAAAATTTTCATGAATTCTGGGTATTGCTGTATGTAATATATACTGTTATGAAATTTTTATGAGCAGATCATCTCACAAAATTATGCGAAAATAAAGTTTGGGAGAATAAAAAGTGACTTAAAGAACCTCTTAAGTTTATTCTTGGCCCCATCTAGTCTGAGATAACAAGGTTTGACTGTACATATACACAAAAGACCAAACATATGAAAACTACAGCAAGAAAAACCAAAACCTTCTAAAGGAAATGTAACCAGCTGTTTATACCTTGTTTAATTCTGGCTCTGTCTTTACTTTGACTCCAGGTATGATAGCTGTCAGATCTACTACAGTATTGCTGCCTTTGATGGGGGTGGGCTCTGGGGTCACAAGGTCAATATGACTGGTCTCCAACACTTCAGCCTTCACTTCTTTAACATCATTATCTTCCTCTTCTTCTTCATCATCATCATCATCAACATTCTCAGCATCTAAGTCTATCTCTAGGAAGAGAAAAAAAATAATTGGAATATTTTAAACTGAATCAAACAACCACTTTTGTTTCAAATTTTGCAAAATCAAGATCTTTGTTATACTGAAAATATTTCGAAACCCACCAAGTTTGGTTTCTTAAAGATCAATTCTACCAATACTATCAGCATTTTTTGTCCTGGCTGACCTTGTACATCCTTAGCATCCTCCTCCTCCTGTGTGTTGACCGTTCCCTGGAGATTCCAGTCAGCCCACGGCCGAGAAAATGGTTTTTGGGACCCTGCATCCTCTGGCCCAGCTGGGACATTTCTCTGATACTTTCCAGTTCTCTGTTCAAAATCCTGTGTTAAATCAGACTCCATCTGAAGCAATTCCTTTGCTTTCTGTACCTGTCAAAAACATTTATTTACAACATATTAATCATGATTTATTCACATCCTACATTTAACATGAGGCATAAGAACAGAAATTTTTGCTCCTTACACACCCTGTGATGTATGAAACAGTACATGTATATATTTTAGCAATGTAGTATTCCTATAATTGCTTGATGCACACCCTGTGTTGTATGTAACATGTACATGTGTATACTTTAGCAATGTTGCTTGATACACACCCGGTGTTGTATGAAACATGTACATGTGTATACTTTAGCAGTGTTGCCTGATACACACCCTGTGTTGTATGTAACATGTACATGTGTATACTTTAGCAGTGTTGCTTGATACACACCCGGTGTTGTATGAAACATGTACATGTGTATACTTTAGCAGTGTTGCATGATACACACCCTGTGTTGTATGTATTCTTCTCCATGTTCTACTTCTGCTTCTCCGTTGTCTTCAAAGTCGCACTTCTCCCGAGTAAACATCAAGTCATGGTCACTGATACCAAATATTTCTACAACACATAAAAAATATCTACAACGTGGTGTATGTCACCCACCCCTATATTTTTTAAAGTCTGAAAAGGACCCCGCTCCAACCCCCATTTCCTTCCAAATTGTTTAATATCAAAAATCACAAACATCAGCTCATGTAAATCAGCTTGCAGATATGTATGCCTGCTGAATTGTAAAATTCCTTTTTAAATAGATACATGTATTTCAATGTGTTTAATGTGAACAAGTCATACACATAAATTCTTAAAAAGTATTCTTCAGACTTGCGGAGTCAGTCAAAAAAATTAAAATTTCTGAAACTATATCATCATTTGATATCAAAACTATGTGCAGAGTTTAGTATGAGCAATCAGCAGTGATACAAAATGACATTTTTGGTCACTGTGTGAGTAGAGAAAAACACTAAGAATCTAGTACATTGTAAAAGTCCTGTGTCTTTGTGGAAAGTTTTGAAAATAACATTGCAATGACAAAAAACAACACTTTGTCAGAGGAGAAATATTATTATTAAGTTAAAAGTCTGTTTTTCTGAGGAAAGTAACCTAGCAGTGACACAAAACAACACACTGATTACTGACCCAGTGAGTAGAGGAATGCGATGTGAGCGTCCAGGGAGGAGTCTGTGTTTCTCTGGTGACTGTGCATCTCCTCTAGCTGTTGCTGAGTTTTCGAGATCCGTGGATTGTCAAGTGTGAACAACTCTCTCAGCTCCTGCTTTGTGAAGTACCTAAAACATGAAACACACAGAAATTTAACTTATAAGTTTACATTTACAGCAGAACAATTCAAATCATTACATGAATTGGTAGAAACTTTCTGATTTGCATATGCTTGGTTCCTGAACCAAATTTTATAACATCTGTTCAGATTAAACATTTAGGAGAAAAGTCCTTTTTTCTAACACAAAATGTATATACATGTATAGATATTGTATGTGCTATTGTGTTTAACAGAAGAAAAATTGCAAAAACTAGGCAACTATTTACGGCACATGGCAATGTGTGAACCAAAACTGCAAATAACTTGTCCCCATCCTATCAAATTAATTTCGGTTATGTGCATGTGTAATGACATAGGTATAAAGAATACCCCCATCTCAATAATTGATAGTGGGAGGGGCATAAAAAAACTGACAAAAACATAAACTTACAATACAACAAGATTTAATTATGCTTTTGATGGGATTCTTATTTATTGGAGAATTCTTAAATATCTTATCATTTACCAAAATTGAGAGATTTTTAAAAAATTATCTTGAGGATGGAAAAAATAGTCTACCAATATGTTATCGATAAATGCGAATCCTGCAAATTCCTACTACTTATAAATTGTAATAAATGTTTTACTTCAGAATAAAATTCAATCATTATTTGTATAAATAAGGTATACATGTACATGTAACTAGAAATTCTTTAGTGTATATAGTTTTATAGATTATTTATGCTTTTTGAATAATCCTGCATACATACAGCCAGGCAAACAAAAACTAATCATGGTTGAAGACTTACATGCAAATGCAATGAAAAATCAAAAAGGTTTTGCAAAATTTATACAACAAATCTTTATAAAGAAAACTTCACTGTTATGGCTACACTAGAATATTTTAAACTTCACTATTTGCCTATCTACATGCAGTTTTATCCATATCAGAATATGGATGACAATAGTTTTGAGGATTCCTTCACTATAACTTTATAAACTACTTAATTTCATTAATTATGTGTATCTACCAATGTGACTAACTTTGTAACTTTAATATTTTCCAATCAAAAAGGTGTGGAACATAAATCATACAGGGATGGGAGCATGGCCTCCCAATAGTATCTATAATGCTAATCCCCCTTAAGCTTCTTACAATCTCTGTTTAATATCAAAGAGATTTAACATTAGGTAAGTCTGAAATCAGAAAGAATGGCTGGCAAACACATTATCCAATTCAAGCACAATTTGAGCTAATATTATGAAATGGATTTCAAATTTAAGATTATTCCTACATTCAAATCTATGAGTGGACAATGTTAATTTGCAGATAAAGTTTAAAAATTACTCAATTCTATTCTCTCAGAGAAATCTTTGGTTTAGAATTATTATGCATGTAATTGTGTTTTATGGTGCTGTTCATACCTTAAAATTATTTTAAAATGCCAGATTCCTACAATTGGGTATTTTGTTTAAGATGAAAGACAGAAATTAATGATATTTAAGACAAAAAAATTTAATTCAAAAATTAGAATAAATGTCTCCGAGTTGGACTCCTTTAATTAGAAGTTACACATACATGACACATTCTGAAAATTGATAGTAGTGTAAAAGTGTCAGAATGTCTGTAAAATAATAATCTACACTAAACAACATCATCTTGCTGGGAAACAAGCCCTTATCTATCTATGTATCACAAAACACTTAGCTCTCTCAGTGGGGTACAGCAAGGAGAATGGACATGAGGGATAGGAATTCATATAGAAATGATATAAAATCTAATTTTCATTCATGGATAAAAATTTCAGCAAATATTTAATGCCATAAAAAATTCACCGATTTCTACTTCTAAAGGCAAATAAACTCATATTTCCTCTTATTAAATGGAAAGAGAAATCTGCAAATTTTGGAATGTGGGCAGTATTAATTTTCCTTTTTTTAGTGTGAAATTTTCTTTTCAAGGTTAACTTTTGGGGATTGTATTCCAAAGTAATTTTTCTTCATTCATTTCTTTTTCTTATAAAATATATATCTAATATATAAAGTATGGATTGTTTCCCCTGTGGGTGCCTTATCTAATTACATTACATGGTCTGTCTCTATTCAATTAGTATGGCTTGAGGGGAATTTGGCCATGCTACTCTGACTGGTCAAAACAAACTAGGATTATGGGAACTCTGACACTTTTTCAGGTCTTTGTCTGGCCAGACCCAAGCTAACCATGGCAACAGCCTACCTGTCCAATTATCACACCATTGTCTGGAGAGCCAATACAAAGGGGGATAATTAAGTTGTTTTTGTGATCAGCCAGCTTTTTTATGGTGCTTGGTGGATTTACTGACTTAGAAATGCACAACAAAATACCTCAGAATTAAGAAGAGGACAAAGGAGCACTAACAAGCTAAACAAAAACCATTTTGCTCAAACTTGTTTTGAGCAAACCCATAGGTTGAATGATATCTTTTCTTCTGTTCAGAGGTTTATTTGTGTTTCATCCACTTTTGGAAAAGGACAAGTAATTAGTCTCAGAAGCAGAGGTAAAATTGTTTAAACAATATTAACAATCTTTTTAGTTTCATAGCTAAAATTTTGCTAAATTTTTATTAGACTTTTTATGAATATGATTCATATTTTAAGTGACATACAATTATAAAGAACATCTTGTTTTCTAAGACCTAGAGAAGTTAAAAATAATAAATTTGTTTCAATTTAATTATTTTGGTGTGCTACAAGGTGAACCCTTACGAGTCTGCTTTTTTTTTTCTTTTTTTTTTGTGGAAAATTTTATCTTAACTAGTTGGTTTTCATTTTCCTTTTTTAAAAAATTTGTTGTTATCAAGATTTTTTCATGCATATTCAAGATTTTTAATATTCCTTTTGCTATGAGCATGTTGAAATTCAAATGATTGTTGTTACTCATTTTCAAAAAATTTCACAGTTATTACATAACAAAATTGCAGCATTTATTAGCCTGCTTTATTGACTAAATTGCTTATTTGATCATCATTTTCATATTTTTTTTTCCAGTCTGTTTATTTTTTTCTTTTGACTTTGAAACCAAAATCTTATTTGAAAAAAATTTTCCAGACAGTTGTTTACATCATAAATTTGCCAGCATTGTTTAGTAAACACATGTCACAGTGTAAACAGAGGTGTTTGTGGGGAACAAGCTGTGAATGTTATCACTACATTGACAGCATGTGTAGCAAGGTGCCCTACATGGGGCCCCAAGCAGTCAAGCCCCTTTATCTTGGGCATGTCTAAATAACCTTTTCTTGTAAATGATAAGCTTGATATGAACACCTGTGTAAACCCTTTTGTAAAGGATCAAAGGGAGAGAATTCAGCAATAAAGCCTGGGGGTGTTTTCTTGACAATTTCTTAGAAGTAACAATGACATTCCACAAATTCCTTCTTTGCATAATTAAAAAAGCTGTTGATAAAATGCTGGCTGGCATTTGAAACCATTTTAGAGATTATACTTAAGTGAAGAAATCAAATAATTAATTTTTAAAATGTATTTTGAAAATTTATATAGAAGCAGTTAATTTAATTAAAAAAAAAAAAAAGAACAAAACAATCAATCAAGAAATAAACCACTAAAGCATTTTTTTTATCTAAATGTGACACAAACCTAACATTGCATGGAAAATTCATGAATTTAATACTGCATGTTTTCTCTGTAAAAATAAATTAACAAAAATTCACATCAAACAATGCAGGAAATAGCTGATGCATTAGTTCCCAGGTATTGGTGCAGTGCATGTATTAGGCAAAAGACAAGCACTTACCAATGCTGGGGCACTAATAAGGCATTGAACCCTCAAATGTTTTTTGGCTAACATCTGTCTCAAGTAAATGATTCTTTGAAAGGAATGGTTTAATGCATATCTGAACACTTAATTTGAACAAAAAACCTGTAAATTTATCAGAAATAGTACGAGTTGAACTCTGTGTAAATTCATATGTAAGACGATAAGCCATTTCCTTCAATTCTCAGTATTAAATATAAAAATCAAAATAAAATTTTAAATTCAGTAACATGACAAATCTAGCCCAAAAAAATCTTCAAAACATGTCAAACAAGGGTCTCATTAGCATATACTTAATGCACTTCTTTTTCAGAGGAAAAGCATTTACAATTGGTTGGATAAGTCTTAATTTTGTTTCTTTCTTGGATACTTCCTTTCAACTTTTACTTTTTCAAAACTTTTAACTTTCTCTTAAATTTTTCTTGATACAAGATGTGTAACTGACCCTGTTATCTGATTGGTGAGGGATGACCTTTGAACCTGCACCAATGAGATGCCAGAGGGACAGTGCCATCTGTTGGCAGCTGCACACCTTAAACTGTTTTTTCCTTTGGCTGTGTCATATCCTGTCATTATGTCTGGTGTCACATATCAAATAATGTGCACCAAACTAATGCCAGATCTATGACAAGCCCCATATCATCGTATCCACTCCCGCTTTACTTCTACCTGCTATAATTTCTTTGTAAATGTACATATATTTATTCTTAAAAGATGTGGACCCTTGGCACAATGTTGTGTGTAGAATACTAGGTCAGAATCTGCACCAATATGATGCCAGGCGATCCATGTTTTACATTTCAACTTCTCTTGCCAATAATGATTCCACTAAATTCACTCCATCAAACACCAAATAACTGCACATCGCAAACTTGTGTTTCTTTCTTCCCTGTATTTGTAATGTGCTTGTATGAGAAAGTAGAGAACTAGCACTTACAGATGCTGGGAAAACAGGAATGCACTAATTTTCAATTAAAGAGACAAAAACCAACTATCGCCCTCTTTTTTACCCTTAATCCCAAAAGGGAACCATCCCCATACCTTAAATTAATTTAAAGTTTTTTGATCCTCCAACGTTCCCAATATCACTAATGTGCTTGTCTGACCAGAAGAACTAGCACTTACTGATGCTGGGGATCTAAATGGGACAAAATCAACGAACACATGTACTCCTCCAACAAATACATGGACTCTTCCAACAAATACATGTACTCCTCTCAACATATCTTAAAAGAAAATGAATATATGCACCATCCAGAACATAAAATGCTGATTTATAATAGATCAGCAGACAAGATCATATTAGTTATTCAGTCGTGTCCAAATTAACAACTCCTAGTGGCAAAACTCTTAAACACACAACTTGCATGCCCCTATAGCACACTGCATAACATTCATCTAAGATCTTGCTCATTGGACTCAGAGTAAAAGCAAACACTTCAAACACTTATAACTTACTTGACTTCATACAACTGATTTAACATGGTAGATGTCATGAAGTTGTTTCTTGCTTCTTTGTTTAAGATTAGGGTAAACAAGAAATAGTTAGGTCAAGGTCACAGGGAAGGATAAGGTCACAAAATTATGACACAGTTGAATAGGTCTCACCAATTTGCATTATTGTATGAAGTTTGATGAAAATAAAGATAACATGAAGTTTGATAAATACATGTATATCTTGAATAGTTTCTTTAAAACTGAGCTAAGCACAAATTTGAGAAAAGTGAGGTCAAGCTCAAAGGAATGGTCAAGGTAAAAAAAAAATGATGCAGCTGAATAGCTCGCACCAATATGTATCAGCCTATGAAGTTCGATAAAAATATCTTGAATAGTTTCTTTGAAACTAAGCTAAATGCAATGCATGACAGACAGAAAGATGGAAGGATGAACGTCTGACAGGATAAACATTAAATGCCCCAGCCATATTTATGGAAGGGCTTAAAAAAGAAAGCTTTTATTGTTATATCTTTTTGTATTCTTAGAAATTTAGTTAATAGAGCCAAATTACTTTCCATAGCCTTTTATTCAGGGCTCAACATTAAAGCTTGTCCACTTGTCCGGTACCAGTAAAAAAAAAAAAAATTATGGACAAGTGAATACTTGAATGCTTGGTACTTGTCCGATTGGATAAGTGCTTTTTATGTAATTGTGTCTCCAATTCATAAAAAGAATGACTGGTGAAAAGTTTATCGGTAGTTTAATACATAAAAACCAAACTTTGATCCCGATATCAATTGCTATGTAATTGAGTTCACACTACATCAGTCCTCTCGAGAATTTTTCACTCATATGGAGACGCCAACACTTGCCGGTGGAGAGCTGGAAATTTTTGACCTATACTCCGCACTCAGGGCCATTGAGCAGTGAGGGATCTTTTTTCTTGCCAGCACCTACTGCGACACGGGACCTCTGTTTATACGTCTGTCTCATCTGAAGGACCGGTCTCCACATCCCACAGTGGGATTCGAACCCGCGACGTAAGGATCAACTCCTTACTCCGCGACTTTAGAGTGAACGCTCTAACCACTGCACCAGGCAGGCGACTCACTAATTGTATACTATTGCAAAGGCATCATGGATCTTACGAAGTTTGGATTTTGTTTGATGTTGACAGTTTCATTTGCGAAAATTTATATTGTCAGGACAGGAAGTCTAGATAAAATTTTGTTTTATGTGTGTGTTAATTGTATTTATTGATAACATCATAAATCAATCAAACACTTATTTAAATAGTTTTTAAGTTGACAGTATAAGATCTTTATTGAAAATTTTTTGGACAAGTGAAATTGAAGTTTGGACAAGTAGGAAAAAAAGTTTATGTAGAGCCCTGTTATTTTTAATTGTAAGAATCTAATAAAGCCAAAAAATTAATTGTTTGACATTATGCAAACAGTTCCATAAGTACAAGTTTCCATTTGTCTTAACGGAATAATTGTCTCAGTATAAAGCGGAACCATGTTTTGGTTAATGTGAAGACTGGTCTTCTTCACAAACATATACAAGATACATATAAAAAGTACTTGAAGGTATTATATCAGCTTTTAAGAATTTTTTCCAAATATTTACATTGTACTTATAGGTATACCTTTATTCACCTGAAGCGATTTTTTGTTGATATTTACACTGTACTTGTATATCATTATTTACCTGTAGGGATTTTTGGAGTTTCCTGTTGTCTGGCGGGTTATGGAGTCTTTAAATATCTGTCTGCGGTAGATTTTCTCCTCCACTGTGCCACATGTAATGAGGCGGTAGATGACTACATTTTTATCTTGACCAATCCTGAACACTCTGTCTACAGCCTGGGCATCAGTGGCGGGATTCCAACTCGGATCATCTGAATTACAAGGCAAATAGTCCTTGTGCATGTAAACTGACAGCTTGATATACTAGAATATATAAACTAGTATGGGCAAGATTTTTCTTTTTAACTGACAAAAAGCTATAAATAGAAAATTTATCTAACAGGGGATCAAAAAATCTTTACAAAATATTTAACGAAAAAAGAGGCCCATGGGCCACATCACTCACCTGAGCACATTGGATATGAAAAAGCAGAAATCAGTTCAGTATTGAAAAGTTTATGTGGGGGGGGGGGGGGGGAAATTGAATTTACACTACATCAGGATGCTGTTATATCAATATTACTAATCATGGCTTTGCTGTTCTTGAGCAGAATTTTAAAGACTTTTTTTCCTATGTATTCCCATGTATACCTCTGATCACTCATTGTGGCTCCACCATACCCAGCCTAGATTTGAACAAATTTGAATCTACACTACCTGAGGATACTTCTATAATAATATGATTCATCATGGCTTTGATGTTCTCAAGAAGACTTTTAAAGATATTTCCTATATATTCCCATGTAAAACTTTGAAGCCCAATTGTGGCCCTGCCCTATCCCCAAGGGTTATGATATGAACAAATCTGAATCTAAAGTATGTAATAAAGCTTTCACATAGGTTTCAGCATTCCTTGCCCAGTGGTTCTTGAGAAGAAGATTTTTAAAAAATTCCATCAAATTTTTACAAATTCTTAATTATCTCCCCTTGAAAGAGGGCACTTCCTATGAATAAACTTAAATTCCCTTCACCCAAGGATGCTTTGTGGGAAGTTTGGTTGAAATTGGTCCAGTGCTTCTGGAGAAGAAGAGGAAAATGTAACAATTACAACATGGACAACAGACAAATTTTGATCAGAAAAGCTCACTTGAGCCTTCAGCTCAGGTGAGCTAATAAGTGCCATGGCATGACTCTAAAGAGTGGTGTATGAAACTGAAATTTTCATTTCCTTTTGGAGAATTTGACTGCATATTTGAAGAATGTAAACAAGAGGTCTCTGATGAGACTGTAGCTCCATTGGTGTGTAATTGTAATAACAAGAAGTCTGCGAGCCAATGCTCACTAATAATACCCCCGCTCTGATGTGAATACACAAGTTCAGTTATGGACAAACACAGTGATAATCAAGAAATTGACATTGGATTAGTAAAAAATGAATCCCAACATATGGCATGCCTAAACAAACATTGTGTTAAGATTTCAAGCACCTGCAATGAGTAGTTGCTGAGAAAACTGCGACCAAAATTTGTTATGTATGGTACAGACAGATGCAGGGATAAACAGGAAGTTGACATTGGATTTGTACCAAAATGAATCCCATTATATGGCATGCCTAAACAAGATTGTGCTAAAATTTCAAGCATCTGCGATGAGTAGTTGCCGAGAAAACTATGACCAAAATTTGTTATGTATGGTACGGACAGACACATGGATAAACAGGAAGTTGACATCAGATTAGTACAAAGATGAATCCCACCATATGGCATGCCTAAACAAAGATTATGCTAAAATTTCAAGCATCTGCGATGAGTAGTTGCTGAGAAAACTACGACCAAAATTTGTTATGTATGGTACGGACAGACGCATGGATAAACAGGAAGTTGACATCGAATTCGTACAAAAATAAATCCCACCATATGGCATGCCTAAACAAAGATTGTGCTAAAATTTCAAGCTTCTGCAATGAGTAGTTGCTGAGAAAACTGCGACCAAAGTTTGTTATGTATGGTACGGACAGCTACACGGATGGACAGACAGACACACAAGGGTAAAACAGTATACCCCTCTCTCCTTCGGAGCAGGGGTATAATAATAAAAGAAGTATGTCTCATTTAGAGTCTACCTAATGTGTACCAAATCTTATTGAATGGAGCCAAAACTGTAGGAGGAATAGCATTTTGAATAAATTTCCTATAAATTTATATTTAGTAACTGTGGCAACACCATAAGTGGAAACCAAAGAGCAATTAAAAGATTATGTATCTTACTATAGCCTAGTTGTGCACCAAGTCTTATTGTAATTTGATCAAAACTGTAGGAGTAGCATTTTGAAAAATTGTTTATGGACACAAACAGACGGACTGACTATGGACACATTACTAATGCATAAGTTCTTCTAATCTCTGACCAGTAGAGCTAAAAACAGTGTACAAGTTAATGTACGAGGGTTGTTCGAAAAGTTCGTGGACGATGGCAATCTATGTTATACTACTTCCAAGAAATATAAAATAAGCACAATATCATGTGTAAAAATATTTGTTTTGTTGATCTGTGAAATTTCATTCCATTCGATTTGATAGAAATTAATTTACTTCATTTTAAAATCAACATGTTTTGTAACCACGGCGCACACTAAAAAGCAATGTAACGTCAAAAACATAGCGTCAAGAGTTTCTTAAAAATTCTATCCCTATACATTCACACAGTATAGTCCAATACCCACGTATTAAAAACCTTTTTCAATCACTTGGCATTTATTTTTCTAACAATTGTTCTCGTTTTATAATTTCCTTTGTTATAATGTTTAATTTCTTTTACCACTTAACTGTGCTTTCACAAGATCAGCAACTCTGAAGCGTCTACGTCTTTCCATGACGTCCCAATTTTTAAAAGTTTTCGTTCAGATTTTTACACTTAAACCGTTTCTTCACAGATTGTCCTCGTCCGATACAGAGTCTCTGTCAGTCAAATACCGCCTCTACCATTCACATACACATGCACGACTCGCATGTGGCATATTTTCTGATTCCTCCAACATTTTTAGCGTTTATTCAGGATTTTCCCCGAGTATAACACAAAACTGCATCGTTATCTGCTGCTCCGTGACGTTCTATAAAGTCATCGTTTTTGTCGTTTTCAATGAGGACTACCTATCTTCTCAAATTGATTTCTTTTTACCGAAGCAAAATATTAAGCCATAATTTGGAATACGAATCGATATAACAGTTCTTAATTTAACCATCTAGGATTTTTTCGTTTTTGCTCCATTTTACAGAGAAGATGACTACAGACATTATTTAGTGTATTGTTTGTAAATTACTAAATTTTCACCTGCGCCGCGATCCAATATTTGCAGTTTTTAATTCTGGATAAGTTTTAAATAAATCATGATATTTTTGAAAATTTTAAAACATATTGTTTAAATTTATTGTTAAAATATTTCTACCAAATTTGGATAACATATGACGTTAAATAAAAAAAGATATGACAGAAGTCCACGAACTTTCCCAACAACCCTTGTACTTTGACTTTGACTTGTATTTGGAGAGTACTTAAATACATGTAGATCTTAATTTTGACTTGTACATGGAGAGTACTTAAATACATGGAGATCTTAATTTCGCTTCCATCATTTACTCACAAATGATGACTCGATCTGCAGCTGTCAAGGTCAGACCTACACCTCCCACCTACAGTAAAAAAAACTTAATGTAGATTAAACTGTACTGGAAATATATATGAACAGAATCTTTACGAATTGAAATCTATTTTAAAATAAAAATCTGCCATGATTGAATGCATTTCTGACTTCTTATGCTTTCTGTTAGTTCACAACACATGAAAATTACATGACTTGTGTGCTTTAAAAAACTGGAAATATTATCTGATCTATGAGTTACATGAGGGTGATAAGAACATGTCCATTTCTATCTAATAAGCAAGGGTTAAGTCAAACCAGGGTATCATATAACCTGTGTTGTAAGAAGAAATGCAGAGTAACTCATGTCCTCCTGAAAAGTGGCAATTCTTCTGTCTCTCTCACTCAGCTGAGTAATGGTGCCATCCAGTCTCATGACTTTGTGTCCCTGATACAATCATAACTTACTATTACATGCATGTGTTCACAGATTACAAGAAACTAGCATATTGTAAATCAAGTTTATACTATAAATTTTATTTATTTATCTCTTTCATTAACATCAATACATGGATACAACAACAATCAAACTCACTTCACTGTATCCATAATTAGTTATACCCTACTGATATCTCAGTAGATTCTTATCTCAGTAGATTGACATCTCAGTAGATTGATATCTCAGATTTTTATCTCAGTAGAATTTTATCATGGTAAATTGATATCTAAGTAGATTTTAACCATGGTAAATTGATCTCTCAGTAGATTGATATCTCTGAGTCAGTAGATTTTTATCACGGTAAATTGATATCTCAGTAGATTTTTATCTCAGATGATAAAATTTCATTATCACAAAGAAATGAATTCTCTTTAACCAGGTATTTTTCACTATAAAGGTGTTTCACTGAATCTCAATTTACAAGTAAAGAAATAAAAAGAACATATTCTAAAAGCCATATGCTCCTACAGAAAATAAAATTATAACACATAATGACAAGTACAAACTTAAATGAAGAAGATTACATTGACACTTAGAACAGCCTATAGTAATCTGACCTTGACCTTACCCTGTTGGAGATCAGCTGTTGAATGATGTCCAGCATCTTCCTGGACTGAGAGAAGACGAGACAGCGATGCCCCTCCCTCTTCATCTGGTCAAGTAAATCCATTATGACGATCAGTTTCCCTGACTCCTGAATTAATACATTGTCTGGCATGTTCTTGATTTCATTGGCCGCACACTGGTGTCCTTCCTCCGACTCTAGGGCGGAGTCATCTAACCTACAAACATACAGACAACGCAAAAGTGTTCATGTGATTCATACAAAGTTACTAAAATAAAGTATTACATAAATATTTAGGTTCTAAATCATTATTCAGAGTAATAAGATGTGTACTTCTCTATCATTGTATACACTTCTCCTGTAAATCCTTGTGATCAGTACTTACGCGTGCTCTCCGTCTAGTCCCAGCTGTGCACATGCTCTCCGAGACAATAGACGGGGGTGGTCACAAATTTTCTTCAGGACAGTCAGAGCCACCAAGGGAGACTTCTTCGTCATCAGTAGCTGGAAATGTGCATAGTTACATGCATTGATCAATGTGATTAGAGGTTTTATCATATAATGTACATTAAAAGTTTTAATAAATTTTAATGTAACACTATTTTCGGTAATGGACATAAGAGTGAAATAGCATTCTTTACAACACTTAACCTGATCAGCAAAAGAGACTTAAACTGGGAAGTTTACAAGTGCACTCAATAAAGTAATGTCAACAGAGTATAAAACCCATCAGAGGTAAAAGATACTTTCCTTTTTCTTTCCTTCTAGCAGTATTACCTCTTTAACAGAATCCAGAGACAGGAAGTCACTGTAGATTCTCTGTTGGTCTGGGGTCAAGAACAGCCACAAAATCAGGTCGTTCTTCCTGGTCATTGATGGCATCCTAAACAAAATACAATAAGCCCACGTACAAGTGTACATGTAAAGATAAAGTCAAACCTTGTTATTCCCAAATCAATGGGGTTGGGAAAAATATCTGAGGATTCAAGATACATGCAATGAGGTTTAAATACAAGTGTTTGGGACTTTCAACTCACTTCAACATATCCATGGTATTTGAAATTACAATGTCTGAGATACTGAAACTCAACTATATATCAACCAAGGGGTAGGTACAAGGAAGTCAATGCTCTGTGTTGAGTTACTGAATATATTATCCAATACTAAATAGTTACCCGGTACAGTAAAACATGATTATAGCAAACATGATTATAATGAATTTGTGCTTACAATGAAGTGATTTTCATTCCGTTATTTTTAAAAAAAATTACGAACCTAATGGATGTAATGAATTACATTTATAACAAATCATAATTGCACTTTGCTAGAAACAGGATAAGTGTGAATTTTCTTGTAATGGTGCTGGAAATTGTACATTTATTGCATGTCACGAACTTTGATTCATAATTATACATGTTACTAGCTGCAGATCTGTAGCTCGCTGGTCTGACAAAAATGGGATGGACGACCAGAGAGCTTAAGTCCCACCCATTGAAAAAAGTGTGTATTTATTGCGCATAAAAAAAAAGCGCTGTTTCTCGATTTATTTCTCAGGTACATGTATACTAGTATATGAAAATATTACTAACCGTGTGTTCCTAACATATTATTTTACTACTTCCACAACAAAACAGTATGTACAAGTCATGTACCAAGTGTGTTGGATCAATTGATGGCAGTATAGATAGGCAAAATTTTCAATGGTCTCAATTTTAAACCCAGAAGGGCTATTTACAATGGTATTGGGAAATGTTTTATTGTGGAATTAGTGAAAATATATGTTAGGAATACACGGTTTGTAATATTTTGAGATGGCAGCTAAAATATACGGAGAAATAAATCGAGAAACAGCGCTCTTTTTTGTGCGCAATAAATATACCGGTACATTTTTTCAATGGGTCTGGTTGTCCATCTGAATTTTTTCAGATCAGCGAGCTACAGATCTGCAGCTAACATTTTACTTATTGTAAAATTTGAATCATTCATAGATAATGCTTTTTTAAAATTATGATGTGTAAATCTGTAACATAATGAAAGAATATGTAACTAAACTAAGAGAAAAATTGACAGGAAAAAAAGAAATCATACAAGTTTAGTTAACTCCAGAACAAAAATATTTTAATAATACAATGGCAAAATGATGCTATAGGTGTCTCCCAATAAAGAGTACTCTCCTTGACATGTATATACTAGGGATGTCAATTTGTAATCGGTTAACCGGTTACTTGGTTGGAACATTGGTAATCAGTCAGACAATCTGTAACTGGTTAGTCGGAAAAAAAATCACATACGGGTATGTGTAAATTTGAACACAATATCCTGAAAATTCAATCAAAACATATAAATCAAAATATATGAAATTTTAACATTTTCACCTATCCATTTCTTAGGCTGATCCGAAGATAATTAAGGTTCTCCTAATTGACATCGTGGGGGTAATTAGTCAGCTTTCGAGATGTTAATTGCTGTTTAAATACAATGTTGCTACCCAGCCAGTCCAGTGTTTCTTTAATGATAAATTTTAACTGAATGATTGTTGAGTACCGTGAAGTGATTATAATGTGTAACATACCCCTCTATCTTTTGCAGTTACTATCAAATTATATTATTAAACAAACATTGTAAATTAAGCGATAGTTCAGACTTAGTTTTGATTATGTGAAAATGCAGATTGAACTTCTGGGACCTCTCTTCTGAAATTTTTTTTAATGTATCTGATTCTTCAGGCATGTTTCATGAGTTTCTTATTTTTTTCTTTTTTCATTTCTTTTGCTTTAAATTTTAAATAAAATATATATATTGTTCTGATAAACATAATATTACTACATGTAACATCTTTATAGTCTGTCTGTTTGAGTAGAACTTATACAATAATGAAATACGTCAAGAATTTTTGATACGATTAACCGATTAATCGGTTGGAACGTCTTGCGGTTAACCGATTGGCAATTCTGCATTCGATTGCCACCCCTACTATATACATATACATGTTCATATATATTGCCACTACTCTGGTCTCTGGCTGCAGAAAAATACTGAAGCTTAAATATTGAATACTAGCTAATAAAATGTAAACAACTAAACAAGGGAAAGATGAACATGTAAAAGTGAACATGTTTACATACTTTAAGTCTTTGCCATAGCTAAAATGAAGATTCTTAATCAAATACACAATGAGAAATAAGCAATCCAATTTTTTAATTCTTCTTCCAGTTTTTAAAATAGACATCACACACTTAGTGGAAGATTTGAACACTTACTTCAGACTCTTTGCAGACGAAGACACATCAAGTTCATCCTTCTCCTCTTTGTCTATAACCTCGGCCTTCGTTCTCCGTAAAAAGTAAGGGGAGATAATCTGCTTCAGGCTCTCTGCCATCTCCATACCTAGTCTTCTCTCATTGGCTGTGGCATCTCTCTCCCTGGCCTTTAATGAAAGGAAAGCTTTCTGACATCATTAAACTTACATTTCTAAATCATTTCATATTTTCATACACTCAACAAGTATAAATCAAAATTTAGGTCCATTTATAAGTTTTGTTTGATGAAACTAGGGGATAGATTCAGATAGGAAGGGGGAAAACTTGATATACCGTATATACTCACCTATAAGTCGGTTGTATTTTTTAAGCTTAAATTTGAGCGATTGACTTGCTAAAAAACCAATCTTTTTATAACTCGCATGTAAGTCGGATAAAGGGTTTTGGACCAAAGTTTAACTCCCCAAAAAAATGACTTATAGGCGAGTATATATGGTACTTCTTACATACCCTGGTTATTGGGGTGTCAAATTCCATCTTAAAGGTCCTTGCTGTTCCCAGTAATGTCCCTTGATGTACAAAGTCAAACAAGGACCACATCTCCTGAAGATTCAGAAAGAAAGAATGGAACAACATATTTTTGTACTCATGAGGTCAAAAACATGACTGTCCAGTATACTAAACATACACAATTCTGACATCATTTACAAAGTTACTGCATCACAAAAGTACAAAATGATGTCACAAAATGTGTATATTTTGCTGCACTTTTCAATGATATCAAAATCATTAACTTCCATCAAACATTAACATTTTATCAAACCATAATCAGAACTTTTCAAATGTCTCTTGTTTCAGAAGTGTGGCAAAGACCTCAATTTTCCTTTCCTTCACAATGTATAAGGAAAAATTCCATTATAAGATAGAGTAATAAACCATCCTGACACAAACTACAGAGGACAAAGTCTCTCCAAATTGTTGTAAAAATCAATGTTTACAATTTTCAATCTCACAATTGCTAAGCTATGACGTCTTAAAGCCACTCAACTATGACATCACAGCCAACTGACAATGCATTACAAAATAAACAGAGGCAAAAGAAAAATCAATGAAAATGTAATAAACTGAAAATTCAATGTTTTGTACTTGGATATGCTATTTATTTCATTTGTGAGAGAGGGTTTTTGATATTTTCACTCATACTTCAAAATTCCTAGCAATAGAACCTACATTCCTAGCAATGAATGCCCACTGGAAACAGGCACAGTTGCTTCGAAAACAATCCCAAATTAATTATGTTATTTGACCAACCCAACAAGCATTCAACAACCTTATCTACAGGAACTTGATTGTGTGGCATGCAATGAGGTAACTATTGGATATTGATAATCCAGAAGTCGTTTGATCCAGTACATGTACATGAAAATCTGACTTACCCTGAGATTATTCTGTATGGGGGTACCGGTCAGAAGGATTCTGTGGCTGGCCGGGATCTGATGAACCCCTTTTGTTGTTTTGGTAGGATTTTTTATCTTGTGACCTTCATCAAGGATTAGGTAATCCTGCAAAATAATAGTCATTCAATAAAAAAACATCTGAAGCCAGCCGCCATGTTTAGTACAACATTTTCAAACCTGAGATATCAAAACTTTACTTATTACAACATAACCATATGTACAGTGTATATATCAGTACTGTTTATAATTAATAAAAACAAATACACCTAATCAAAGTGACTTTCTCATTGCCCAGTATATTATCTTTCTACTTCACCATGATATACAGTGCATGTACTGTAAACCAACTATTATTCACAACATCTTTTATTCGTGATTCTTCAGTTAAGAATCCATCCGTGACTACTAATTTTCGTGACTGAGGTAACATTCTACATAAATACAAAGGCAAATAATTAGTTCACGATGATAAATATTCGCGAGTAAAAGAAGGTCGCGAAACTCAAGAATATTTCTTGCTCGCAAATAAAAGTTGGTTTACAGTAAATTTACATATCTGAACATCCATCTCGAAGGAAATCTCTTTTTAATTTAATTAAGGTTTTACCCATTTGAATGGTCGCCCATCCTGCTGGCTCATCATTTCCCAGCTGGTTACAATCAATCCGTAGGAAGTCAACAATATACCTCCTTTTCGTCTGATCTTTGCTAAAGATCGCTCTTTCTCTTTCTTTGATCCATGATAGGATTCCACCTTAATACCTGGTGCCCTGGATTGGAAAGGAGATGTGGCCAGAGATGAAAAATTCCAAGAATGAGTTTATTCAAATACAAATTACACAATATTGATATTCTTTCATGATTGAACATTAAAATTAAATTATGCGTTTCTGAATTTATTCCGAACTGTCCTTATCTACAAACCTTCCCACTATGGGACTTCATAAATTATTTTTTAAAATTTACCATTTTTTCAATTCTTTATCCCAGTTTCCTATTACAGACACCGGCATCACGATCATCACTGAGTGAACTTTCTGCATGTCAAACAATCCAGACAGAAAAGCTATCACCTGAATTGTCTTACCCAATCTACAATGTCAGATGTTTTAGGAATAATTATTTTGGAGGAATAAATTTTTCAAAATATTTTCAACTTTTCAAATATCAAATGATTTACAAGTACATATCTTACACCCATTTGTATCCTGTATAGAGAAATCAAGTGCAAGAAAACATTTAACTGTGCATACAGTTCCACTTGATTTTAAAAAAAAACACACAATGGTTGAAAATGAAATGAGACACTTTGTCTGAAGCACAAAATTTTACACAATTGATCAGTGCATACACACACACGTATCTATTCACGTACCCCATATCGTCTCCCAAAATCCCTCCTTTACGTTTCTGATGAAGCCCCCACATCCACATGACTCCCTGTTTCTGGTGGGCATAAAGGTTCTTAACCAGGTCTTTATAAAGGTAGAAACTATTCCCCATGTGGACCATTCCCCCGCTCTCACTCGGTTCTTCATCATCCTCATCATCATTACTGGCAAGATAGGACTAGAAAACAAGATTTTTATTTTTTTTTTTAAATATCAAGCTGAAAGCCTTCAAGAAAGACCTACATACATGTATTTAAAGAGAACTAATTAATGAATTTGAAAGTGACAAAGTCTGTATAGCACTAAAATTTACATAAACTTTGTATATGGAATAATATTAGCAAGATTCCAGTAGATGGAAAAATTAGATCATTCTTCTGATAAATTTTCAATTTTCTCTTATTTCTTCAGCTTTTTTATTCATTGAAACTGAGTCCCAATTTTTCCTTTACCTCCATTTTCTGTATTCTTTTTTTAAGCTTTTCACTGAAGCAAATAGCCAGAGCTTTCTTATTACATTCCAAGGCCTCCCTGATCTTTCCATCTGTCGCTAGTTTTTTGGCCTTCACTACAAGATCATTATATTTCTTCTGCTGATCAACAGAGGGGGCACCTGATTGGCTGCTACTGGACGATCTCCTTTTTGGAGTTCCCTCTGTAAGTAACCTTACAATTGTCACTCTCAAATGATGGACATATATTAACAAATACATTACTAAATGACATTAAAACACTGGATGTCATCAATACTGATATTCATGAAGCACATTCAAAATGTTTATCAAAAATTTCAGCCAAAGTTAAAACTCTGACTTAATACATACATATGTAAAAGTAAGAAATTTTAAATTTTACTTGGAGTTTTGACAACATTCACATTTCTGTCCACATCTGACTTCTGCGATTCTTTCAGAAAAGTCTAAAATGAAAAAAAAAGATAAAACACAGTAAAACAGTGGTTTATCAAGTACAAATTCACTGTATTACCTGAAAATCCTAATGTACAAAAGACAATATATGTAAGTAAATTATCAGTAAAATAAGAGGTACAAACATATCAAAATTTTCCCAATTGATTTCGTAAGTGGCACACTATTTCACATTACCTCAAGCTTCTGGATTTTGCCCTGTAGTTTGTTACTGGGGCATATTTCTGCTGCTTGCTTATAAGACTGTAAAGCCTCGGCTGCCCTCCCCTGCAGTGTCTGTTCCTTGGCTTTGGACACCAGTGTAGCAAATCGTACCTGGTCCTCCTCACTTAAATCATTAACATCTCTGTCTGTTGATTTTGGAGGGACATTTTCTGTAGATTGACCACCTTGCTCACACTCCATTTCTGTGGGCGTCTTTTCTATTGTCTCAGCTGCTAAAACATATATTGAATATTGTATCTGGTACACAGTAATTTATGTCTGCATTAAAATCCACTTGTGACATTTGTTTGAACAGTCCCATTTATTTTTGGGGAATGGAGCATTTATTTTCAAGTAACATGGGGAATGGAGTTTTTTTTAGTTATGCACAAGTTCTCCCTTCAGTACCTCTATTGCTGCCAAGCCTTCGAATTTTTTTTTTAAGTTAAATTTTTATAAGAAAAAGCAAGGCATTGCTGAGAATCGAACCTGGTACCCACTCATTTAATTCAGGTACTGTCCACACCAAGCTACAATGATCAATGTCAACATTTAATTCAGGTACTGTCCACACCAAGCTACAATGATCAATGTCAACATTTAATTCAGGTACTGTCCACACCAAGCTACAATGACCAATGTCAAACAGGTATCTAAATTACTTTACAACACATTCTCTGCAATACCACAAGTACATTTGACTACAAATTATCCAAATGTACAATGTACTTAAAATCCGCTTGTGACGTCACTCTTTTGTTTGAGTGCTCCATTATTTTTCAGGAATGGAGAATTGCAAATTACATTGAAAATGATATTTGCTATGTTCAAATTCTCCTTCCTGTGCCTCTACCGGGGAAAGAACTTATAAAATTTCGTTAAGTTCATTTTCATATTAACAAAAAAAAACATATTGGTATTGCTGAGAATCAATCCCAGTAACCTCACCATGGTAGTCAGACACCCATCTCACTACGCTGTCAAAGCTGTTGATAGATGGCTGATTTAAATTTCTTTATGATACTTTACTCACCTTACTCTCTCTCTCTCTCTCTCTATATATATATTAAATACTACTAATATGTTAAATATGTATTTATTGGGTATATCATATATATATTTTTTATTATATATTAACAAACAATAATTACAAGCATATAAAACAGTGGATTTTAAGCACGTTAATATACTCGTAGCACTCAATTCCTTAAAAGCAATGGGCCTAGGCCCCTTTGGGGCCTCGGCTCCATTACTTTTAAGGAATGGAGCGCTACTTGTACATTAACCCTAACAAATTTTATTAAAATGTGGATTTTATGTAGGTTAATATCCTTGTGTCTCTCTATTCCCTAAAAGCAATGAGCTTTGTTGGTCCCTTTGGGGCTTCCGCTCCATTACTTTTAAGGAATGGAGAGGTATTAACTTAAATATCTTAGAGAGATGTCTTAGAGAGATATTAACTTATATGTACTACATGTATACGAGGGAAATATGCACTAACTAATAATCTAGTAGTGTGCATCCCTAGATGCTACATTTATGCAATTTTAGTCCAGGTAGGACTGCAGTTGATTAGGAATGGACTTATCCTAAAAACTTAAACTGGTCATTCGGCCAGAAAATACACGTCAGATCCAGCATACGTACAAAGCAAGTCTGTTTAGTGTGCTTCCCTTGATGCATCATCTTATTAATTATGAAAAGATCTTTTTTCAGTGTTTTTAAAATCGCCGATTTATTTTATTTCATCCATAAAGTGGTTACATTTTTTGGATTCAATTTGAAAAAAATAGGTTCATACAAACTTTTTATAAATTTCTTCTTCCAGTTGCTCTTATTTTTTAAGCTCCTCTTATCTGGGGATATTGAGACTAACCCAGGTCCATCCTTTGAGAAATCCTTGATATTATTCACTTGAATATTAGAAGTATTAGAAATAAAATAGACTCGTTGATTTACTTAGTACAAGACTTTGACATATTATGCTTCACAGAAACCCATTTAAACTCTACAGTAAGAAATGACGATCTCCATATTGAGGGATTCGGAAGTATTTTTAGAAAGAATGCATTACTTGTAATTAATAATGTAAAAATGTTAAATGTGCATAAACTGCTATGGGGAGATGAATCATTATCTTTGCAGGAAAATGAAAAAATATTTGGTATTGTTCAAAAATTTATTCAGGATACTGGTCGTTTCAATTAACACTTACATGTACTTGTATTTACTACCTTTTAAAACTATTTTAATATGGTTATTGACGTCATTATAATCAACATTATATCAACTGATATTCCTTAGCAATAATAACTATTGTCTTTGTTCTTCTATGTTCATGTATAATATTGTAAAATTGTAAATCTTTGTAAATGTTGTATGGCTATTAAGATTTTATGTATGGGAGAGGACTATCTAAGTTTTTAGAACTTGTGTCCAATCCCTTTGACACATTGTCAATAAAATATGTTCAAAACAAACATCATCTACATATGTTTAGTCCAGGTAGGCCTTATAGTCACTTTGGCATGAACCTGCTCAAAATGCTTTAAACTAGTCAATCATCCAGAAAATGTAGGTCAGATCCAGCATCTAAGTGTGCATCCTTAAATGTATTATCCATGCAAGTCTGGTCAACTTAGAGCTTATATTACTTTAGAACAGACCTGCTCCAAAAACTTTTCCCTGATTGCTCATCTGGAAAAAGTAGGTCAAATCCAGCATCTGAAGCAAATGTGGTAGAGTGCATTCTTAGATGTATCATCTATACAAGTCTGGACAATAAAGAGATTATAGTCACTTGGAAATATTACCTGCTCCAAAAACTTTATCCTGGTCATTTTTTTTGCTGAAAATGCTGTATCTAAACGGGACTGGTACATTGAAACATTCTAAAAGTATTGTCCATGCATCTCTGATCAATATAGGGCATAGAAGTACTTAAAAAGAAAACTGCTCCAAAAACTTTAATATGGGATGCTGAGGGTATTACATAAGCTCCCCAATTTCATTGAGGTGCTTAAATCTGTGTTATTTTTTGTGCTTGCTGGCATTACTTTTGTTTCCTTTTCTTACCTTTACTTGGCTGTACATCATCTACAGACATACCATTCTGCTTCAGATAGTCCTGAAAAAACATGCTTCAATTACATGTACATGCAGAATTTCATTTGGTGTCAGAACATAGATCTGTAAGTTCCAGTACTCGTACAAAATTTTTTAACATAAATACATTTGCTTGTACCTCCATTCTCTGCATTTTTCGAGTCAGTTTATCGCTAGGCTTGATTTCAGCTGCGAGTCTGTACAGACATAAAGCTTCCTTCACATGTCCATTCTCAGTGAGGTCTTTAGCTCTAGATACCAGCTTAGTGTACTGGTTCTCTGCTGCTGGATCTGTTGGGCTTATTTCCCCTTTGGTAGAGCATGAATCAGCTGTTTCCATGGCTACATCCATTTCTCCCGTCTCCTTCGGGATCTTTGGTTCTGTTTAAGATTGTGAGATACTTTGTGTTATGTAAATTGCAATGCTTTAATAACTTTAAATAAAATTCACTGCCCAGTTTTTGACGTTGAGAAAAAAATTATTTATTCCTAAATACTGTATACAGGGAAACTTTCGCCCCCGTTTTATTTTCAAAGAGCACAGCATAATTTCTTAAACAGAACTGTGGCTAGGCGAATTTAAAATGGGGCAAAATTGTTTGCAAATGTGAAAGGGCAGAAATAACAAGTGGTGAAAATAACCCGGTATACAGTATATCATATCCAAAGTCTTTTCAAAAGCTCAAAAATATAATTCTCTTGTAGAAAACCAATAGACTTACCTGAAGAATCACTTGCAGTTGTATTCTGCCTTAAATAATCCTACAAGAATATTGTTTTACATACATGTATATGTATTTAAAAAGAATAAAAATTCTATTACAAATTCAAGGTACCAATTTAATATGACATTAACACTGTATCAATGAAGTTTAAAACATTAAACAGTCTCCTTTTTCTTCATTAATCCATACCCAATATTTACCTCCATTCTCTCCATTTTACGACTAAGTTTGTCACTTGGACATATCTTTGCTGCTTCTTTGTACAAGTCTAGAGCCTCCTTCACTTGACCTTTAGAGGTCAAATCTTTGGCCTCTGACACTAGTCTGGCAAATTTTGATTGCTCTTCCTCTTCTGTTTTTGAGCTTTCATCTGATGTTTCCATCACTTTCGGCACTGATGATTGCACTGATGTTGGAATTTGTTTTTCTTCAGAATTTGTCATCTCACTGGTTTTTTCTAATAATCATAAGAAGGGAAGAAAACTGTTCTGCAGTCAAAGAACAACAAGAAAAAAGCATGATCTTTTGAGAAAAAGGGGTTATCTTACATGCATGTACACGTAAATAGATGTATGAAATTTTTCAAAATTTTCTGGATGTTTTTTTTTTTTTTTACATGTACATGTATATTCCATAAAAAAAAAGGTAGAAATAGCAACATACCTAAACTATCTGAAAGTTCTGATAAGTTGTTCTGCTGGATATACAACTAAAAATATAAAATTATGTAAGAAGTTAAAATTATATATACAGTTAATTCTCGATAAACTGTCGCCTTTTGTAAATTAGAAATCATGGCGGTATAACGAATTTGGCAATGAATTGAATTTCCCCTTTTGGGGAAACAAGAAATAGAGTTACTGTTCTGGGAAATAAAACATTTAGCGTTTATATTCTTAGCATTATATAAAAACATATTTCAAAATTGGTAAATGCTTCAAATAGTTGTTTTACTTACAATAATTTCGTTTTAAAACAAAATACACAATTATAAAATAAATACATATACATGTTGTGTAAATCTGAACGTAAAAAACATGCCGTGTCGATCGTTGTGATGAATTGCAGATAGTATGTAAAATGAATTCCTGGAAATATCTTTATTGTTTATGGCATCGTCGTTGCTAAAACTTCCACATTTAATACTGTATCATTATTTTAAAGCAAATTTTATATTATATGAAGTAGGGATATTTGAACTAATATCGTTGTCGGCAAACTCAAGTTTTACAACAACTGCTTTCGTGGAGAAATCAGGATTAAATCATTTTTATTAAACAGAAAACAAAATTTATAATTACAGTTGATGTTAAAAATTATTGTTTATTTGATTATTTAATTACATGTACCTTCTCTGGCTTTAATGGTGATCTAGTCGATAGCGACAACCAATTAGTCGCTTCACTGACCACATGCACCTGTGGTGGTATATTGAGATAATTGACACTTTGAATTGAACGTTTGTTGTATAAACAGGGTGGCGGATGACGGTATGCGAATTTGCCGTTATAAAAAGAATTTTATATAGCAGGAAAAACATTCTAGAAAAATCATGGCAGTATTGCGAGAATGGCGATGAATCGAATGGCGATAATTCGAGAATTGACTGTGTATATATATATATATATATATATATATATATATATATATATATATATATATATATATATATATATATATATATATATATATATATATATATATATACATGTATATATATTAAGCTAGAATCCAGCTTTCAGATTCAAATTACAATCGAAAGTGCTGCGTTATTATCATAGTTGTATTTAAGGAAGTACTGTCTTTTTTTTTGTTTTATGATGTCATCAAGCAATTCAATGTTTATGCATAAAATTAACATGCAAGACATTTGCATGATCATCATCATAAAACAAAAAACTGAGATTATTCCTTATATTCATGATTCCTTAAATTCACATGCTCTATTCAAGCCCCGCCCACTTCTCTAGCTTTCTATGTCTCTCACTCCCACCCAGCAAGTGATTTTTTTTTAACCAAGCATTTCAATGAACCAATAGCTTTATGAAGAAATCAAGTTTTTTTTTATCATTTGTAGTCTTATCTTGAACAAGGATATTTGAAATGCAAATATTACTGTATTACCTCCATACGCTGAATTTTCCGCTGCAGTTTATCACTATAAGCAATCTTCAGGGCCTTTCTGTTAAGATAAAGAGCCTGTGGTATTTTTTTCTCCTCCACTTTTTTACCAGCTTCTGATATCAACATGGCATACTGGACCTGATCCTCCTCTGACAAGTTCTGCATTGCAGGGACTGAGGGGGAGGAAACGGTTGTCACGACTTTGTCCATCTGTGAGGGTGACCCTTCCATGACTGAGGAGCTGGGCGAGGTCCTTTCATTTTCATTTTTGAGAGATGGAGTCCTGTTGACTTCTAAACAAAAGTCAATTACATGTATTTGTATTTCATGACACTGGAATGTAAATTTTTTAAAAAGTACATTGAGAATGATCAAATTCCTAAAGATTATACAGCCAAATTGCAAAAGTATTCTCAATTTGCTAAAATTGAAAAAAAAAGCTCTGATCAGTCTAATCCTGTTTTACTTAAACAGTTTAGCCATGATTAATCATATAATTGGGTAATATGGAAGCAAGTTTATTCAAATCATCATCCCCCCCTCCCCCTTTGGGGTAGGGTGGAACCATCCATTTTTTGGACTTTTCAATTCTAAACTTCTCTGCTTTCTCTAACCAGAGTGTTCAGGTGAGCAATATAGTCCATGGGCCTCTAGTATTTTAACTTCAATATCTAAAATCCTCATATATCACTTCTTTTGGCCCCATGGAGATAACTTGGTTTGACTCTATATATTTACTTTGCTTCTTCATATTATATCATTTATTACATTTTCAACACTGAAAAACTGAATTTATTTATTGAATAAAAGTGATATTCTGTTACAGTTTGAAAGGATATCAGAATCAGATTCTGTCACAGTGTGACAGAATATCAGAAGTGCGGCAAAACTTGAGATTTTCCTTCCCTTCAAGAAGAATGTTGTAAAAAATTCTCCCTGGCCTGTTATAAGATAGAGTAAATAAACCATCCTGACAGAGAAAAACTGCCAAAGTTTCTCTAAATATCTTGTTGAAATCCATGTTTACAATATTTTCAGTCTCACAATCTCTAAGCTATGATGTCTCAACCCCTTAACTATGACATCACAGCCTATAACACTGTGTTACAAAAAGAAAGAGGCAAAGAGAAAATCAAAGAAAATGTAATTAATAGAAAATTTAATGATTTGTAGTTGGATATGGAATTTATTTCACTCATGAGACAGGATTTTTTGATATTCTCACTCATGCTTCGCACTTGTGAAAATTTTAAAAAAATCCTGCCCACTCGTGAAATAACTTCCATATCGAACTACAAAACACTGAATATCTTCTATATATTAAATCAGTTAGTTTAGAGAAAAAAAAATATGCATGTAGCTACTGCTATAATGGTTATAAATATATGCTATATTTAGAAATTGTCATACCATTTTTTTCATCACCTTTTGTAACGTCAGTGGAAATTTCCTCAATGTATGCCTATAAAATAAAATTAGAAAATCAAATTAAATATCTTTTTTTTTTTACTCCTTTCCAGTCTGAAATATTTTTAATAAATATAAAAGTGGGATAATATTCTTAAAAGATATAAAAAGCTTGATATACTATTTGATGAGAAAGAGCTATTTAAATATAAAGAATAATAATTTACTTTTCCATATCACATCCTGTATCAGCCCGAGACACCAATACCAGCCAGAGGGCTGAAGGCCCGAGGGTAGATATTGGCCAAGGGCTGATACAGCATGTGATATGGAAGGGTATGTTTTATCATTTATTACAAAATTAGTAATAATTATGATAATATACACCACACATCTACTTTCAAGTGCAAACACAAATAAATAATCATCAACTAGCTTGCGGTATTACACGTAAATCAAATAACAGTAATTTCAAATTAAATACAAGATTTTTCGCAGAAAAATGGGTGTATTATCACAAGTACTGTAATTCAAGGTTAAGTCTGCAAGGGGTGTACAGTAATATTTTATATATATATATATATATATATATATATATATATATATATATATATATATATATATATATATATATATATATATATATATATATATATACATATGTATATACATCTGTGTTTCAGCCCTGCAGATCCATATCAGCCCTGGAAGCTGATATGGCTGTGGTGACGTCAGGCATTTTGCATATTTATCTGTATTTATTATTAAGTATTTAATAAAAACATTTATCAAGCTGTAGAAAATATTGAAAGCATCTGATTCACAATTCATAATCACTCAGAATTTTTTTTCTTCAAATGTGGATATACAGAGACAGTTTACCTGCATACGCTGAATTTTACGCTGTAATTTGTCTGAGGGACACAGCCTATAAGCTGTCTTGTTCAGTTGGAGGGCCTTGTGAACATTCCCCTGAGAAACCAGCTCTTTTGACTGGAGAATCAATCTGGAATACTTCTCCTGAATACATTGTGCAAGCGTACCTGAAAGATGGAATATAGCATAAAGTTTAAATTCAGGTACCAGTAATTGTATACAAATTTAGGTCTGCCATTTTTATATAAATGGTGCTTCAGAACATGTCATTTGCAGAAAACCTTACCCTTTATCAAAAGCCATATTTAGCAACTAATATTTTTATTGGATGTAAATATGGCCATATGAAATAGAGACCTACATGATTTTCAAGTTTATCATTTTTTTTTTCTCAGAGCCCCTCAATGAAATGACATGACAGCTGCTGCTCTTTGATACATTTGTTCTGTGTGGGGTATTCAATTTCTGTTTCTTGAGTGTAGAACTATATGTAAGATGATAAGCTAAAGTTGTCCTTAGAACTATGATATGTATTATATACTGTGGAATCATCATTGTTCGTGGGGGACTAATGTTCATGGATTTCGTGGGTCACCCCTACCCATGAATTTACATCCCCACAAACACTAATTGTTAACATATTGATTCACTGAACCACTGTATAAACAAGTAACCCACAAAATTATCATGATTATGTCCTTGTGAAAAAGTAAAATTTTGCTTGCCCACGAACATTGACTCCAATGAAGTATTAATGATTCCACAGTACATGTATTATTTGATCTCCTTCATAAATACATAATTTGTCTTAAGATAGAACAGTAAGCTGTGAACAGTTTGTAAGTATCTGGATTTTTTATGCCCCGTAATCAAAGATTCAAAGGCATCTAGTTTTTGCCATGTCCATCAATCTATCTGTCTGTCTACCTGTCTGTAAACTCTGTCTGCAAAAACTTTAACCTTGCCCATAACTTTTGATTGGAGCTATGGCTTTCAAATTTCACACGTGTATTTCTTGTAACAAGACCTTTCTTTGAATACTAACATATTTGACCTCCTGACCTTGACCTTGGAGTTTGATCCACTTTTGCAAAATTTTACCAAACTTTAACCTTAGCCATAAATTCTAAACAGTTGGTGCTAGGGCTTTCATACTTCAAATATTTATTCCTTGTGAAAAGACCTTTCCTTGCATTTAAATTTTTTTTTACCTCTTGACCTTGACGTTTGACCCACTTTTGAAAAATTTTAACCTTAGCCACCTTTTGAATGGATAGTATTAGGCCTAGGGCTTTCATATTCAAAGGTGTATAATTCCTTGTGACAAGACCTTCTCTTGGATATCAACAATTCTGACCCTATGACTTTAACCTTGGAGTTTGACCTACTTTTGAAAATTTTAACCTTGGCCGCAACTTTTGAATGGTTGTTGCCAAGTCTTTCATGTTTCACATGTTCATTATTTTCTTTTGACAAGACCTTTCCTTGGGTACCAACAATTTTGGCCTTTTGTCCTTGACCTTGGAGTTTGACCTACTTTTGGAAAACTTTTACCTTGGCCATAACTTTTGAACAGTTGATGCTAGGGCTTTCATATTTCATATGTGTATTTCTTGTGACAAGATCTTCCCTTGGGCACCATTAATTTCTTTAACTCGATGTTTGACTTACTTTTGAAAAACTTCAATCTTCACCATAACTTTTCAACAGATGGTGCTAAGGCTTTCATATTTCACAGATAAGACCTTTCTATGAGTACCAACATTTTTTATCTCTTGATCTTGACTTTGGAGTTTGACTTGCATTTGAGTCAATATGAGTTTAACAAACAAATCTTGTTCTTTGTGTTACTGTATTCAGGAAAATTTTCACTCTGGTTTTTTTTTTTTTTTTTTTTTTAAATTATTTCTTTTTTTTCCATTTTTTTCCCCTAGTCGTCAGTGAGAAAAAATTTAAAACTAAGGCAAATTCAACAAAAACATGGTAGTAATATCTTTTTTCAAAACAATCGTGTCTATAAAGCAAATCAAAAGAGGACAAAATTGTTTACAAGTGTAATAGGGTGAAAATAACTTGGGGTGAAATATAACCCTATATACAATATAATGGAATCTTAATTTTGGCCTACCAAGGGTTTTCCTGCCCTTTTTTTGGGGGGGGGGGGGGGTATTGGAACAATTAGCATTAAAAAAATCTTATTCCAAGGTTTGCTCTATTTTTTCCCAATCTAGCTTCTTGCAAAAAATACTTAGGAAAGAAAAACTCATGCTGAACATATTGGATTAGTTCTTTGGATTCTGGGCCAATTTTGAAAAACAAGAGGCCCAAGGGCCTTAACGGTCACCTGAGTATAATACAACAATTTAGAAGTTAAGGACATACGCAGTGTACCTTACCTACTGATAATTTTTCAAGATATTCTTAATTTAAGATTATAGTGCCATCAGATGTTCGTAGACAAAAAATCAGCAGACATTACCAGGGGTTTTGAAAAGATATCAATTGATGAAAATTTCCGTATAATTCAAAGAAAAATATACAAAAATTACTTAACATATATTCTAGATGTTTTGTTTATTAAAACTTCTTTTAGAAGAAGTGTACAATAGCATATATAGACATTAAAATGTAGCACACATTTCCTTTAAGTTTTGGAACTCTTCAACTCCAGGGAAAAAGACAATAAAGTTCAAACTACGTTGCGTATGTCCTTAAATACACTGATAGATGAAGCATTGTTGCCCTAAAGCAAGAGAAGTAGGAAGATCAGGATCAACAAAATAATTAGTCTAGTATTCAGTATCAACTCATAAATTGAGTTCTAATCTGTTCCCCACTTAACACTATCACCATGCAGACTATTAACAAACTATTAGTGCTTCAGTACTATTTTTAAACCCATATTAAGAGCTCTAGCATTGACCTCTCTTATGGTCTTTGAAGAACTTTTAATAAGATAAGTTATTTTTGTCTAATTTTTATTTATCTATTACTTACAGGTCACGTGATTATTAAAACTAAGAAAATACTTTTTGAATTATATGATAAACATTCTTGCATAATTATCTTATTCTATTAACGTTTCAAATACACTATTTACAGTGATTAATTAATGGTGAATGGAAAAGGGGAATAACTTCTCTCAGTAGAACACAAATTAATAGAGCCCTGCCCAGGACTAGAATACTTAGACAAATGGTCCAGATGTTCAAAAATCTGGTAGAAATACGCTTACTTATATCATTTAAACTTTTACTCAGTTTTCTTCCAATATGCCCAGAAGCAGAGAAGAATTTCACAGGTACAATGCATTTTCACTACAGATTCAACAAAGCCTTACCCTAACACCAGAACCCAAGATCAAGGGTCAAGAAATTTACAAATTTGGAAGAGTTACCCTCATCATCATACCTATGGACTTCTAAGAATTAACACTTTTCCACTATATTATCAAAAGCCCCCCCCCCCCCCCCCCAGTTATGCCAGAACCCCTGACCCTAGGACCACAAGATTTAAAAATTCTGTTCGAAGCTCACATTTTCATCATAGCTAAGCAATTTATTTATCAGCTCAACGCCAAGGAGCAGACAGGATTAATTAATGATTAATTAATAGAATTAATGCTTTTTCACTATATAATCAATAGAGCCCCCCCCCCCCCCTTCCTCAAGAACCCCAAAAACTGAGGCCATATATTTGAAAATTTTGGAAGAGGCATCCTTGCCTATCATAATCATGCACTTAGTTTGTTTAAATAATCTCCAGTAGCAGAGAAGAAGATTTTCAAAGAATCAATGCATTTTCACTATATAATCAATAGAGCCCCACCCTAACACCAGAACCCCTGACCCTGGGGCCATGAAATTCACAATTTTTGAAAAGGCATCTTTATGCATTATAACCATGCACTTAGTTTGTTTAAATAATCTCCAGTAGCAGAGAAGAAAATTTTCAAAGAATCAATGCATTTTCACTATATAATCAATAGAGCCCCGCCTAACACCAGAACCGCTGACCCTGGGGCCATGAAATTCAAAATTTTTGAAAAGGCATCCTTATGCATCATAACCATGCACTTAGTTTGTTTAAATAATACCCTGGAGCAGAGAAGAAGATTTTCAAAGAATTAATGCATTTTCACTATATAATCAATAGAGCCCCGCCCTAACATCAGAACCCCTCACCCAGGGGCCATGGCTTTCATAATTCTGGAAGAGGCCCACCTCCTCATCATAACTATGTACTTAGTTTATCACCTTAATGCCCAGGAGCAGAGGAGAAGATTTTCAAAGAATTAATGCATTTTCATTATATAATCAATAGAGCCCTGCCCTTACACCAGAACCCCTGACCCTGGGGCCATGAATTTCACACTTTTGGAAGAGGCACTCTTGCTCTTCATAACTACATGTATGTACTTAGTTACTTTATTTAATACCCAGGAGCAGAGAAGAAGATTTTCAAAGAAATAATGCACTTTCACTATATGATCTATATAGCCCCACCTTGGGGCCAGAACCCCTGAACCGGGGGGCATGAATTTCACAATTTCGGAAGAGGCACTCTTGCTCATCATAACTATGTACTTAGTTACTTTATTTAATATCCAGGAGCAGGGAAGAAGATTTTCAAAGAATTAATGCATTTTCACTATATAATCAATACAGCCCCACCCTAACACCAGAACCCCTGACCCTGGGGCCATGAATTTCAAAATTTTGGAAGAGGCACTCTTGCTTTTTATAAATATGTACTTAGTTACTTTATTTAATACCCAGGAGCAGAGAAGAAGATTTTCAAAGAATTAATGCACTTTCACTATATGATCTATATAGCCCCACCCTGGGGCCAGAACCCCTGACCCAGGGGCCATGAATTTCATAATTTTTGAAGAGGCACTCTTGCTCATCATAACTATGTACTTAGTTACTTTATTTAATATCCAGGAGCAGAGAAGAAGATTTTCAAAGAAATAATGCATTTTCACTATATGATCTATATAGCCCCACCTTGGGGCCAGAACCCCTGACCCGGGGGGCATGAATTTCACAATTTCGGAAGAGGCACTCTTGCTCATCATAACTATGTACTTAGTTACTTTATTTAATACCCAGGAGCAGAGAAGAAGATTTTCAAAGAATTAATGCATTTTCACTATATAATCAATAGATCCCTGCCCTAACACCAGAACCCCTGACCCTGGGGCCATGAATTTCACAATTTTGGAAGAGGCACTCTTCCTCTTCATAACTATGTACCTAGTTACTTTATTTAATACCCAGGAGCAGAGAAGAAGATTTTCAAAGAAATAATGCATTTTCACTATATGATCTATATAGCCCCACCCTGGGGCCAGAACCCCTGACCCAGGGGCCATGAATTTTACAATTTCGGAAGAGGCACTCTTGCTCATCATAACTATATACTTAGTTACTTTATTTAATATCCAGGAGCAGAGAAGAAGATTTTCAAAGAATTAATGCATTTTCACTGTATAATCAATACAGCCCCACCCTAACACCAGAACCCCTGACCCTGGGGCCATGAATTTCACAAATTTGGAAGAGGCACTCTTGTTATTCATAACTATGTACTTAGTTACTTTATTTAATACCCAGGAGCAGAGAAGAAGATTTTCAAAGAAATAATGCACTTTCACTACATGATCTATATAGCCCCACCCTGGGGCCAGAACCCCTGACCCGGGGGGCATGAATTTCACAATTTTGGTAGAGGGCTCACTGCTTATTACAATGATGCCAACAGTTTGACTGCTTGATGTCCTGGAGTAAAGAAGAAGATTTTTTAAGATTGCATTATTTTTGGTGGTTTTAGCCCCACCCCTCGGGCCCCAGGGGGGCAGGGACCATGAAATTCACAATTTTTGTTCCCCTTCACCCATAGATGCTATATGCCAAATTTGGTTGAAATTGGTTAAGCAGTTTCAGAGAAGAAGCTAAAAATGTTCAAATGTTAACGCACGACGCACGCCGACGGACGAGAACGGATAGCAATAGGTCACCGGAGTGACTCAGGTGACCTAAAAAAAAGTCAAGAAAATCCATGCATGACCAGCCATGTACATGATACATACTCTCTTCACTTATGGATAAATTGTGCAGTCCCTGACAAGCATCATCTTCCATTTTGCCAGAATCTGAAATGAGAACAGTGACTATAGCTGTTTTGTCAGAATCTGAAATGAGAACAGTGACTATAGCTGTTTTGTCAGAATCTGAAATGAGAACAGTGACTATAGCTGTTTTGTCAGAATCTGAAATGAGAACAGTGACTATAGATGTTTTGTCAGAATCTGAAATGAGAACAGTGACTATAGCTGTTTTGTCAGAATCTAAAATGAGAACAGTGACTATAGCTGTTTTGTCAGAATCTGAAATGAGAACAGTGACTATAGATGTTTTGTCAGAATCTAAAATGAAAACAGTGACTATAGCTGTTTTACCAGGTTTTACTATACACAGGAAAACATTAATAGTACAGACGATCTGTAAACGTTATTATAATCAGGAATACAAGTCCAAATCTGGATAACTACTTTTTAAACTTGTAATTCCAAGAAATAAATGTACGTAATGCAAGGTGGGACTAATATCAGTAATATTCCCATTCAATATTTTTAATGAGAATTTTTTTTACAGTAAATTCCCGTTCAATATATTTTTTTAAAAAGTAAAGAAATCCTATTTTCCACTTTATTAAAAGAAAATAAACATTTATGAATATATAACGTATTTACATAAAACACAGGGGCCGTACCTGGTCAATTCCAGGGTTTGGGGTGTTCAACATTAAATGATTGGAAATAATTGGTCTGATTTTAGTGGACTGCAGAAATATACAAATATGTCCTAACCTTATCTAGGTAAAATAAAATCAATTATTACCTAACCTACTATATAAATTGTAATTAGGCATTTTGAACTGTTTCCTGATTCTTTTTAATGTTTTTGCAAATCATGAAACAGTCAAAACTGTTTACCCGGTCACAGAATGAACTGTTGCATGGCTGAACTGTTTCATTATGACATCATAGTTAATTTCCCGTACTTTACAGCTATAATATTGAATTATATATAAATTGAAGCATTTTTATTCAATTCGAAATTATCATCTGAAAAGTAAACCTGATACCAATTTAAATATATATTCAATTTAATATCATTTCAAAGAAGAGGCCATGAACACCTTTTCTGAGGGTAGTTTGGGAAAAATGTAGGCCCCTTTCATTCAGTATAGATCTTTGCCATAAACGTGCAATATTCAAATCTTTAAGACATCATTATGTTGTTTACTACATGCTTTTTTTCCCCAATTTATTAGTGCATGATAATATCACACCCATTAATTTTTCACCAATCAGTGTGAATATTTGATTAATATTCATCTTGTTTAGTTTGGTTTTAAAAAATAATACAAACTTTTGTCAATGTATTTTAAAAGCCATTGATTATTATGTCGATATCATTACTTTAAGAAATTATATAGTAGGTTAGGTAATAAAACACTTATTTCATGACAACTCGGGAAACAGTCAAACTGTTGTCCCTCGATAATGGGGAAGACCTGGGAAACTGTTGCCCTCGGCCTTCGGCCTCGGGCAACAGTTTCCCAGGTCTTCCCCATTACCTCGGGACAACAGTTTGACTGTTCCCCTCGTAGTCATGAAATAAGTGTATACTAGTAAATCACCATAATAATCAGAGGCAAGCAACAATTAATTAACTGGTAGTCCTGACCTAACACTTAAATAAGAGCCCAGTCGCCTCAGACTATCGCATATACTGTAGGATGCCTTATTCAGGATGGACAGTATATGTGATAGCCCTTCAACCACTACACTCACTGTAGGATGCCTTATTCAGGACAGACAATGAGTATAGCAGCCTGGACAGGTCAGCCAATGCAGACGAGATCAAACAAACTATGACTAGCCTCCATATTGGAGGTCAACCTCGTTTGTGGCAGGTCTTAACTGGTTTGGCCTTCCAAATTCTCTCTCTAACTGTAAAACAGGCGAGGAATATTAAATGTGAATACTTTTTCACTCCACTCGTCTTCTAACCTTGGCTGCGTCTGAAGAACAACAGTGAACTCCAGACGACTGCGGAGTCTCAGTATTTATACATGATTGATGTCAAATGATATTTTTCCTTGGTAAAAATCTGAACTTAAATCTGAATAAGTTTATTAACTGTTTTATATTTATTTCATTAAGCTAAAGATTCGATTATAATTGATAATTAATCGATTATGCTCAGCCAATTATTACCGATAATCGATTATGATTTTTTCCCGATTTCCCATCACTAGTGCTATGTCAATATCGACAATATCATGCCATTATCATATCAATCCTAATTTGTACAATTTATTTTAAAGTTGAGGTATAACATAATGATACAAGGCCACAAGCAATGCTGATATTGATTCATTATTGGCATGACTACCTGTATGTAAATAAATAAGGATGACTAACAGAGGTTTGGGATTGTTATTGTTAGGGGTTAAGGTTCGGGTAAGATTTTGGATTAGGGTGAAGATTGGTAAATACATTATGTTTTGAACAATCATAATTCGAAACCGATACAATATTGTATCAAAATTAATAATCAGAGAGTACATGCCCAGAAGTATTGCATAAAGAAATACAGCCACAAGAGGGATGACAAAAATGATTCACTATCAATATGATATCATGGATATTGAAGATATCTATGGCAATTACAATCTTTGTAAATTTAAAGTATTTCAACATAGATACACATACACAGAGACAAGGACAGTTTCAACCAAGGGTTGAGCAAACTTGATTCGATATCAAAGTGATATTGTCAATATCAACGATATTGACACTGCAGGGAAAACTTCATAAAGAGATAGTATTCAAGTAACTTGTATGTTAAAAACACATAATAACCATAATCCATTGAACAATCATGATTCGATATCCATACAATATTGTGGATATTGACAGTAAGGAAGACTTGCTAAACAAGAAGTACTATGTCTAATATACACTCAAGTATAAAGAAATATTGAAGCAACCTATAAAAAAGTAATTTCTCGTTATTGTAACTACATCGTGTCTTGGACACAACTCGCAAAATAAAGGGTGTTTTTATACATGGGGAAATGCATTTTTGGAGATGTCCTGGCAATAAGCAAGCTAGGGTGGCAATATACAGGTCCAGCAAAATTCATCATTTTTCTAAAATGATGATTTCTAGTCATAAAATTGATTTTTAAAAATGACTAAAATTCGTCGTGTTTTAAAATAATTGATGAAAAACAGTCATAACTATTTGGAGTTTATTTTAAAATATAGAGTTACTTCTGAAATAAATATGACTGTATTTCATCATTTTTTATCAAATTGGTAGGTCTGGGTGCACTTTAATTATCTCATTTGTTATACAGGGCGCACTGATTTATTTTTGTTTCAATTGTTTGTCAAGATGTTTCTCTACACATGGGTCCATGGCAGGATAGTGTACTATATCTATTATTGTAGTAAATGGGTTGGAAGAATTAACTTGGGAATGGAAATATGATGAAAAGTCATATTTACCAAAGTAATAAAAATATGTATATAAAATTATTATGTAGTTATTAAAAATGACAATTATCAATCATTTTTCAGTATGATGGATTTTAGTCTCACCCCTAACTGTTTGGGGGTATATAAAGCAATTGATTTGTGACCATACAGTTATTCATGAATAAAATTGTAAAGCTGGTCAATTCTGGTCAACAAGATGATTGGTAATAATTCAACACAATGTGAAGTTATCACACTTATCCATGCCTCACCACACACAAGATGGTATACAGTTAACCAAACAATGGAAATACATAATGTACATCTAATTTTTTTTGCTTTGCTTTTGCTTGGGAATTGATGATCAAGTACAAAAAGTCTTATATAAACTGGGTGTTTCTATTTTAAGCTTCTAAAAAAGATTTATAAACCTGCTGTTTCTTTCTTCTGTGAAGCAACAAAGTGCTCACGTCACAATAGTCTTTATAAACTGGATGTTTCTAAAAACAGATACTGCAGCTGCTATTCGTAACTGTGATGTCATAATGCAAACAGCGTTTTTTTTCCCTTAAATTACTGGTACCGATAAACAGTACCATTCCCAATGCCAAAAAACGATAATTTTTCCCAATTTTGAGACTAAAAATTCCCAATTCAACTGCCAAGCAACAGACTACGATGACATCATATTTCTTTTTATATGAAACATTGTGCAAGTTGCAGGGATCGACATTAACGGTTGTCCGATTGCCCGGGACAAGTAAATTCTCAGTTCGGGCAAGCGAAATTGTTGACGTACTTGTCCGATCGGGCAAGTGAATTTTTCTCATACAAATATACATATTTATTTAGTTTACCTTAATTTATAAATAAAACAATAAATTGAACACTTGATTTCTGCCACGGACCTGACTGACAATGTTTTTGCATTCAGAATTCCTTCGTAGCGCTTCTGGATTATACCACTCATTTTAAAAATCGGGTTCATTATTTTCTTTTGTAGTAAATACGCTCTACGTCTAACAAAATTTTGTTAACTTCTTATTAGGAATTTATTTATTCAAGCATAGCATATAAGTACAGTGTAACACGATGTATCCTGATCAAGATAAGATGTATGTTTTGTAGCAACTATCTTCCTTAAGCGTTGCTTCACAGTTATCTCTGAAAGCACAATCACAAAAGGATCCTACCGAAAATAATTTTAAAAATAGGAATTTTATGAAAAGGAAACTGAGGGTTATTGTTGCATGGCAGAGTGTGTTAGCAGGTTAAATTTACAAGCACAGTGGTATTCATTTATGTACAAATGCAGCATGTATCGACATTTTTCAGGTAGCTCAACTTGCCAAATTGACAGTAGTGTACTTGGTCACATTTTTTCTTACGTTAACGTTTACAGTAATTAATAATTTTCTTTTTAACTTCTTTCCTTATTTTGGACAACCAAGTTTTGCATTCGGACAAGTCAAAGTTTGAGATCACTTGCCCGAAGGGCAAGTTAATCTGAAAGTTAATGTCTATCCCTGAGTTGACTAACTGCTTTACTTCCACTTAAATCGAAAGTAGAGATTAGTTGCAATATGGCGGGACCTGTGGTGTAGACATGCATCATACATTTGACAAATTGAAAGCATGAAAATGTGAACACAAGGACATTGAAATGAAAAACAATAAATACTTGATGTTTATTCTTTAAAACACAGAGTAATAGGTAATGAAGTTGGAATAAATGCAAAATATGTTTCATTTGTTTAATGACAGAAAATTCTCGTTTGTTCTACTTCGACGCTACTTTTCCCAATTGAACCAGTACATGACCCTTTCCCATTGGGTTAAAAAAATTGCTGATGAATGACATAACAATGCCTTATATGAGAAAGTATTGAGTATTAGAATCAGAAACATGGATTTTGAGACATTTCTTATTAACTGATAAAAAAAAAATAATAAAACAATTGTAGTCTTTTGATTCAGTACAATCCTCAGATATATAGACCTTAGAGAAAGCATATCGAACTCGCCCTTCGTGCTCGGTCCATATGCTTTCTCTAAGGTCTATATATCTAGGGATTGACCTCATCAAAAGGCTATAATTGTATAATAGCTATTTCAAGCTATATTAGCTAAATCAAGAGATTGTGCTGGACCTGATATAATGGAGGGTAATATCATGAGGTAGCACTGTATCTTTAAAAATCAAAGGATGGAAATGTTGCACATTTACATAGAATGATGTCAATTTTATCAAATATTTTGATGACACAGCATAAAAAATTCTTTGTTATATTTCCTTTTTTCTTTGATAGATCCTAGTAATCAGGTATAAATGTCTTATATTATATCAGATTATTTTCTTAGTTTTCTTGGCTGAAAGGATGTCACATGATATTCATCCTTTTGTGATATTGACGCAAAAGTGTGTCTGCGGAATATATCTCACAACTCACTGTTAGGCTGCACCAGTTACGTAGAACGTGACGTCATAATATGAGAAGCATGTTTTTACCATTGTGACGTAATGACAGTCAAGTCTGTGCACTTAGGATTGTGTCGCATTATTCACTTTGAGTTATTATATAATATAACTATTAAAGACTTCAGTGAACGGACAATGTGTGGTTCTAAGGACCCATCTTGGGATGTCAAGAGATATCAACCTCAGACACAGAAAATGATAGTGACCTCGCAAGCTGGGTTGCTATCACTTTCTGTGTCTGAGGTCAATATCACTTGACATGGGTCCTTAGAACCACATATCAACCTACACTGAAGTCCATAATTGTATAATATTTATTCCACACCAGTTCAAATTATATACCACGGAATGCAAGGAAATACAAAAAACTTTTCTCTCCCATATAGTCGATAAATACTGTTTATAAAAAGGGTAAACCATCATAAGGGGGTTAAACCACTGTTTGATGGTCTGTGCCCTACCTGATGAAGTCAACATTATGAACATGCATTGACCGTGATGTAATTTTAATTTTTATGATGGGTCAGTTTAAAATTTTGCACCTAATCAAAATTAATACCTATTATAACTGATTGTGCATTTAATACTTATTGAAAAAGTCATCAACTGACGTAATCAAACTCTACTAATACGAAGTTTGAATCTCTTACCTTTTTTCAATGATTTCCCTCGGTTGAAAATTCCGCCATTTTCGTAGAAGATGAAAAGCTAAGTCGTACCTAGAAATTTTTTGCTTTTGAAGGGTGGGTGGGGGCTTTTCGGTTTCATTTTATAGTTATTCCATAAGGAAACTTTATGTAATAATGAAATTGACTAATCTATGCCTAATAATTAAATACGATTTGCTTCTTTTACTATATTTTCATATATAAATTTGTCCACTACCCGTAACTCCTCTTGACTCTTCATCCAGGTCACATGGTCTACTTTCACTTTATAGGAAAATGTCAAAACTGAAGCTGTACTATGATCTCATGTCACAGCCCTCGCGGGCGCTGTACATGTTTGTGAAAAAGAACAGAATACCATTTGAAGACAAGGCACTTGCATTACGAAGAGGTAATATGGTGAAACTTTCTCGAATGCATGCAAATCGAAGTCGAACAGTCGAATAGGCTGATCATCCCACTTTTTGACCTATGGAAAAACTCGTACCCTATTGCAGTTGAGTTTTTCTTCTCTTTTTTTCTACTTTCCTACAAATTTTTAGGTGCAATTCGGTGCAGTTCAAAAGCCTGATTGTATTCGTCCTCACAACATCATGATCATGGGTCCTGTGTCAACTCATTCATTGGGACCCCTGACATGTTACGGGCTTGCTTCTCTCATTGAGAAGCACCAATCTAATTGAAGTAGACAGATAATGTAAACAGAAAGGAATCAGTTGACACCTGAAATGCACGTTACGCATTGTTTATCACCGAAAGGCGTAATATTATTGAGAGATCAGAAAAACAATCAAGATTTGTAATTTTCCTGACAGACATTGCTGCAGTAAGGTATCGAATGAAGTTTGTCAGGGGTACCACAGCAATGAGTTGACAGAGGACCCCCTGACATTGTAAGGATGGATTGTATTTAGTGAGTTGTACTCATGCTGATTGAAAACTTGAGACTATCAGAGTACTAATACATATTTCAGGGTTGATAGCTGAGGATGTGTAACCCCATGCAATAAGAATGTAGAATAGCTTGATGAAAATTATAATTGTTCCACAATATGGTAATTAGTTACAAGTTTTCCTGCAACTGGAATGCTTTAGTTGTTTTCAAAAAATGTCAAAACATACTCAGCAAGCCTTATCATAGAACAATTAAAACAAATTCAGAACTCCTGGAAAAACTGTGGCTAACTTGCAGGGATTATTGCACATTTGTTTTATGTAATATATGTTTTTTTTGTTTCTGGTTTTTTTTTTTTTTTTTGTTTTTGTTTTTTGTTTTTTGTTTTTTTTTGTTTTTTGTTTGTTTGTTTGTTTTTGCAAATAACCTTAGAACAGTTCAGTGGTAAAAAAAATTGAGGACAAAATGTCCTTTGCACAACTAGTAGAAACTACAGTGCTTATTGAAATTTGTTATAAATTCTGTCTTTAAAGGAGAGCACAAACAAGAGGCTTACAAGAAAATAAATCCTTTACAGCTTGTACCAGCTATTGATGATGGTGGATTTATCCTGACAGAGAGGTCTGCTCAATTTGATGGCATAATGAAAATTTAATTTATTAATAATTATGCTGACATAAACACACAATTCAACATTAAAGGTTGCACCTGTTTGTATTTTAGTGTGGCAATTCTCCAGTACTTGTGTAGTAAGTATGACCTTCCAGAACACTGGTACCCAAGAAAAGACCTCAAGGCCCAGGCCAAAGTTAATGAATACCTCAACTGGCAGCATGCCAACACCAGAATGAATTGTGCAATGGTATTCAGACATCTGGTAAGTTTACTTCTTAATTCAGTTTACAAGGTCAAAACTGTATTTTATTTGAGGTTCATGACATGACCAAGGCAAAATAATTCTTGAATCTAGCTCCCAATTCAGGCATTTCTGCATGATACAGGAACTGATTTTTTTCAGGAGAAAAAAAAACTGTATGTGAACTTTCTGATTTTACCACATTCATGAAGGTGTGCTGAATTTTTTGTTTGCTGTATTTGGAGTGGGGTGGGTAGGTGATTAGGCCCTTGAGGTTTTTCAAGCAAGTGTTCCCACTCCAACCAAAATGAACTTGCATACATGGCTAAATGACAATGTTTTTTTTGGGGGGGGGGGGGGAGTGGGGGGGGGTTACTTCCAAATGCAAATGAAGAATAGCTGTACAAAATGTAAAAGACATACTCCTAAAGTTTGTTTTGAATTGATACTGCTTACTCAAAGTTTTGATTTTTAGTGATGTGCATTTTTTAGAAGATATCTGTAGCAAACATTAATATTGAGTGCTACCTTACAGTATTAGAAATATAGATTAAAATGTGTAAACGGTATAATCTTTCAGGTGGTAATCCCCCGAGAAACAAAGAAACCAGTTGACTGGGAACAAGTAAACTTGATGAAGAAGAGAGTATCTTATGTGGTGGATCATCTAGACAAAAGTTTTCTGAGAGATAAACCCTATCTCTGTGGTAATGAGGTTTCTGTGGCTGATCTACTCTGTATTTGTGAACTGATGCAGCTTAATGCAGTCCACGAGGAACAACTGTATGAATCCAACCCCAACATTAAGGCTTGGTCAGACCGTGTGAAGAACAGGCTTAATCCGGAGTTTGAAGAAGCACACAAGATTGTTTACAGAGTGAGAGATATGTACAAAACAGTGCTTGCTCCATCTTTTGCCAAGTTATAGTTCATGGGGATTGTGATCCCTACCTAGAGGCTGTGATAAATTGTCAGAATTTTAATGCCTTAATTACGAGAATGTATTCAAGATATGTCAGGAGCAGTGAAATTAGGATTTGAAATCCGTACATCAGTACATATTAATGATACAAATTATAGTAATTTGATATTTGTTTCTTGTTCATTATTGTTCTTTCATATGACACTGTAAAGTCAGTAGCAAGGCTTTACAATAAATTTCAAGTTAGAAGAAACTTGGATGTAATGTTTTTTTTCCAGTTACAATATAGTACCATAAAACATAGTTACAGGGAAAAATTGAGACTTAGAGCCACAGGCACTTGTTTCGTATATGGGGATCCCCTACTTATTTTTACCACAAGGTACCTAACTCAATTTCAGGCACCCCCGCTTCAAGCTCGTATTTTGTTTATATATCAATCATTAACCTACTTTAAAATGACATCGTTCGCTTCAAAAGACTTTTTTCTTGTCAAATTAATCGTTTCGGACGTCTCTGGTCGATCCTCTTTATTGTATACCACTCATTTCTTCCTTGAAAATTATCTCGATACCAAATGTAACAGGTTTTGAATTATTAAAGAATAACAGCCTGTTGAGGGTTCTTTTGACAAGACTTTATTGCCAGAGAAAATCAAATGAGGAAATCATATGATGAAATCAAATGATGAAAACCCTGCAATATTAACAATATAACAAGTGTAAATATTTAAGCATAAAAATAATACAATGATTGTCAAGGGAGATAATTCATTACACATAGAATATACATATATTTCTCCACAATTAAAGAACAATCAAATCTCATCATAAAACTTTACAATAATTATCATCATAATGTATTTGAACATTATATATTGTTGAAAAATCATAATATCATTATATGCATACCATTCTATGGGAACAGGTGTGTAACTGCAAGCAATAATGCTGCATATATACAATATGTATACAGTCTCAGAGTGATCTGTAAATTAATTACACAATATTACACACCAGATCATAAAAATATGTTACCTTAAAAATATATAACAATGAGATCTTTCTATTTACATCATACTTTAAAATATCATTCTCACTGATCTCATTTACTCAGGGAAAGTGCTTGGGAAATATATTATATATGCAAAATTACAGATTGGACATTTAATTGAAATATTAGAATCATATTAATATTAGTAATAAATTGTTAACTTACCAGAAGGAGAAGAAAAGTCTGTCTCTATAAAAAGGTCATAGTCAAATTGTCAGATAACCAAATACACATGATGACTGACCAACCTCTGGACAAAGAATGTCCAGAAAACCAAGAACCTTCTGGAGGGAAAAACATGAACCAATCCCCAAGTAAAATACAAAGTAAAACACCAATGAAATTAAAAGAAACATCCAACATTAGGCCTGGATATAATTAATGACCTAAGGCTATTTCTATCTATATACACCTATTGACAGACCATGGGTGAATGCACACAAAAGGCTTTAAACTGAATAATTATATTATTCAATATGTGCATTTCAAATCAAAATAAATATAATAAATGACACTTATAATACATGTACATAATATATACATGTATGCAAAGAAAAATAATAAAATATGTATCTGCCACACAAATAAGACTTTGAAAGGGATACATTGACTTTCAGTTGGGTTATAAATGAAGGATAAAACCAAAGACCTCAGAAAGGATTACTCGTAAGTCTCTGGATTTATCCTACATTATAACCGGAAGTCAATTACTAATTAAAGGTGTGTATGTATATATATATATATATATATATATTATCAAGCTAAAATTCCATAGTACATGTAATACGGCTTCTCTATTGTTTATACCATGTGTGGTAAATATCAAAGGATCAAAAGTTAATTTGAAGGTCTCCACGAGTGCCAGACAAGGTGTACAGGGTATACACAGGGACTAGTAAGTAAATATCAATCAAGTTCTAGCACCCAATGATGTACCTTAGAGCACTTGATTGACAGGAGTACACAGACCAGGTATTTTTGAAGGCGGTGCTTAAAATCTCTGCCTTTAAGTAGAGAGAAGATAACATAAAGTCAATAGCCAATGAAAATTAAGTATGCTAATTAGGAAAGTTTAAAAGTGCTGTCTTCCCTATGAAGTAACATATAGTCTGTAGGACAGTGGAGAGGTTGGTCAGAAGTAATTTAGGATAAGGTGAGACAGGGATTAGACGTGATTAAATAAGTCTTTCCTTCCCTATCTTACATTTAAGTTAAACTATTGATTAAAGCAAACTAAGTTATAAATATTGAGACACAACTGAAACCACTAAATAGACTAAGAGCTATACTGAGACCGTTATTAATAGAACTAAATTGAGACTTAGGTTATTACCTTGTCCCAAAGCTTTTGTAAATAAATTCTCTTTGTAGGTTCTCAAAAGTTATCTGAGCTATCCCACGAATCATATTTTGAGAAAGTAGCTAAGTCTAAATATAGGAATAATATTTTTGTTATTTTTTGGGGGTGATTATAATTGAACATCCGCTCGGTTACACGTCACATGTAATGGTGGCAGCGTTGGGATACATAACCAGACACTGAGAAATTTTGAGACGGAGGTGATTGAGAGTTGTATAAAGTACTGGGACAGATCTAAGACCGAAAAGAATCATCGTGACTAGTGAAGATAGATCGTCGTTTGAGATAGCTCGGTTTGAACTTGAAAGTGAGACATTGATGAACAAATATTTACATTTCCAATGTCTTTGTCCGAGATAAAATTACAACTTGTAAAAATACTTTATTTCTACATAAATCTACTGGTTCATCGATAGGCGCGGTTAAAAAAAAATCACGTGCGGGGCGGGACAAATAGAGACAGAAGCGGGGCTATTAGCACGGGAATTTGCAGGAGCATGTAAATATAAGGAAAAACTGTCAGATTTTTTGGATTCATGACGATGATCAATCGATTGGCTCGCGTGATAATTTTATGCATAAACGCCTTCGGCGTTTATGCAAATTATCACGAAAGCCACTCGATTGATCACATCATGAATCCAAAAAATAAGACAGTTATTCCTTAAATCAATTCACTTTATTACGTAAGACATACATCTTATTGTATACAACATAAATTTATAACATATAAACAGTAAGGCATAGCGCAGGTTTTTTTTTTAACAGCATAATAATTATACAATCAGTTTAATGGTGGAGAATGTACAAACCATTTTATATAATGTGTTTATAAGACAGTGAGACATTCATTACGTAAATTAAAAGCATGGTACAGAAATTTTCCCAAATTACAAGGATCCTTAACATTGTGTGCACATAACAACTGTATGAATTTGAACATAAATGGTTTTTCCCAGTAAAATTTTTTAATATATTTTGCTCGTAAATCCCTATATCGTGGACATTTTAAAACAAAATGGAATTCGTCTTCAATTTCACATCTACATAATTCGCATATTCGATTTTCGCGTAATATATTTTTATAGCGTCCACTTTCTATAGCTAAATTATGTGATGACAGTCTTATCCTGCTAATTTGCTTTTTATAAATGGAAGGAATAGGTTTTACCAAATAATATTGCAGTGTGAAGTGGTCAATAATATTCTTAAATAACATACATCTAGATGAACTATTGATATCTGCAAGGAGATTCTGTACATAGGTGTCAATAATTCTTTGCTTTATAATCAAGAAATGGCTGTTATAACAAATTCTTTCTTGGTCAGTCCACATGTAACCTAACCCAATTTCGAATAATTTATCTTTAATATTGGAAGCCCAGTTCGTGATCTTGTTCATTGGTTGTTCAATTTCCTTTAACATTTTCTCATAACATGATCTCAAAATACAATTCTTACTTTGTAATATTTTAAACCAAAATTTGAAAATCCGGAATTGCCGTACAGTCTTCATAGGCAGTCTGCCTGTTTCAAAATATATCATGGCCGTGTTTGTGTTTTTTCTAACATATAAAACATTCTTAATGAATTCCAGATGTATCTTTTCAATATCACATGCATTGTGGTTTCCCCAAACTTCACAGCCGTAGTTTAGTATGCTACTGACATATGTATCAAAAAGTGAGAACATAGTTTCAGTATTTAAACTCAATTGACTAACCTTAGATTTTAGACAAAACATTGCTTTTCTTCCTTGACATGCCAATTGTTTTTGAGTTACGTTAAAATTTCCATTGTAGTTCAATAAAACACCCAGATACATAAATTTATCTACAACTTTTATTTGCTCATTATGTATATGCCACTTTTCATTATCATGAACCTTTCCCTTATTTCTAAAAACAACAATTTTAGTTTTCTCAACATTAATGGTCAGATCCCATTTCGAGGCGTAATTATACAAAGTATTTATCATTTGTTGTAGATCTTGTACAGATTCCGCAAAACAGACCATGTCATCTGCATACATCAAAGTAAAAAGATTCAATTCTTGAAGTTCAAGAGGAACATTACCATTTTTTATAAACTCAATTTCAAAATCATTTACATACAATGAAAAAGGGATAGGGGACAGAACTTCTCCTTGTAAGAGACCAAGAGAATTTTCAAAAACCTCTGATAGCATTCTTGCCGATTTCACACAGGATTTCATATTCTCGTACATAGCGCGTATAACATTTAGTAATTTCCCTTTAATTCCGTACATACTTAGTTTTTTCCAAAGCTTAAAGCGTTCTACTGTGTCAAATGCTTTTTTAAAATCTATAAAGCAACAATATAATCGTTTTTTCTTACGTAAAGACATGCTGATAATTGTCGACAAACTAAAAATTGCTTCGGCAGTGCCCACCCTTGGTTGAAACCCGAATTGAGCATCTGTAATGATATCATTAACCTTAGTCCATTCGATGAGTCTATTATTTAGAATCGTAGTAAAGAGTTTGCAAAAACAACTAATTAAGCTGATGCCTCTATAATTATTTGGATCTAACCTATCACCTTTTTTCAATACAGGAACAATTACCGACTTGGCCCACATATGGGGGAAAATGCCTGATGACAAAATTCTGTTAAACAAATTATGTACAATAGGGAGAAGACATTGTTTAAACTCAATAAAGTATTCATTAATCAACAAGTCTGTTCCATGAGATTTATCTTTTTTAAGTTTAGATATGGCGTCCTGTATTTCTTTTTCGGATATTTCGCAGTCAAGTTCTTCAAACACAGTCATATTGTCACCGTTCACAGTCTCATTCATCGTCGCGTTTTGGTTT